CTCCCTTGCCGAGCGCCGCAAGCGCGTACCGTTTGGCACGAGGGCCAGAAGGAAGCTTTGGTGAGATCGGAGCGCCGTGTATTATACAGTAGATAGCCCACAGGAAGCCACTTTTCCTCCCTTGAAAGGGAAGCCTCAATGTGATTGTCCCTTCGACGCGCTTTGGACTCTTCCCTTTCTCCATCTTTTTATTCCTTCTTCCTGATTTCTCCGGAGGAAAAAATGTGAAGATGGGGACCAGGGTATCAATTTTTAGAAGCCAGGGTTGAGCAGCGCCATACTGTAAGTGGGCTAGCATCATCTGGCACTTGTGCATGCGTGCTGGCACCTGTATGGCTGGAATGTTGAGGCTGCCGTGATAGCGACCGCTAAGTGGTTCGTTGAGAAACGTTGACTTGAATCAAGCGGCAGGACATGGTCCGTGATCTCCAGTAAAATGCGACTGTGGGGTTGCGAGGCCAAGATGGTCTTGGATATCTCGGCCGTGACATGTCCACTTGAGCCACTTCTAGTGGATGCGCTACAATTGGAGAGGCCAACTAGTCTCACTGCGAGGGACTTGGGAAGAAAAAAAAACCGAGGATGCAACCTGACGAGTCTGTTTGGCGGGTATTTTCGTGGAAACATCACGCCAGAGAACGGCAGATACGGGCAGAGGGTGGGTGGCTGACGGACCGTTGGAGCTGAAGGGAGGCACCCGAGGCGACTAACGTGGATCGAAATGTCAAGGGAATAGAAGGAAAAGAATGTTCGGAGGCAAGGGATTTCAGCAAGCGAGCTCGCCAACCGGGAAATCCACCGTTGTCCACACTCGGAGATGGCCCGTTCGGTATTGTTGAGCTATGCTAGGCAGACAGATGAACAATGGATATGCATCCATGGTGCTGGTATTCATCGCATCTTTCGAGTCCCCCCACTGAAGGTTCCCACGTCAAATTACCATCTGCCGGTGTCAGGCTGGTCTTGGACAGATGCTCCGTAGCCGACAGCACATGGGCCGATATATGGACAGTAATACGCCGCAACTGAAAAAAGGGACCCTCTCTCATTCCGAATCCTGATTGCTGATCTGTCGACAACTCGCCCGCCAAGCACTACTGATGGGCCCTGCAGTTCGTATCACGTCGCATATCGTCCGTCTTCTCTGCGGCAAACCTGACTTCGTACAATGCTGCCGATTGAATGCCGTACACTGTGTGCCAAGCACTCCGGACAGAGACGGACGCGGTGCGGCGTTGTATCTATACGGCTGCGCATACGTGAACGGATGCCGTGCTGCCTCCTAATGTCTTGCTCCGATCGTCGTCCGGATCACGTCTCGCATGCCTGCGACAATCTGTGCTCGCAGGAATCTTCAAACGAATCACTGTGCGGTTGCAGGGCTCTGCTGCGGCACGGTGAAGCACTTGGGACGTCAAGCGTGTTTGGGTTGGGGCTATGCCATAAAGACTAATAAGCTTGTCTCGTCTCTGAAGGCTTGTTGTGTGTTTGTGCGTTTGCGCGTCCCTAGGCTTTAAATCACAGCTCTCATCCAGTGACAGGCCTCAGCGCACACATACTTGGGTTGCGAGCAGAAGGCCATCCACCCTCCTGTCTTGACAAAATCTGTCGCAGCACATCAGACGAACGACAGGGGGCTGCCCGTTCTCGTGGCTGTGAATGGTCCAAAGACCCTCGTCGCTGGAACTCGGCAAGCGCTCCACGAAACAGAGAAAAGCGGCGACGCTGACCCTTAAACTCATTCTCGCTCGCCGAGTTTGAGATTGTTTCTTAGGTGGGCAAGGCGCCTGCAGGGAGCAAAAGAAACATCTTTCCCATCGCGTGCGATAGATGCAAGGGCAAGCCTTGCCCGGCTATGCTTCACATTTCAAAGAAACATTTATTCTTCAGGATTCCTATTGCTCAGTTGTTGTCCCCTGCAAAGGGAGAGGAGCGAATTAAGTTGCGGTGGCTCGGCGGAACAACGAGGCAAAAGTCGGTCTGGGGCCAAATGACCCAAGGCAAGAGAGAGGAAAAAAAAAAAAAAAAAAGGATATGGCGTACTAGGGTGATGGCGGAGAAGAAGAATTGGAACTGCCCGCCAAAATCTGGTGATCACGATGTGATTCGTGCATCCGGTTGTCCCTCTCGCTAACCCATCGTGGTGTCACTTCTACAATGTAACACTCTTTGTTAGATTATCGACCAGTGAGATGCCGATATGCTCTTGCTTTCCGGTGAAGCACGACGTTTTTACCTTTCCCAACTCTGGCACTTGCATCGATGTCGTGGCACGGTGCAGCAGGTACCGGGCCAGATTGCGGCCAGAAACCTGGTCGGATGCGTATGCCAGGGCGGCTTCTCAAGCTTGATGGATCAATCCTATGTACACCACCTCATGCTGCGAAGGCGGTAAAATGGAGAGCGTCACGTTTGAAGAGACAAAAAAGGGAAAAAACCAGTCCCGGGAATAGGTATCTGTATGTCGCCTGCAATTCCCTGTGGACGACGTGGTCGAGCTATCACGAAGTACACCCGTGTCCCTCCACTCGGCCCCTTCATGTCGGCGAACATATTGCATCTTGATTGCGTCTGATATATAATCTCTTGCTGTTGCTGTCCTTATCTAAGCGTGCCGCCTGTTCCCAGTACCTTCAAAGCACAAAGCATTATCGGTGTGACCGTGGCCCTGGGCCCTAGCCTGGGCAGCCATAACCTAGTGTTCTGGCCTGACCACGGGTTCGCGATACTGGTTATTTCTGGCATGCGAGCACTTGCAGCTGAATTAGGGATTGCCAAGAGCTGAGGGCCTCGCCCAGATGGCCCCCATCGAAGATAGCTGGCACCCTGCAGGCTGGTGAGGAACGTTTACGAGCCGAGATCGTTTCCGCTGTAAGTCCAACAGACGGGTTTTGTCTCGCTCATCCCTAGGTCAAGCCGTCTTTTCCTCCCTTTGAGTTCCAGTCGGAAACAGAACCACCGGTCGGGTTGCGTAAGATAGTTCTGATGGACGTTTTCATGCGGGCGGAAGAAAGGACCCTCATAGAGGAGACCAGCAGCGTTAGGCTCCGATGGCCGTTTCTGGTGGTCCGACAAAAGGCGGTTGACGGCAAAGGGGCGTCGGGGCCAATCAGTTGTCTGGAGGCCCTACCATATGGTTCCAATCAAGCGGTGGCAGTTGACGACGAAGACGTTTGCGTTCTTGTCGTTCCCTTTCTCCTTGGACAGGTACCCTACCCCTGCCACCGCCTCGTCTGGTGGGTGTGGAGTTCACTGCTGTAGTCGTGGGTGTGACCAACCACCCCGGTCTCCTGTGAGCGCGAGATGCGGAGCTTTGGCGCTGGGAAACGTCGACAAGCAGGGAAAACGAACGAGGCTCGTTGTGGATGATGAGGGACTCCTCAGCTGGCGGCCAACTTCTAACGTTCCTCATCGTGGCTATGAGACCTGGTATGGCGATGTGCATCGGCGAGGGCGGATGACACAGTGAGCAGCAAAAGAGGGTCTGCAATCGAAAGGCTTTCAAACGAGGCGCAACAGCCTAATGGAGAGTAGACCATATGACGAGCTGATGAGTGCCGACAAACTTTCCACACTCGTTCATCCCTCCAATCCGTGGCGAAGACACCATCGCGAGGTTTGCGTATGCCGCTCCCACACCTCCGGGTTTGGCCGTTTTCGTCTCTCGTCAGTCTCTTGTCCCCGCGTGGGCAGACTGGATGGTCTCGCAGGGCGTAGCTAAGAGCGCCATCACCCATGGACGTGGTACCCGCTGAGAACAGAGTCCACCGTCTTGACTCTAGAGACGAAGCTGGACCTCAACGCCACACTGCAGAGAGTGGCAGCCAGCCAGTGACCATCTTTTACATGAAACAGCACACTTTAATGGTAATCACTTGCAGCATCGCAGGCTCCGTCGACACAAGGTGGCCAGGGCTTGGAGGCGCGCTCCTGGCAAGTCAGTGAGGACGAATTAGCGTGCGGATCTATAGGTTGTGCATTCATGATGAAGGGGTGTTGTGTGAGGTGTGCAAAGCGGTGGAAGGTGGAGGTGGATGGGTGGATAGATTAGTGGTGTGTGGGTATGTGTATGGTGTGTCTGTCGATGGCTATCTCGTTCGTCGTGGGGTGGACGGGTAGCCGTCATTGTGCTCACGACGTAAGGTTTTTTTTTATTTCTTTTTTGATTTACTTAGTGCGGGCACCCCGGGGAAGATGAGAGAACGAATGAGAGATGTAGGTGGCCTTGAGGGGGGAGGGGGGTGGGAGTGTGTGAGCTAGAGGATACGTTCCTCATCTTGAAAAGAGAGTGGAAAGAGCAAGAGGGGACCGACCACCAGCCCCTGCCCCCCCTTTTACCGTGTCAGTCGAACGCCATCGCACTGTAGCCCCTGTACCCTTTCAGGACCCGCTTTAGAACAGGACCAGGTTCGGGACTAGGGTAGGGATTTGGGAGCCAGGATCAAGACTGGATCCCAAAGGAAAATACGCCAGCGCCAGGGCCAGGTGCAAGTGCGAAGTGTGTAAAGTGCAGGAGCAAAGAGTGCAAAGTGGGATGCTCCTGCTGGCTTGTCTGTCCGGCCTGTCTGTCTATCTGGCGGCCTGCAGTTAGCATCTGTGCAGAAATGGTCCCAGCACCCATGCTCTTCTTGTCCCCTTGCATCCTATTTACACATATGGAGCCCCCGTACCCCCATTCGAGCTGCCTGTGCCTGTAGGTATCCATATGCAAGACAAGCCAGACCGACTCGTCCATTAAAATATCTTCGCCTACCCTCCTGCTACCACTCTCCAGCTCTCGCTTCTTCTTGCTCCTCTTTCTTTTCCTCATTCAAGAGAAACACCAAGTGTGTCTTTGCCTACAGCGTTCTACATTCGGCAGAAGAGTCTGGTCACTTACACGCAACTGCCAGCCCAACGACTTCTTCTCTCTGCTGTGGACCAGCTGCTCTACAAAGACTGAAACCGCCCAGTCTTAGATTATCTCGAACGGGACCGACAGAATACCGTCACTTCCCACCATGACGCTGGCCGCCCAGACTATACCCGTCAGGGAGTCTGTACATTCCAACCAAAAAGAGGTGGCCGCAAGTTGTCAGGAGCACAAGGACCAACAACAGTCGCAACGGGCGTCGTACAGAGATTCGCTCCCAAACGCACCACAACCTCCTGTTTACACCGACGACACCTTTAACGAGAACGATAACGACAAGATGTACAGCGAATACTACGAAGACATGATGGGTCCTTCGCCAAAGAAGACCCAGCCACAGAAGCAGGCACCTGCTCTGCCAGCCAAAAGCTCCCTGAGAGCTTCGAGATTGCTCGACGGCATGGCTCTCAAGATTATTACCAACCAGCCCACCACCATACAAGCACCCCAAGAGGTCTATCTCTCCTCAGAAGAGGAGGCCTCGTCTTCTGCCGACGAGTTTTCAGACTATGAATATGAGTCCGACAGCGTAGAGTCAGCCGGGTCCCCGGTCAGGAGGAAGAGCCACGAGGACACCGCTCGTGTCGTCTCTGTTGTGTTTGCCGGAAAGCCCTCCATCATCGACCTCCCCTCTACTAGACGGTCTGCCTCCCCCGAATCGATCGAGTCCCGGCCTTCAAGCAGACCCTCGAGCAGACCCTCTAGCCGCATGGTCATGTCATCGACTGAACCTTCGCTGCGGAGAATGTCTACATCCTCGACCAGTGGCGCTTCCTATTCCCCCATTTCCCACCCACCCCGATCCAGCAGCATGATGATCACTAGCAGCATGCTGCCCAAGGAGCGTCCTTCTTTCCTCAGCATCGATCCCTGTGCTACCAAGACGTACGAGGAGAGGGCTGGTGAGGAGCTGCAACAACAACAGCAGCCTGAGCCTGAGCGCTTGGAGAGACCCAAGACGCCCACCTCCGCCCTCTTCAGAAGAACACTGAGCATCGTGCGGAAGCGCAGCCGCCCCCAGCTGAGGGATCTGGCCGCCAACAACTCCTCGCGTGACAGATTGTCCTCGCCTTCCCTACAAAACCTCCCCCTCAGTGCCCACTCGGACATCACCCATCTCAAGGAAGAGCCCGAGCCATCGGTCAAGACCCCCAACAGCCCCTGGTCCACATTGAGCTATCACGACATCATGCGGGCGGCCAAGAAGAACTCCCAACCTACCCAACCCCAAACCCCCTCGACCCCAGTTGCCCAATCGCCCGTATCACCGGCAGTTAACACGAGAAGCCGCATTCTGAGTGGTCTCGCAAACAGGAGGAAGAGCATCAAGATCGGCTAGTCGCCGCGCAGCCAAGAAAAGAAAAAAAGAACTAAAAACCAACAAAAAAACAGACCGACACACGGCAGGGACTCGTGCTCGAAACATTTTGCATCGGGATGGGGAATTTGCTTTGCATGCACGGCGCACCAACGGGAACCGGAACTGGACCACGGCGTTTCACACTGACCCTCGGCCACAAGCTGGCACATGGGATCACGGGATTACTTGGGTTGAACCACCAACAAACACTCCTTTCTACCTATTTTTATTTTTATTTTTGTCGCGACAGTTTACGACTGAACGAATTTCTTTGAGTGTACAAAAGGATCGAGTAATGTGTAAAAGGGTGCCAAGGAAGCGGCAAGGGGGACGGAAGCACACCCACACCCACACGGAGGATTGTGGTGGCATGTACCAAAAAATGGTGGCACCGTCAAGACTGAGAGCAACGCTCTGGCCGAACTGGAGCCCCCACGAACAATTTGGGGGCAATGGCCTAGGTAGACATCAATGATACCAACATTGTTCAATTTTATCATACAAAACGTTCCCGCCCTAGTGACTTTTGTGATGTATGGATTGTCTCTTGTCAGACGCCGATCTAATATCAGGCAGTGGCCGAAGACTTGCAGCTCGGCCCATCTGGAGGGTCAATTCTTGGTTTCGGCTGGTCAACTCAAGTCACGGTTCGGTGCCGCATTCGCATTGTCCGTTCTCCTACCATGACCTTTTGCAACGTACTGACACCTAAGAAATGGGACTAGCCGGTTCGGTGCTCCGTACCCGACCGGGCCCGAGACGTGAACAGTCCACCGTATTACCTTTTGGCTAAAGGCCCGTCGGTCTTCATCGCGACGCTGTAAAGTTAACAATCATAGGCTTTTCATCATTAATTACACCTTGCAGGCGCATATCGGTCCTGCGTTCTTCTTCCTTTTCTTGTTTCCCCTTTCCCAAACCCAGGCTACATATCCGTTTAGCAGGGGGATTGCCATAATCGCCCGTTAATTGCTTCCCCCCTGCCACCTATATATGCGCGTCGTCTTTCCTCCCTCTTACTTGGCCCCTCTCGGTCAACGTGTGTGTGTGCGTGAGTTATAGTGCGGCTGGAAGGGGGTTAGGTGTGGATGACCTTGTCGCCAGCACGCATCGCATGTCCGTGCTATTTTGGAGTAGTTGGTCAAGAATTGGTAGTTCCAAGAAAGATTTGAGCGGCCCCCCCCCCCCCCCCCCCCGAAATTCTCAACTTTGGCCCCCAGCCTCGGAAAACCCCCAAAATCATGCATACACACACACGTACACACAATGTGTTTTATTTTCCAGAGAAGGAGAGAATCCACCCCCCAAAGATGGAAAAGAGGCCTACAAAAAGTGAAGTTGGCGATGGGTGGGGGGGAAATGTAGTTCCGCCGGGATATTTTCAAGGTTCCCAGTTTTTAAAACCAATATTTTAACAAACCGTGAGGCTGTTTAGTTACTTCCATTGTGGACTCCTCCGAAAAAAGAAGGGGAGACCCAAGTTTCCCACATAACGTAGGAAGGTACGTAAACTAACACCCCATCCTTGTCCTTTATCCCGACCTTTACCTCGTCGATTATTAGGTAAGGTATGGTAAGTGGGAGGTCGCCTTTTTTTTTTGTGACGAAAACGTGCTTGTACGTAGTAGAGCAGCAGGTGGATAACATACTGCTACTTAGTTAGTTGTTCTGTCGGTGAATGTGGCGAAAAAAAAAAAGAGGTTGAACACAACCCTGGTCATTGGGGAGGGACCCCCAGATGCACGAACACGTTGACGGCCGCCTTGCGCAGGGCGGTCTTTTTCTTGTTCTTGTTCGTTTAGTTGGTTTCCGTCTGCAATCGTCTCTCTTCTTTTCTTTTCTTTTCTTTTTTTTAACTGAAGAAAATCAGGGACGACGTTTCCTGTCCATTCCCCACTGGGGGCTACCCGCGTAAGGCGCTATTTTGGGCTTTTACGAAAACTTGGCTGCAGAGCCCAAAAGAGTTGGTTGAATAGCTGCAATCGCTTAATCACGATGAATTGTTGTCTTCTAAAAAAACGTTTGGGCGGGTTTCTCTATTTTGAGAATGTCTTGGATAAAACATCACCTGAGTCTCTCGATCCCCCCTCCATTACTATGACGCACATTCCGTGGAGGGATCGAACGGTGCAATCGTCTGTCTCCTTTTCTTTTTTATTCTTCATGTCTCTGAGTCCCTTGCACGTCAAAAAAGTAGGTTGATGATCAAGGAGGTTGGTTGAAGATCAGCTGGTTCGTGGATACATTTGCGCACAGTACAGGATGCAGTGGGCTTGCATGAGGGGTTGCGGGCAAGACTATAGTTGGTTGATTGGGCAGAGCAGGGCACCAAAAAAAAAAAAAAAAAGTGAGGCCGGAGGTTTCTCAATACTTCTCCGTCATTCGTAGGGAGGGAGCATGACACACAAGGGAAAGAAAAACATGTTGAAGAAGTTGGAGGGTTGGTTCACTTGCCTCCTCCAACAAGCTGAAGATCGAGGCTGAGATCTAAAATGGTCAGAGGTGGTAAAAGTCCCGCCAGCGAAAGTAAGGGAGACTTTTGATGCTTCGGCAATCGTGGCTATCATTTTTGGGGGGGGGTTCTAGACTGCCCCGATTACGTGCTCTACAACGGAACAACCTCGATCCTGGTGATTGTATGTGCGTGTAAGAAAGTGAGGTGTCGTTGTTCGCCAGGAAACTCCCATCGCTGCCAATTGGGTGTCACTGTGGGGAGGGAAACAATATGTATGGGACGCGCGCCTGGCAGGGTACTGCATGCCTCAGTTCCTCCATCAAGGTCGGGATGCAGCGAACAGGTGGTGTCGTCGTCCGAACCCCGGGGACGAACCCTGGAGAGTGGTATAACACCGGCGGTAACACTAAATCACAGCTGAATTGCGTTCCCTGCCCAAGGAGGGTTTCCCAGGCGCGGGTGCCCGGGGATAGAGCACGTCGCGGGCGGTAAATGAGTGAGTGGGTGGCGAACGCGGCCGGCCGGAGTTCTGGGCTGCGGGCCGTATGGCCACGATGTGGGCGGAGAGCTCGGGACGGCCGTGGCGGTCCAACTAGAGCTCCCCGCGGCCATCTAGTCTCCTCCACTTTCACTTTAAAACTTCCTGCACTGTCTGTTGGAAGTACTGGAATCCCGATTTTATTTTATTTTTTGATTTGTTTCTCATTAATAGCAGCGGCTACAAGATTGAAATAAGAGTATTGAATGTTTTGTAAACATAGTTTACCCAAGACAAAACGCGCTAATAAAATGCTTCGCAAGTGGGCGGTTTGGTAACACGAGATTTTGAGACCTTTTTTTTTTCCCTCATCTACGAACAAGATTTGGTCCCAAGCTAAATTGCACCAAGCCCGCCGGTCCTGGAAACTCAGGTATGGATCTGGAGATGAAATGAGAAAGGACAAAAGAAAGTAAAAAGAGTTTTTCCAAGCTCCGGAGATGGAAACCGAATTGAGATGTGCAGTTTCAATGAGTTAGAGTGTTTGAAGGAGTGTGTGATTCGGTACGTTTGTTGCCGCGATGTTGAACCTCATTGGTCCATGGGGCTTTCGGTAGTTCAACACCTCGCGCGGCATTGAAGTCACATTCAGAACAGCGCTGGTGATGATTTCGGCGATGACGTTTGATGCAATCTTTTTCACTCTATGCTGCGTGCAAACATTCTTTCTATATCGTCTCATCCGTTACAAGTTGCCACGGTTGCACGTTCTGTTACAAACTACCCCGGCCCAGAAAATGCCCTCGCGCCCGCCATGTGCCGTGGCTGGCTGATGGAATGGTGCCGTGCGTGTGCTTCCACCGGAGGTGGTGATGATCTGCCATTTGCTCATCTTACACGTTTCGACACGTGCACAGGTTTACAATCATTCAGGGCCAATCCACGCCTGCGGGGTTTCGTGATCTCGCCCCGTGGCCAGACGGCAAAACTCACCGGGGCCGGGTTCGGTCTTGTCTAGGATTGATGGCGTGCCAGTCAACGGTGGTGGCACATCACAGGGACGATCCCGGACAGGCAGACGAACGGCGGTTTCGTCCAAACAGTTGTTTTCTGTTTTCCCGCGACCCATGATTTCGGGACCGCGTCACTAAGAATAGACTGCAATGGGGGGTGAGAAAACAACAAGTAATCTTGAGATTTGTCGTAATCTTGCTCTGTTTGCGTCTCGTCATGCGAACGGTGTGAAGCGCGGCGTCAAATTTTCAAGACCGCACAACACGCAATGTTGGAATATGGGGCTTTCTCTCAGCTAAGTGGATATAGCTGAGAAGAGAGACGGCACCTTGGCTGCAGACGTGATTTAAGCTCTGGGTGAGGGGACTTTACCTCAAACAGACAAGCATCTCTATTTGGAAGCATCACAATCTACAACATGGTATCAATTGTCACAGACGCCTCCCCCCCCCCCATATGTATGACTTGCAAACTGGATACAACCAAACCAACTTAATTCAGCTGAGGCGCCATCCTCTTGGCGACATCGCGAGATCCGGCCAAGGCGGCAGCGCTGGAGTCGCTTCTTCGCTTCTTCGAGTCTTCGTTCGGCTTTCCCGCAATTTTAACTACGCTGCATGCTATTCCTAGCGCCGGGGTCCATCTGTCGCAATCAATATGAATCACAGTTCTCTCGTCCCCTCAGCCTGGGGTTCCCATGATTTCGTGATCACACGATTCCCAAAGTGGAAGTACTAGAACAACTCTGCAAACCGGTCCGTGGGCTTCTGGATCTAGCTACCTCATTTAATCTGGAATTATCAACCACTAGCATATATTACCATCGCGTCTTAGCGTGATAATAGAACTGCGGCTCCTGCTGCTGCGGCACGAGTATATTTTTTAGGCCCAGGAAGACTCGGAACGGTGAAATGAGTGAACATGGCCTTGGCGCCGTGCGAGATAGATTCCGATCCGCGGCTAGGAGGGGGGGGCTCTCGAAGATTGAGGTTCCATCGATCCATCAAATCATCGGGACACTGGGGGGGAAAATGCTACCATCACGGTCGTCCTGATCACCATACCACCACACCGCTGCTCTGATCCCCCCGCAGAAGCGGAATTGTGATTGCTCGATAGAGCGATACCTTGCGAGCGTATATTCCGTCATGACTTCAGTTGGGAGACGATCGTCGCCGTTACTGCGCTTTGATGGACCCAATCTCTCTCCATCGTGGGGAAATTGGTGATCTCGCGCTGCGCGTGCGTTCGTCAAGTCATATTCTCTCGAGTCAAGGCAGAAGTGATCGCCAATGAGGCCATGAAGGCTTTGCGCAGTTAGCGACTACAGTCCGTGAGGTGCAGCTGTCAGCCATCAAAAGTAGCCCCTCACCCCCAATTATCGCAGCTGGCTACAGGTAGGATTTGTGGTGAGGTCTCGGACAACCAACTGGCTTACACCGATCTCACCGCCAGCCAGTTGAGATGAGCGTAGATGAATTTCCTCAACGGCCCGACAAGAAGCAATAGTAATCGTACCATAAGTTGCAACTGCCAAACGTAAACGGCCCCCAACTCCGGCGAAGCAAAGCGCGCACGCGTTGCTCACACCCCCTGTTGCAGTTTCTCGACATTTCTTTTTCTGTCAGCCGTCAAAACGTCGTTACCGCAGATACATCAACCCCTTATCCCTGCCTCTGGGGCCGTTCAAAGGGGGACCAGGGGGAGGACGGATTTTTTTCGTCCAGGTAGAACCCGCTGATGCCCGTAGACGGCCGACTTTAGCGAGAGCACCACACAGTGAAGAGGGTCTCCGTTGGCCAAGAGCCCACCGAGGTACGAGCCCCGTACAGTGCACTAGGCTCACCGACGAAGATCTACGATTTCGGGGTTGCGATCGTTGAGACGGTCTTGTCAAGTTGTGCAAAGAGTGGCTTGTTCGGGCGGCAGTCCCTGTCGTTGCTCATTTCGCTTTTTAGTAGTGGTTTTACCTGCGACAACGACCCCCAGAAAGATGCATGTGGGGTTCAGGTCAGCCGCCTACCGTGTGTGCCTACCGTGTGTGCCTACCTTGTGCACTTGTGCCACCCCTGCAGCAACTCACAGTGTGTGCTCTCCTTCTTAGTGTATTGAGTAGGTGAGTAGTAAGCGAAGCCTGCCTATCTTGTCGTCTCTCTTGCCCCCGCAATACGAACATTGGCCGGGACGTGGTGGGAAAGAGGCAATTGCACCCCTGGTCTATCCTGCATACACTCTTTTTCTGTAGCCGTACCTGCAGCTAATGCACCTTCATCTATCCGTACTATCTAAGTATGCAGTGCATCTGCACCCGTCCTCCACTTAATCATCATCCCCAGTCTGTTTCAGCTTCATCTTTCCGTCGTCCGACTCTCCCATATCGTGATGCTCATTAGAGTAGCTGGCCCTGGACACCAGGGCTCCATCGCATCTGCACGACATTGCAGAAAAGGAAACCAACTCATGAGCAGATGACATGACTTGCAATATCCTAGCTGCCAAACTTCCGCATCAGTTCAGCATCCAGTCATCTGGCTCCATTATCCATCATCGTCGCTCGGTCGATGTCCCGGAAGCCGAAGTCAACCCATCAGGGGTGGCTTGAAAATGCACAAAGAATATGGAGAACACCAGGAAGGGCGCCGCAAAAAAGTCGAAGGAGTCGAAACATAATCAGCCAATGTCGTCGTCTGCCTCACATAAACTCGTCCACCCGGGGACCACCAATCATTTCGACAAGCGGACTCACAACCCATTGCCGACTCCGTCTTATCATCTCAGCCTTGCATCCCTCCGTTGTCGACTATTATAATACCACCATGACAAGGTTTAAGACGCCGAGGAAGAGACGTTCCGAACCTTCCAAGCCCTCCTCCCCCGGCCAGCCTCGGCCAACCTGTCCCTATCCGGCTTTGCATCTCCTCTCCCCTGCAAACGGCCAGATACTTCGCCTCCACTCAAAGAGGGAAAGGAGAGATAGGAGATGCGAAAAAGAAAGAAAGAATCATGACAAGCAAGAAAAAGGGGCTTGCATCGGTACCGCACAACCGAAAGAGCAGACCACGGTTTTCCCTATCCCGCATTTTGTGATTCCTTGTCATCTTAATGCCATCCCGTTAAGATCGTCACCCGGCTGATGCTGTACATCGTCCACGGGATAGGCCAATCCCACCCTGCCCCTCCACCCTCTAGCTTTCCCAATTGCGCCTATCAGCGTCCGCACCGGCTCCCCCTCCGTCTCCGGACTTTGCCCCTCCCTAGCCGCCGAACAATCGGTGTCGATCCCGGCCCCCGGACGCTCAACCTCCCTTTCCGTTTCCCCTTTTCGCATCTCGGACGCCACCATGCCCATCGACACTCTCAACCGGCCATCTACACCAACACTACTCCCTTTAGCTTGGTTAGGACCGCCAGCTACCAAGCCCTCAACAAGTCATGGAAGAATACATGTTCCAAACTAGCGTACAACTGTGTGTACTGTGTGCGACTCACCCCCCCTTTAGTGCGAGAAATCAAGCCCGTTAGCCTCACGCCCATCACAAGCTGCAACGCCGGCCATCTGGGCGTTCGGCAAAGTGTGCCAAAAGAGCCGCCCTAATGCCTTCCGACGCAAGCATTCATAACTGCAGTCCGCCACCACACTTGCACTACGTAGTAGGTAGCTAGTTGTAGCTAAGCTCGTAGCCAAATTACTTCCCATCCGGCAGCCCACAGAAGTTCAACGCTGCTTGCGGGTTTTTTTTGCAGCCAAAAAATCCGCGCCGCTTGTTCTGCCAGCTTTTCCCTTTAAAGTCAGCTTCTAGACGCATTGCTTTCCCTTTACATCAGTCGGAATAGGTTTAAATGTTGGATCAGCCGCAGTGTCTCGCACACATATACCGGCTGGAAACTGTGCAGCCTTCGAATTATGGCGAGACAGAGTTTCCAGACAGCCGGATACCGGTAGACGGGCAAAGCAGCCGACTCGGGACAACGTTTGCTTTCTCTCAGACAAAGCGTTAGTTAGAAGACTCGCGGAAGATGAGCGATGCTCCATCGTGATATTACCATCATTTCCTGAGGTCGCATTGCGGAGATGACCTAATACCAATCAAGGACCATAGTTGAAGCCGTCGTCGCCAGCCACCAGTCCGAGCCCTGTGCCTCTGCGTGGCCGAGCACACACAAACTCATCAAAGTTGGGATGGCACCTCTCACAAGGCTGCCAGATTTTGCCAACGTGCCCAGAATCAGGCTTAGCGTGCGCAAAGACACGCACCAAGAAGGAAACTTTTTTGGAGCGGGGTGTTCATCTTGTCTTAGTCAGGTCCTAGGCACGATCTGAGCGTGCTTCCGAAATGGCTGGACGAGCGAGAAGTCAGCCAGCGAGAGGGATTCTTCTTAGGATCTTCGCCAAGATGAGTTGCTAGTTCCCACCCACATTCACGCTCGCCGGGAAGGACAGATCGTGGATGTCCCAAGAGGTATGGAGATATTCAAAACCTCCATGGCGTTTACCGTGTCAGGAGACGGCATTATACGCCACCCGTCAGGGACCGAAAGCCAGCGAGAACTCGTCGGTCAGCTTGACGGCGACAACCCAAAGATTTTTTCTCAATATGATAAGGCTCAAACAAGCCCAGTCACCTGAGCCACCATTTCGAAACGTCTCCTTCAGGCTGGTGTCCCTAATCGACAGTCACGGTGGGGTCAGCCTTGCACCATCGTGATGTCCACATACGTTTAGAGGTTAGCCATTGTTGAACTTCCCAGTGCCATAGATCTGCTTATTACTCCGATCGAGTTCAAACGCTTGGATCTACATCTCCAAACCCCATGCAGCTCAGTGCTAGCCACAAGTCGATCGACACAGATGTGGTGAAACGGGCCACCAGCAAAGACGCCCACTTCTACTCCAATGACCTACCCATACTAGACAGCAAAGTGCCTGTTATGCCAAACGGAGACTGGCTTGATGGTATTGCCAACTGCTTGGGTCTTGCATTCTGTTCTGCCTCAAACATACCTTGACGCCTCAACTTTAGGCTGACATCTTTTCCCCAAAGAAACCTCCAGCCATCGTCACAGCTGCAGGTGTAGTGCCCATATAGTAGCATTTTTTCATGGGCGAGCCGAACTAAATCACAGTATGCGTGATTATAGTTCCATCAAAGCAGTGAGATTTTAACTCTGAATCTTTCACGGCCGTGCTGTCATTGTCACCACATTACAGCCTCAATGCTACTTCCAAGATGACAAGCTGGCATAAGGGATGGCCAATGTCCGAGTTCAGTTCACGGGGGCAGGGAGGGGCGGGATTCCTCACACCATTAATCTCAATTTCCTATGCGTTGTCATATGCAACCACTCGGACACCCGCGCAGCACTGACATGTCAATAGACTATTGACTTGATAAGCAAATGATACGTGACTCGCCCCCCACGAAGCAATGCCATCGCTTTTACCTAAAGAGCACGGACACCCAACCTCGTAGGATCCGGGACGTGCAACAACCCGTCCTGCCTTGTGCTGCACTCACTTGGCCGCCTGGCCCGGCAAGCCATAGTAAGGACTGACCACGTCACTGTTGCAGCAAGCCTGGTCCTCTTTTCTATATGCCCTGGACCTCCTCTTAGTGCCTACATATCGTGAGTATAGGCGTACCGAGTCGTTCACCCGAACGGCTGCGTACACCCCCACGCATCTCTGAAGCGAGCATAGAAACACGGGCCTTGGGGCAGGGTCCCGGATACATAGTACGACTATGTAGATGACCTTGTTTAGCTATTGAACCCTTGCGATGCCGATGCGCCGGGGAAATGAGGGTTGGTGCTTCTCCGGGGCTCTACTCCACCATACCGATTGTCTCGTACTAGCAGATTGCGTAGTCGGGGGTGAGATGAGTGAAATACCAAGTGGGTTCTGGGCGGCATCGTGATGCCGCTGATATGAGCGATGTGGGCGGATCAAATGAGGTTCGAGGTCCGCGAGTGGTATGTTCAGTTGGTAGGGTCCGGCTTCTGGGGTTTGTAAGTGTACAAATCGTCTTTCCCGGGTTTACGAGAGCCCAAGTGACAACAGGTGAAGCAAGCTTCTCAGCAACGTTGGCGTAGGGAGCTCGATGTCAGGAAGCATTGGCAGCACGTCAGCTGTTCATGTCGAACCGTTTGTAGTTCATTATAAGTCAACAACATCAGAGTGGCACTATACTGAAGCAGGAGCCAGTCAACTTGTCGTAGATCCCAAAATCTTGGTGTACAGTTTGTCCTTCAACCCCCGGATTATTCATATATGCATCACGGCACTTCACAGCTTCGTCCCATCCTACACGTCATCCAATGATTGTGATCATCAGTCACGTCAATTGTATGATACGAACATCCCCAGGTCTAATCATGCTCAGATTGGATTGGTGGATTATTGTGAATGCCCACCCAGGGGTCCTGTTTCCGGAACCTACCGAAGACCCTGGACGTTTCTTCGTGAGCCTCTCAACCTGCTGTTTTATGGATGTTATAAGTGGGTAGCAATCTTGAAACGAAAGAGCGGTACCTGACCGGACCATTCTTGGCCTTGTCACTGCTCGATAGTCACAGTGTGTGAAAATGCCTGTCTCGAGAACGAAAACCAATGGGACTACTAGTAATATCGCCCGGCAAGTGGGGGGGGGGGGGGGGGGGGGGCTCGTTTAGGGCGAGGGTATCAAGACATCGTGAGTATAATGACTCGGGATGATGCTTTTGATACGTCGCAGGCATGTTTCTCAGTAAACCTACATTCTGGAAACAACTTTAGCCTCGAAGGAGTACAGCAACTCCAAACGACATCTGCGAAACTAATGCAAATGCCATAGAAAACTGGAAACTTGGCGGAAATGAATCGTCTTGTTTGTGTCGTCAATAGTGAAATACAGCCAGTCCCAATGGAAACACCCACATGCCTGCTCTTTGAGTTCCCCGCAACGCAAGTAGACGACGTTTCAACCCGGTTCAATTCTCAAAAAAATCAGATACTAACACAAATGTACGAAACAACAATTATCTTCGAAGGAAAAGAGGTGGAGAAGAAGAAAAAAAAAGCTCTCATATCTCATCGCAGATCGCGCATGTGGTAGAGAAGTTAGTTATATGACGAGCAAATCTCTTTTTAATAAATATAGTCTAAAAGTTTCTTCGACGTACCCCTGCCAACAGCAAGCTTTGTAAACTCATATTAAGATTAACCTCACACGCGAGTCGCCCACGACCGACCAGTAAAACCGATACCGGAATTGAAAACAGTCGGAGCCGACGGAAACGGTTCTGCCGCAAAAGATATGCTGAAAAGTGCTCTTGTCGATGGCGTCTCTGGAAATGAGTGTTGAGGGCTCACCGAGAGAGCCGCTGGCTTCCACTCTCGTTGTGTTTTTATAACCTCGTCCTTGTCGCTTATTGATTGGGGTAGCATTGGTGGAACCTTTGAACCAGAAAAGGAATCGTTTGTATATATTATGTTTGACGGAACGTGATACACGGAATAATTTGATGTTTAGTTTGCACAGGCTGCTAAATGATCACGCCTGCGAGGGCAAAGTATGCCAACGACTATCGATCATCTGACCAAAGCTAGCAGAGATTAAGAAAGGTCAAAGGAAGGAATACGAGGTCGGTGGGCAGAAGTGCCTGGCGAGGGATGAGGCTCCGGCCTACTCGTCAGGCTTACCACAGAAGTGCAACCCCCATCCCCATTACAGGCCTGCATCCTTGTCAACGAAGGCAGCCCTGAAGCATTCTGAGCGGTCACTAACACCAATTGTCTACGTATTTTATTGTCGAAGCCAGTGTCCTTGTGTCCGGAGTATAATGCTATACATGCCAAACGATGATAGTGACTACTATACATGCCTCGTCATTGACGATAGAAGCATCGAAACCTATAAAGCAATAATTAAGGCCTAGCCACCTGTGGAAGGTGCCAGAGCAGGCCCTATATAAAGCCGTTCAAGATGAACTTACGGAACTTAACAACGCAATGTGAAGCCCGTCAAAAGTGGTAGTTGCGGCAGCTGCCTCTTCTGCATTTGCCAAGCCTAGCCGAAGGACCCCCCCATGAAGATCGGCGAAAAAGCTCAAGAATTACACTCTCACCAGTGTCGTCTTCGACGCATCGGAGACAATATACGGACGAAGGGGATGGGAGGTGAAGGACAAAGGCCGAAGGACGATAGACAAGACTTACACCACGGCACTGTGCACCACCCAAAGAAACATTGTAGATTTTGCAGCTCCTGCCCGGAAGAACCATTCGAGAAATTCAAGTTGTTTACGACTTGAGAGGTTACCCTATAACAACGCAAAGTCCTAGCTGACCTTTGCGGTAACACCATGGCATCGTAACTTTGCAATGCTGCGCTACACCAACTTGTTAGTTAAACCGACGCGATCGGCCATTCTGTTTATAGTGGCAACCAAAGTCGCCAATCAGCATGCACCACCGATACATCAAGTCAAAAGAGTCTTGGCCGTGTCATCTTGATTACTCTCTGCATGTTAAGGGCCAATTCAAGGGATGAACCCAAGACCAGCTATCCGCACCAAGAAAGAAAACTTCAAAAAGCGTCATCTGTAGAAACAACCTCTTTTTACTCCGTAAACCGTCGGGGTATAGTATTGATACAAGGGTAGCAGCAACGTAGGTAAAGCATCCTAATAGCCCGAATTCAAAGAAAAGAAGAAGAAGAAGAAGAAAAAGAAGAAGAGAAAAAAAAAACCACACGCGGTGATTAGAAGCAAAAATGAGAAAAGCAATTGGCCTGCCATTTTTTTTGCCCCTCCTCCCTGCCCATCATCCCCGTATCCCTTCCCAGACCCCATCATTAAAGCGTCTCTCTAAAACTTCGTCGCTGGCGAGATTTCTTGTCTCAGGCTAAAGAGCACGGAAAGAAGCCCGCTCTGGCCAAACAGAAAATCACCGCCACAGGTCCGCGGACTTCTTCTCGTTGTTCGCGGTGCTTGGTCTCGGCCAGTAATCCTCGTCGCTCCCCTTGCTTCCTCCTGTGCTCTGGCTCGGGATAGCCATGAACATGCCTGCGCCGTTGCCCACCATGACGCTCTTTCTCGCTGCAGCGGTGTTCCATCCTGACCCCGCAACATCGGCACCGAGACCATAGGAACTGATCGGGCGGTCGCCATGGAAGCTCATGCTGCCGCGGTGGTGTCCGCCGCCAAACGGCACTGTAGGTTGGAGCATTACCGAAGACCAGTCCAGGGCGTCGTCCGCCTTGGTGTAGATCGTTAGGGGATGGGACAGAGGACCGGTGCCAGCGAACGGATTCGTAGAGCTGAAGCGTTGTGAGGCGCGAACGTTCGAAGCAGCTGCGAAAGGTCGGGGTATCGCCATTCCGCCGCTGTTGGGCGGAGCAAGGCCTCCGCGGCTGCCGGACATAGGCCGGTGGGATGTGACTGAATGTGACGACTTGGGCCGGGCGTTGCCGCCAAACGAGAACGGTGCCTGAGGGCGTGGCAGGCCTTCCAGCTCGTCCTGGAAGTACTCGTCTAAAACATAAACCGACCTTAGGTTGGGCATGCCATTGCCTCTTAGAGAGGCCGCTAAATATGTGTAGTAACTGGCCGTGACACTGGAATAGGGGCCTGCTGATTTGGCAGCGGTGATTTCGAAGCGGAGCGATTCCAGAGATGTCGATGCCAGGCGCCGGGTCCTTGGTCCACTCTTAAAGGCCTCGCTTACGGCGGCCTCGATGGCGAGTGTTTGTAGGTTTTGCGCGGCCAACATAATGTCCGCTAGGGTCGCCGGATGAACGCCTGTCCTCAACAGAGAAAGGACTGTCAGGATGTTGCGGGTGTCAGCTCGGCTCAGATACTCCACCAAGCCACTGGCGGTAACGGCTGGGGTATTGCTGAGGATGAGTTCCTCCAAGGGCGGGAATGGAGGCAAGTCTTCATTCCGGGAGAAAATGTCATCCGAGAAAGCCTGGGAATCCATAACCTTTAGCGCGCGGAGTTTCCTCAGATTGCCCAGCGCATGTCGCAGCACGAAGGGGTCCATATTGATCTTGATCAGCTCCAGGACCTCCAAGTTCTGCCATATTCCGCCGTGAGCCAGATTAGACAAACTGGCCTCCGCGCCTCCGTGGTAGGTCATTTTCCGGAGGTCTCGGCATCTAGCCTCAACCTCCAGTCTGAGCGTCGCATAACCGTGTTCGTCGGCGAAAAGTCCTTCGGGAAGGTCAACGTAGAAAAGGTTCGGGAGCACGTGAATGATGCGGGCGAGGTCTGCCGTGGCCGCCTCCCTCAGCATGTAGGGCACCTTAAAGTATCTAACCCTCGAGCCGAACCGCGTGGGGTCTTCGCGCAGGGTCCGACAGAGCAACTTCAGACGCACGGCAGGGGTGTCTTCCGGATCGGCATTGCGCTTGAAGAACGTTTTGCGCTTTCGCTGCTCGGAAAGGTAGATTTCGCGGGGACAATAGTGTACGGCGTCAATCCGGATGCTGTGGTATCTGTACAGAGACATTTGTCAGCCCAAAACTCTCGATCTCAGCCTCGGAGGAGAGGGAGCTTACAGTGCGGCATTCGCTACCTGATTCCACTTCCAGCAGACCCGTGCGCAGTTCGCCAAATCCCTTAGGTCGCATAGCATGCAGGCGTCAAAGATGGCGCTCGTCTCGCAGGTCTCGTAGGTCTCATCTTGGGTGTGCGGGCAGACGAAGGAAAATATGCGCGGGAGAATGTTCTTTGGCAAATTTTGAAGAAGCTGGGTGGAGGCGCGCGTCGGCTGGTAGAGAGGCGAGATATTGTTGCGGAAGTTCTGCTGGACTTGTGACGAATACTTGGACAGCTGGTGATCGGCAATATCGTGGGACTGCGACTGCTGATGTTGAACCTGCTGTTGCTTCTTCTTGTCCTTGTCTTTTCTGAAGAACCTCATCTTTTGCAACGGCCGAATGGCGAGCTTCATGTTGGGGGAACGAAGAGGGGAAGCGCGGCGAGCCGAAGGTGGTATTAGGGGATTAATATATTAAATCAACGGGTCCGTTGTCGCATTGCCCGATCGGCGCTGGCGTTTGGTGGGATTTGGGGGCTATCAAAGAGGCTTTCTGCAGGTCCAACGCTACCCCCAGCCAAAGTTTGACGGTCCAGTGGCCAGCTTTGTCGCCTTGTTCTCGTTTGCGTGCTGAACGAGGGGTTTCCTTCGCCTGTCTTAAGTAGGGAGGTGGTGAGGTACCATGCGCCCGTAGGATCAAATAAGTCAGGCACGGCTGACGGCCTAGGCTTGACTGCTTTTGGGCCAAATGTCAACGGTTTTGTCTGGGAGTTCCCAGCAAATCATTCCCTAAAAAAATAGAAAAAAAAGATGCAGGAGCCATGCATGCCCCCTTTTTCTCTTACTTAAGACGAAAAGCTCAGAAAGTCCGCAAATAGAACTATTTCAGGGATGGATGCATCAGCAAGTCTTCCCCCCCTCCTTTCCCTTCCTTTTTAAACAAGGCTGCACTTGCAGATGATATAGGACCAGACGGACCTGACAAAGAGACGATTGGAACAAAGATACTCTCACGAGCGATGCGTCCGCGGAAGGCGGCTGCCAGGGGAAATCTTAGTGGTTGCTAGGGTTGAGACTAAACCCCCCAATTCAGTGTGCTCCCCACCACGAGGCGCCCTCCATACCTAGGGACCCCTGAGAAATCGACGGCCAGTGTGTGGGGAAGGTAAACCATGCTGCCCCTGATTCGCCGTTGCCACCCAGGGTGCGCATCCCCCCTGAATGTTGGACAGTGAGCACGCATCGACTCACGACCTACTACTCCAATCAACCCTTGGTGCCCAGGCGACTCTCTGATCTTGAAACGAAACATCACAGTCTTGGGACTTTGCTGCCTTTCACCTGCTCCAACCGCCCGTAGCACTCAAGAATACCTAGATGAAATCATGCCCAATGGCTAGGTAATGCAATATCATTTTATCCACTATCTCTCCCACAAAGGAATGACCTCGAACCAATCTAATGCTCAGGTATGCATGCTGCTCTGCTCGTACATATCCATATTCACCCATGCTATCCACCTGCCCTGCTATCTTTGTTGCTTCGCATCTCCATTTCTCTTTGCGGTCCATTACATCCGTGTCCATATATAGAGTCGTCATTAGCGGCTGGCTGGCTAAGAGACGTTTGGCACCCACACGTGTGGCTACCCAGCATCCGGTTGCGCTTTGTACATGTCTCGCCGCTCTCCATTTACCGTGTCAGGCCTGCTTGACATTACGTCGTGTCTCGTGGTTCCTGTGCAAACTCTTTTTTCTTTTGCATTTAATTGCCGTTGAGCTGAACTCCATCGAGGGGGCTAGCAGGCCCCGAGGGACGCTTGGAGCGAAGGGTAAGGGGGAACGGATACTCGTCAGGATCTTCTTCCTCACTGTAGTTAAAAAAGTCAGTTTCGTTCATGAAAATGCCAGAGGAATAAATTTGAAACTTACGGCAACTTCCACGCAACGTAGTCTTCGGTGCTCAGTCCCTCTCTGCCCTCTTGCAAGCTGGCAAAGTCTCCTGGAGTCATCATGCCAGTGCGATCCCGAGGTGACCCAGGAACGGAGAACGGCCGCGAGATCTTCTGCTCCACGCCAGGGATAAAGTCCTCCTCCTCATCACCGCTAAAAGAGTCTGGGTAGGCTCGGCGCAACGCCAGTTGGCGGGCCTTGACGTACTCCATTCCCATTCTCTTCCAATCCAGCAGGTCGCTCAGGCGCTCTGTGCGGTTACGTTGGTTGATGCGTTGACGCCGACTCTTTTGGCAAAAGTCGAACATGTGCGTCGTGAGCTGATTGACGGAGTCATCAACACCCTTGGTGCGGCGGTCGACGATGTAGATACCGTAATCGCTCGAGTTCTCAATCAACTCCTCCATATAGCAGCCGAAGCCGGACAGGTTCGTTGTGATACTGGGCACACCCATGACAGTGCACTCAGCCGGGGTGTAACCCCATGGCTCATAGTACGATGCGAAAATGCCCATGTGAGTACCGCGAACAAACTCATCATAGTCCAGAGGCAAAACGGGGTTCGCAGAGTTCAAGAATTCGGGGTGGAAAACAATCTTGACTCGGTCGGAAGGGTGATTGAAGAGCTGGACGCGTCTGATCTGATTCAAGATAGGATCCTCGCTGTCATTGATCATGTTGTGGGTGACGATCGGAGGCAGGCCGTGACGCTTCATGGCAAACAACCGTCTTCGAATCAAGACACGGTCTTGGCTGCTGATGAGCTCCTTCTCATCAGGCATTGGGTCTCCATCATGCCACTTGAGCGAACGCTCGAAAATGCGGCGTCCAATGCCTTTCTCGATGATATCAACAGTGTCCCGCAGAGACTTGATGACCGCTTGTCCCTTGAGCGCTTCGACAGTCAAGGACGTCGTTTGGGCCGGCATAATGACAAAAGCGACGACCGTCATCTTGCTGCCAGCAACCTTGAGACGGTGGTTCAAACGAGCCAGAGACTCGATGAACATGTCAACACCCTTGTTTCTGAACTCGTAACGGCCGGCCGTGAAGAAGTAGAGGGTGTTCTCGGGATCGAAATCATAGTGGCCATAGAAATGACCACGCACAAAATCGTGAATCTTCTCCTTGGCTTGCTGATGCAAGTTCTGGAACTCGTGCATGGCAGAGAATTTTGTGACGTTCAGACCATTTGGCAGTACACCGTCTGGTTTTCGCTTCAGTAGATGTTCACTTTCGTACGCGGTGATGTGGGAAACGGTCGTAAAGACATCGCAAGCGTGAGCAGCGGCTCGCTCAATGCAGTAACGGTGGTAGATGCCGCGCTTTCCGGCCTCAGCATCGACGTCGAACCATTGCAGGTTGTTATAGAAGTCAACTGAGCCAGCACAAAGGTATCTACCCAAAAGAGTCGCGTGAGTTGTAAAGATAGTGGTTACATCGATGCGTCGCTTCTTCGTAAGAGGCAGCGCTACACCAGCAAGCCATTCGTGGAAATGCGCGATGACGGCCCTCTTCTTCTCGTGGCACACAAACTAGACGACTGTCAGCGTTGTCTTTGAGTTGACAGAAGCTACTTACCTCTCCCAAAAACCAAGCAACAAGGTAGCCAAAAACAACAGCCTCGTTCGTCTCGTCATCGTTGGGCGGCGAGGGAATACTGGCGACGTTCCACAAATCGGTCTTCCACTCATCCATAAAATGGTACGCGGTCTTAGTGTCAATAAGCAGCACTCGGGGAGCGCCGTCAATGAGCCATCGTCCATAGAGAATACCAACGCCCCGATCCCTCATAGACTGAATTGTGGCAGCGAGCTCAGGATTGGTGGGTTCCAATTCTTCAACTTCCACAGCAGCCTATTTCTCGTCTTAGTGCGTTACAGATACGACAGCTAGAAGCAATTTTCTTACCGAGTTGTGGTTCAATGGACCGATGAGCGTGTAGCGATCACCATACTCAGCCGTGGTTACTGGAGCTTTAGACTTTATGACGGAGTAGATACCGCCAACTGCACATTGCACAAATTGGGTCAGCCCACTGCGGAGACGATGATCTGGGGGGGCAGCCGTGGGGATCATACCTCGATGGGCAACTTCAGTTGCGATTTCGAAGAGCAGGTGGTTCTTCACATCGCGGGGAGGACGGTCGGGGTTGTCCCGAGTACCTTCTGGCATCGTAGACATTGTGGAAAACTAGAGTTTGAAGGTGCTGCGTCAAACAAAAAAAAATCTGTTGCTGAGGATAGAAATCAGTTAGGTGAACAGATCACGGAAAGGGGAGACAATGATTAAAAAAAAAATGATTTGAGAGCTTGCGTAAAGCAGCAGGAAGCCAATTGAGGCTTGGATGACGCAAGTCTGCAGGCTCACTCACAGGTAACCAAGGCGACGCGAGCGGAGCTTGGAGAAGCTTCCGAGATGGCGTGCAACTGGGACAAGGCTTTGATTTTAAAACAATAGAAGGGCGGGAGGTACTGGGCGAGACAGACAAGAACGACGTCAAGAGGAGAAAGGGAAAGACAAGAGCTTTGATTGAGAAGATGTTTGCGGGGAAGCAAGGTTTTAGCTACGAGGTGTCTTGGGAGGAAGAAGGCGTGGCGGGCATTGGCAGGCCTGGTCTGATGTGGTGTGGTTGTGGTTGGACAATCCAGTCCGGTCCAGCCCAGCTTCTCTGTATGTAGTGGCCGGAGGTACCTTGCCTCATTGTGACGCTACCCCAGTACCTGTGTCGCCTAGCTGCTCCCATATCTACGGAGGTTTTTTTACACCCTCGAATACGAGTGGCGTAGTAGAAGTAGCAGCAGTACTGCAAGTGGGTGGTCAGGCAACCCAAACAACAACAGCTTCTGCTCTCTTCTCTGGTCTGCTGTCAGAGTGAAGCCGAGGAGGGGAGCTGCAGCGCGATTCAATGGGCAATGGATGGACACTGGGAGGAGCTGGGGGCAGGTGTGGAACAACAACAGCGGATATTACAGGGCCCAGGGCCTGTCCAGAGCTCCCACTAGCGGGAATCCACACTGCAGTTTGAGATGGATTTGGTCGGCCAATACCAGGATGGTACAAGTCCAGACCACGAGTATTCTCAACAAATTCTTTTCCCATATTACCTCGCTGTTAGTATTTTGCGCTGTTACTTTCGTCTCGTACGGCATCGCCGTCCGTTGTTGCCGCCTTACTTCTCCGAATGCGACACTTCCTGCGTCCTGACGAATCCGATAATTGACGCGCGAAAATTCCCGTCGCTATTCCGGGAAACAGTAAAAGTTTTCTCCCTGCTACCCTTTCTCGGATGCCCAGAGGACGCATTGCGCACAACCTTGAAGGCCAACGAATCCGGCTGGGCTTCTATATCGGAATTAGGAGCAAGATCGAAAAAGTCGCAGACCGAAAACCGTAGGCGAGGCTAGAAGAGGTACCTTCTCTGTACCTAACATGGGTGCTGTTACCTGAGGAATGATGGCCTGGTAGCGCCAGGCTTCATGCAATTTGAGAGCTGTGGGTACCTCTCAGAGCTTCCTCCGGCCGAGCTTACTAAGAATGACGACAATCTTTGCGGGGTCGGCTCTCAGATAGTGCTCCCCAGAGTCCGCGCTTTCACGCTTTAACAGCACTTTTTATTGGGGTGACGAAAGATTGAGCGAATAAAGAAACGCGCTGCTCAGGCTATCCAATCAATGCGTATAATTCAGGGGCAAGCTGCAGATGGCTCCTTCTTACCGTGAATGAAGCCGTCGCCGTTGAGTAGCTTCTAGCCGATTCTCATCTTCCCTATGCTTCACACTTCCTGAATATCTGACGAGGAAAATAATATCCTCTTATCTCTAAAACTATAGTTTCTCATGGAACATTTTCCCCCCAATATCTCGACATAACTCCATCTCTAAACTCTCGTTACCTTCTGAGACATCAGAATTCCAAGGCAGCGCAGTTAAAGAACCAGCGACCCTTGTTCCCAATTCGCCTTCCTCCTCAGCCCCCAAAGGGCCAAGATCATAAGGACGCCTACGAATGCATCCGGATACACCCGCAGACGACGATCGGTTACATCACCAAACGTGTTGATCCTCCACACAGGTTGTCCCGACGCCAGTCTGTGGCATTCCTGTCACAAAGATTTGAGCCATTACCAGACCACGCCCGAGCCAGATTTCCATACTGATTCTGGCTGGAAATATCAGGTCATCAAAGCAAGGACCTTCTGTTTCTAAAACACCTGACGTTTAGGCATTCCCACTTCAACTGACGATGTACGGAACGCTTTATATCCAGAAAACTTCGTCTCTGTATTTTGCAGAGTCGCCTTTTAGTCTGGATACATTACTCCGTACATGGAGACATGAACCCCAACCGCAGCATGCAGTGCCAAGTCCGCTGGGCCGCTTTTCCTGCATGACATAAGATATTGCTTCGTCCAGTGAAAGTTGCCAGTCAAGCTCAATCTAACCCCGAAGTGTTGAAGTTGGTGCCAGCCAGATACGCAACACAATTAGGTGTTGAAAAAGCTTTCATTTTTACTTTCGTAAGCGTTATCTCGTGTTGCATGCCTGCAATATTCTCTCCATTGTTAACAGGCCTTGATACTGAAGCCAACGTCCTTGAATTCTATCGCAACACTTTAAGCTGAAGGAAACTTTGTCATGACTCCAACATGAGCGATTGTCTTGCAATTCCTGAGACAGCCGGAATTCGTCACTAAAACCACATGTAACGCGTTCCAATGACGGCGCGATCTGCGAAGCCTAGATGCTTCAAAGTCATTGCCTCGATGTTCCATGATACTATATCCACTTTGACATACTTGAGTCCAGATAGCGCGGCCCAAGTCGCGAGCTGGGGATGAGGTGAGCAGACGTTGTTGGTTGGGCAACAGAGCCCCACGTCAAGAATTGACAACTTGTACCAGGGGAAAATCTCAATCAATCGCCGGCTTAATCATCTTGTGACCCCTTTTTTAGGGCGAGGCCACCCAAAGCTGGGCGATATTCTAAGGGCGTAGTGCAATGTCTCAATTTGCATCTATACGAACAGTTGTCACTGACAACGCTGAAGGGCCTTCAGGTGTCATGTTTGTAGCTTATCCTTGGGTGACCCATGCGCTTTTTGGACGGCGACTCGGGCCACATTCCGTATGCCCCGTCAAGATGTGGTTGGGAAATGACCACGAGTCTGGAATTCGAGTTGAGCTTGAGAACTTCAAAATGCACCAAAAACGTGTTTGTCGAGTCAGGCGCTAGAGCTAAACTTCCTTGGCGGGTTCTAGAAGTTGACAAGAGGCGTTTATGTATGATCGGCCAAGTATTCCCAAGCTGCCTGAAAATGTGTTGGATGATTACTTTTCAGGGGTGATATGGCCCTGCTGCCATACGTATGAGCATAAGGTGTGAGTGAGATGCTTTCTGCTCTCCCTCAAAGAGCTATAGCAACTCGGCCGTACTTTAGTTAGCAGCCAAAACAGCCGTTTAAAGGATTGTAGAGACTGCAACTGATAGCTCTTGTCTTCAGGACTAAAATGAGGATTGAACCCTCAATGACTTACTTATTTTTGCACAGTGTTGTTTACCGTATTTGTGGGCGAAACCAGCACAGAACGCTCAGAATGGGAAAAGTGGTGTTGTTGGTTGGAAGAACTAACTAACTGGCTAGAGGGCTGTGGAGGCTGGCTAAGACCAGTGGTGGCGGCCGTCAGCCCACGTGACGGGCCGGCGAGGCCTGCCACCCACAGTATTAATACATTGCAACACAGTGTGCTATACCAAATTACCTTTCACGTGACTTTTGGCTTTTTGAGGATCAAGGTTTTCCCCCTCGGCCGACAACAATCTGTCACTGACCACATGCAACCAGGTCTCCATACTAACCAACCTCAATAAGCAGGCGACAGCCCACGACTACGTATTATCGGACCATCGAAAGATGCGAACGCTTTGGATTATTTACGGCGGTTTATTTATGGAATGGATGGGCTATTTACTAGCACCCGCCTCGTGGGGAGTGGCTGACGGGAAATGCGGTGTCTGGTGATGCAGGTCGGAGACTGCAATTCGCTCTCGTTCTTGATGGAACTTACAGCGGCGGTTTCGCTGGTTCTTAAAAGACAGTACTGACTGTACCTTTGCTGCACTGTTGCGAATCAGCGTGCCTAACCAAGCTGACCGACGACGACGGAACGGCGTTATTGCCTCAATAACCACAATCATGCAGTGCGCCGGTTCGACCGACCACGGAGAATAGCTGCTTACTCGGTGCAGCATCCAAACCACCCAAATGCCATGCAGCGGCGACACAAGACATAAGAGTTGGTCGCGAGATCAACGGGGCGGCGGAATACCCATTGGCTCGAATCAAGTCGACAAAGTTGGCATTGGCATTCGGGTCAGCCCTGTGGAGTTTAGAGAGGTTGGCATTCTTGTGGCGACTGGTACCTGAGCTGTTTGCTGGTCATCGGACTCAGACGGGATAACACCCGTCCATTCTGGGAGGATCTGTTTAAAGACCTTATGCGCAACCTTTCAGCGCGCTGTGCTGCAGGCGACATTTACAACTACGGTCGTCTGCAAGTTTCTATGGTTTCGTTTCATTTTCGACCTTGGAATGGTGGCCATTGGTCCTGTTGAGACGGGCTAGGTTAAGTATTCCGAGTGTCCAGCTCGAGAGCCTGATATCACGCTGTCGTCCGGAACAAATAGTCTTGGACAGTCATGCATCAAAGCGTGGTGTGAGCGGCTGTCAAGCATTCTACCGGCAGTGCCCGGCGCGTAAATCGTACATAGTGACCTTATTGCTTTGGTCTGATGCCATTATACCTGGCAACAACGGAGAGGACAGATAGCATGTTAGGGTTCTGGTCTGTCTCTGCGAATTTGGAGCACACAAGGACCAAAGTCCAGACTGCTTGATACTGGCTTCACCTGGACAAGCCCAATTGTGTCATGGGGAAATGGCAGGAGGACTTGTCGTTGTGGTTCTGCAAGTGCAACACGCTGGGTGGGGGGCATTCAACATGACTACCGACTGTCTTGACTTGGCTGTGGATGGTTTGGTATGCTGCATTGGCATTTGTGCACCAACTTGCTACTAACGTGGCCAACGTGCATCGACCCGAAAATCGGTCGGGTGCGAAAGGCTGCTTTCCCTCGAAAGATTTTTTTTTCTTTATTTGCGTATCCAGCCATAGCCTGGACTTTTCTCTTCTGCCATCGACTTTGTGTCTTGGTGGTTTGCATCACCACTGGCGCTTCGGCAATTGCATATATCGCTTACAAGGCTGGGTTATCGCGTTATCGGGAAAACCTCGGCTGGCAATGTGCTTGCATCTAAAAACTCAAACCGAATCGGCTGCTGCGATGGAGTCCTGCCACCACAACCGACCTCGACATGTCGCCATGAGAGACGACCGCAGACCAGGCGATGAGCGCAGAGATCGAGGCCGAGCTGGTCGAGAAGTGACACGCTCCCGCAGATCTCCGTCGCCTCTACCCCGTCGACCTCGAGAAACCGATAGATTGTCAGAAAGCAAACCGCGCGATCATCCTCACGATAAGTCGCAGCCTTCTGGCCGAGTCCACCTTAAACCCCGCGATCGTAGCAGAGAACGCCATCGTCGTGCATCCCCATCCCCTTCGCGACGCGACAGATATAAGGAAGACATTCGTGACCGGTCCCGTGGGAGGGACGCTGGTGACTCCCGCCGCGAATCACGAACCAGAGCACACAGAGATCGCAGCCGAGGACAGCCTCGAGGCGACGGCCCTCCCTTATCGCCATCAACGAAGCGACCGAGAAGCCGAAGCCCAGACAGAGCTACAGTGGACAGGAAGAAATCAAGACGAGACAACAGCTCTCGCGGTGACCACAGAGACTCAGCCCCCCCTATAGACTTAGGCCGGAATCCACACAACTCTCCTCCGCCACTAAGGCGTTCACCTAGTCTTGATCGCAGAGACTTCAGATCTAAGCCTAAAGAGAGGAGCCGTCGAAGCCGTCGTAGCAGGTCTCGCTCACCTGGCAGAGATCGAGTGCGTGGCCGTCAGGACTATTCCCCCCCACATCGCCGTGGTCTTTCACCCCCACGGAGAGGCCATCATCATAGATCCCCTGCACGGGAATCATCTACATCTGCCAGAGGTGACCGACGTCCGATATCTCCGCGTAACGGTTCCAGAGACCGTCAACGTCAAAAGCAGCCTCGATCTCGTGCCTCTTCCCGGTCCGCTAGTAGAGGTTCGAGCAAGCGGATGCTGCAAGGCGAGGAATCACGACTTCCTTCAAAGTCTCAACCATCTTCTGGTGCGAACAGCGTGGAAGTCAACATGAGTGGTAGAGGCAACCATAGGGGAGGCTTTGCCTCTCACCAGCAGATGCCGGCTGCCTTCAACCAACAGTACAGTGACCCACGGCAGTTTTCTCAATCCCCGCAGCCAACCCCAAACTCGTACAATGCGTCCCCGAATCATTCACCTTATGGCGCGGGTAGAGGGAACTGGGGTCCTCAGCAATTTTCTCCGACACAGTAGGTTTCTCGTCATTCCATCATCGTGTTCATAGTCTCTTACTTACTTTCATCTAGTCAATACCCCCCTCAGTACCCACAATCCAACTTTGGCCCTCCAACCGGTCCTCAAGGCTCCTACAACCCGAATCCGTCCTTCTCACCGCCACCATCCGCCCCGACTGGACCCATGCAGCCGTTTTCGCAAGGGAACTTCCGGGGAAACTTCCGCGGCGGAGGAGCTTCCTTTCGAGGAAACCAGTTCGGCCAGGGCCGAGGTGGCTACCGAGGCAATGGCTTCAAGAGCGCCCAGTGGGGTTCCAATAACCATGGCTCCGGTTCACGTGGCCAATTCAGCCAGTCGGATGATGCAAACTCGCAGCAGTCTACGACTCCAGCACCGAGTAACAGATCGGATGCTGGTGATAATGTAGCTGACAGCGAGAACCCCTTCCGGCCATCGAAGGATTTGCAAGTCGAAGACAATACGTCAGAGAAAGCAACGGAGAGCGATTCTCAACGAACTAGTAGAGCTCCTCCTGCTGGTCCGGCTGCTCAGTCATCATCATCGTCGAAGTTCAGCTTTGCATTTAAAGCGTCTTCAAAGCCTACTCCAACGGCGCCTAAGCCAGAGATCTCTCAGAAGTTCAATGCCGCCCCTCAACGTCGCGATGCCCTACAGCAACATGAGTCCAGAGATCGTGATCGTGATCGCGATCGCGAACGTGACCGTGATCGTGATCGTGACCGTGATCGTGACCGGGAACGAGGCCGCGACCGTGACCGAGACCGTGATAGGGAGAGAGACAAGGAGAAAGAGAAGGCCATTGACCGAGACGTCCTCCGCAGCGCCCCAACCGAGCCCGCATCGGCCAGGGCACGCCAGGACCCGAGGCATCAGCACCCTCCTGGTCCGCGCCAGCCACCTGCGCCAAGGACACGCAAGATTAAGAAGACTATGAAACGGCTAAAGACAGCGCCAACGCTGCCTGAAGACTTGAAGACGTCAGACTCCGTCTACTACCGCAAACCCGGTAATGAATCAGTCGTGGGCTCGGGTACTTATGGCAAGGTCTTCAAAGCTTTGCATGTTTACACAAAAGGCTTGGTTGCTCTTAAACGCATTCGCATGGAAGGCGAACGCGATGGATTCCCCGTCACTGCAATTAGAGAAATCAAGTTGCTTCAGTCGTTGCGGCACACCAACATTGTCCAGTTGCAGGAGGTCATGGTCGAAAAGAACGACTGTTTCATGGTTTTTGAGTACCTGTCTCACGACTTGACAGGTATCCTCAACCATCCATCTTTCAAACTGGATGCTGCCCAAAAGAAGCACATGGCCAAGCAACTCTTTGACGGCCTTGATTACCTACATAAAAGGGGAGTCCTCCACCGCGATATCAAAGCTGCCAACATTCTTGTTAGCAGTGACGGTATTCTCAAGCTGGCGGACTTTGGACTGGCACGCTTCTATGCCAAAAGACATCAATTGGATTACACCAATCGAGTGATCACCATCTGGTATCGTTCGCCCGAGCTGCTACTGGGTGAGACGCAGTACGGCCCGGCCTGCGACGTCTGGAGTGCCGCTTGTGTCATGATGGAGATTTTCACCCGTCATGCCATCTTCCCAGGCGATGGAGGCGAAATTAGCCAGCTAGACAAGATATACGCCGTTATGGGAACTCCAAATAAGGCTGAGTGGCCCGGCCTAGTCGATATGCCCTGGTTTGAGCTACTGCGGCCCAGCTACCGACGAGCCAACACATTCGCTGAGAAGTACAAAGAGAGACTGCCACCAGCCGCCTTCCGGCTCTTGGCCGCCATGTTCCGCTACGACCCTGCGAAGAGGCCAACGGCCGCAGAAGTACTGGCAGATGAGTACTTCACCGTCGAAGAACCCCCACCAAAACAGGCTGTAGAGTGAGTCACACTATCCCTTCATTGACTTAATAAACCTGGACTAACTGTTTTGTAGGCTTGCTACACTAGATGGTGATTGGCACGAATTTGAGTCCAAAGCCTTGCGACGTGAGAACGAACGCAAAGAAAAGGAAGCTCGGCGAGCCGCAGCAGCAGCAGGAAAAGACAAATCTAGAGACAGGAAGAGAGAGATCGAGGCTCACGACGAGCGTGGCGACGCGAAGAGAGTACATGTCGAAGGAAAGACAGCAGCCCCTGCAGAACGCCAGAAAGTTTAGAAGACCCGACGGCGGTGAAGTTGACCGACTTGGCTCGCGTCAAGCGAGGTACTACTCGGGAGGCGTCGTTGACTTCGACGTTGTACAATCATCCCACTTTTCACACATACAAACTTGCATTGTTTGCGCTGGCATGGCGTTGGGGAATCGAAACTCATGGTTGAACGAGATGGCATAGTTGTTTGGGGCTTTATGGGTATGAGTTTGTTTCATGTTTTGCTTTTTCAAATTTCTATCGCTGGCTGGCGATAATTCCCGCTTATTAGGAGGATTTGATGGCTAGGAAAGTCCATGGCTATCATTGTGTGAGTGGAGGAGGGCTGATTGGCATACGCATCCGGGAGGGCGTAGGAGGATAGTGTGGTTATACATTTTTTTTTGAGGGCGGGAAATATACCATGATAAGGGGCGGACTCATGATTTCTCCCACTCTTTTGCATTTGTAGCGTTCGTCCACATGGCTATGAAACATTTTTTTTACCTGGTAAGAGTTGTCCTGCGTAAGGTTAGTGAGCTAACGCTACCTTTTTCTTGGCACATCTTGCGGCGACACGACCCGGCAGCTCAACAAGTCGACGTTTTTTTTTTGTCTTCACAGGCATACTGAGCTGAGCTGTGCGATCGACCTCGCAATTCCGCATGTCAGCAACAACAACACCAAAGTCCAATCGTGCGTCATCCATCTATGCCGGGTGTTTCTCTTGAGCGTGAGAACATTTTGCTCTACGGTAACTACACCCAGGTCTCTTCAACTTCGCCCCCCCCCCCCCCCCCCCCCCCCCCCTTTCCTCGACATACATGACGGAATGTTCCGAACGTGAAGCGTACGTCGACTTTTAGAAACATGTATCCAGAGACATCTTGATAATGCCCATATTTCACTGATTTTCGTCCTGGTTACCCGTTATTCTCCCCCTTTTTTTTTTTTTACTTCTTTCCAATGAATCACTTCCCCGTGACGAAAAGCGGTGGGTGGTTGGTTCTATAAGAAAAACGAGGATTCATACTAGCCGGTGCATCATGGTCTTACACCAAGCTGACCAGATTGCAAGAGGGGACTAGAGGCAAACGCGTGTTCCCTTCCCAATTTCTCTGACAGAGTATGGGTTGTCAGTTGGTGATATACCACATGTAAACGTTGACACGGCCCGAGGAGACAGGCGAATTGTAGCGTCAATATTTGGGTGGCTGGGCAGCAAGTCGCCTTCCATACCCGGACACAGCAGTGAGTGGTTCTTTCACATTGTGCTGCAAGTTTCGCTCGCTGTGTTGACACGATATACGCATAAGGCGGACTGCATTCTTGCCCCTAGTCCAATGTCTGCAATTACCTCACTAGCCAAAATACATCACACGAATCATCTATTCGCCCGAACTTGGGCTACGCCATGTATAAATATATCAAATTGAAGAATCGTATACCCTAACAGATCCATCCCATGTCTTCATACTCTGTAAATCATCAAGTCATAAATAATCATCAAATCGTCAGTGGTACTGGTTACAAATGGCGAGACGAGCACCCATTTGCGCCTCCTGTTGTTTTGTTTATAGCCGTCCGCTTTATATGGGTATCGAGACCTTTTTTTGATAATGCCTTTTGGTTAGGATCGCTGCCATGTAAACAAGCCTTCGCCGTCGCATCGTGTTGCCTAGTCGTCCAGTCGTATGCCCTACAAGGCGGCCATGTTTCGCCATCACGTCATCACTTCAAGATTGGCCCTCCACTATCTTTCCCTTGTTCTTGGCGTCAGTTGTCTTCAGCAGGTCTCGAAGGCTCCCCTCAGCATGGCTTGTGGACACGCCTCCCTGCGCAGAAGCTGAGCCAAGACCTACGATGGGTGGAAGTCTCCAAGGTATCCAGCCGGTAAGGCCCGCCAAGAGGCCACCCGCTGCCTTCTTCTGATCAGGCTTATCTGAAATATTCTGGTATTGTTGCTCAGGAATCTCACTTCTTGGTCGTTCATCCGAACTCTTACGGGCAGATCGATGCCCCATTACGTCCTCCATATCCGTCCGAACCTCAAGGTGGCTCGTCGACGTTTTTGGCAGAGCAGGCTCGCTAACCAAGGCATTTGCCGAACTTCGGGGTGACGACTGGTTGTTGGCTGCAAGGCTTTGCCGCGTGCTCTCTAACATCGCCGTGGCAAATGACGACGATTTCCTCCGCATAAGAGGGGGTAGCTGATCCTTCTGTTCCTGGCTCGGCCGCTCATCGTCTTCGCTGACTGAGGACGAAGGAGTCGTGCTCCCTGATTTGCGAGTGGCAGCTCGGCCACGCACCTCTGCAGTGATTTCGGCTGCCGACTTCTTCTTCGACTTGTCCTCCTCCGAAGACCGACTGGAAGACATAATAGTCTCCAACGTCCCCATTGCTATGCTTCTTCTTCTGCCACCGCTTCTTCTCTTCCTGTGCCTTCTCTCATCGTCCGACACAGCCTCCAAGGTAGGGCCAGCGTTGTGACGCTGGCGTCGAGATGAGGATGCGTGGCTAATGAAGGAAGCACCGGAGCCATGAGGCGCAACATGAACTTCGTACTGATTACTCAAAGAATATCGCGACCTGGCACAGATTTCAGCAATGCGATCTAGGTCGGCATTGATATCACTCTCTCCCTCTTGAGACTCGATGTTGGCCATCATGCTCTTGAAGCTGTAGGCCTCAACGGGAGGCAGTTTGGCCATGGCTTCTTGGCCTTCCAGCCGCTTCTTTGCCATCCCTTTAGCCATGCTTAAGCCGCCATTATGAGTCGACACACTGCCGCCGAACGGTGTGCGCAGAGCGATGATGCGCCGGACAGAAGCCGCAGGACCGCTTACAACGGATGAGGCAGACTTCAAGCCAAAGCCGCTTCCCCCCAAACCGTTGCTTCGGCTGGTGCTCGAGGGCCTGCTGTGAGACCCAGAATACGTTCTGACAATGACAGGTTGTGAGTATGTGCTACTTTGAGCGCCGGTAGATTTGGCGTAACGGTGGCGGGAAGGATAATTGCTGTTGAGCTCTCGCAGAGCCGAAGTGCGGTGCGCCGCGGTACTGTCGTCAAGAGGTATGGGCTTTCCCTCTGCAGTTGAGGGCACGAGAGACGTCGATGAGGTATTTGGTTGGAATAGCGGGGGAAAAGAGAAGGGCAATGAGTCTCGCGCCACCTTTTTAGGCGCGACTGAAGCGTGAAAGGTTGTTGTAACGGGAGTGCCTCCGGCACGAGTGGTGGAGGAAGGATAGCGGGATTGAGAGGAACCCAAATGGTCCTTGGGAAGGGTCTTCCTCTGGTCCATTTTCACTGTAAATGGTGTGTCGGTGGATGGGCTATATATATGTACATTCAGAGGGCAGCATGAGCCGCCAGGGTAGGAGTGAGAACCTCAAAGACAAGTTGTGTTCGCTGTTGCGTTGGATGGCGGATAAGTGAAGGGGTGAACAAGAGCAGGACATCAGGCCAGCGAGTGCGGAGGCATGGCTGTGTCGGTTCTCGCGTGTATGTATGTCGAGTGTCGTTTCTGACCAGGTTGTGATTCCTGGGCAAGCATATGCAGGTAGGTTTTTAGCAAATGTGCGCCTTGTCCGTTCTGGACTTGTGTCCTTCTACTTCCACAACGGGCGTCTAGGGTGGAGTTGGAGGGGAAGTCGGAACGGGTAGAAATAGAAAGAACAACGTAAATCAGAGAGATGAGCAGGCGATGGAGTAGGTGATGCGATGGTGGATACTATCAAGGATGCGATCCGGGTCGCCTCGAGGCGCGTGAACTAGTCGCGTACAAACGTCCTGCTGCAATTGCCGTTTTTCTTTTTGGGGATGTAATTCTGGAGCCCAGGAAGAAGTGAGGGCATAAACAAAATAAAAAAATAAAAAAAGGAGGAGAAGTAAGAAGGCTTTGCAGTGTTTAGGGTGAAGTTGCATCCGGGTGTAGCGATAGGCGGGGGTGATGAGGAGGCAGGAAGCATACATGTAGAAAGTGCTAAGGTAGGACAGGCAGAACACTACAGCCCATTAGCTTAGAGACACACGGAACAAACTGGAGGCTATTACAGATACAGGCTAGAGCAACGCAGTAACCAGCGAACGAGCAGGTGCGTGCTGCACGAGTGTCGTGGCTGCCGTTCAAAGGGTGGCCCAACACCAACCCCCCGGTCGCTGCCACCACCTCCCGTCCAATGACAGCCGTCTTAGCCGTGTTAGACGGAGAAAAGGGCAGAAATATACACTGTCCCCGCTGCCGTTCTTCCTCTGGTTCCCCTCTTTCCTCAGGCGACTCGCTCCATTCCTCACCTGCCATTCGACGCCCAGGCCACAGCCAAATCTGACCAGTCGCCAGCAGCACCAAGATACACTGGGTGGCGTTGGTGACTGGCTAAAGCTGTGCCGGACCAGACCATATCGGTTTCGTTCTCCCTGGTAGGGCGGTTGACGTGGTCGTCGCCTTCTCGAGCCTGTGAGATTTACGGCTATTCAAAGTGCAGAACTCCAGAATCGGTATTACTATCCAACTGTATCAAGAGTATGAAAGCCATGTAAAGCCGTCTTGGGCCCAGATATCTTGCATCGTCTTCTCCCGCCAGTGTGGGTCCGATAACGGCCTGTTTGGAGCTAGAACCACCGCCTTCATGGCCCCCAGCCAAGTCTATCCCGCCAGGCCTTCTCGATTCGTCGTCCGGCTTGTCGACTAGCATGCGCAGTACTGCCGTTGCGCTCAATCCATTGTTTGTTTCCATGTCAGTGCTTCTTACGGCATGCTGGGGCCTCTGTTGCCTATTGGGAGTTTACGAAGTAACATTGACGAGGACAGGGTCGGATGCGCTGACATACAGATCCGGCGCCATCATATGCATGAGGGTCAGGCACGCGCATGTCGTTGGCTATGTTTTGAATATAATAATGTCTCTTGTTGTTCTGTTGTTTATATCATACATCCATGACCGTAGTCACGTAGACTCATTCATTCTCGTTGGCAGATGCTGGCTAGCAGTGCAGCGCTGACGTCGCCCGTCATGCTACCCAGAAGATCAGTTGCACTATCGCGTCTTCATTCGGCCACGTAGAATCTCTCTGCCTCAGCTGCCAACCATACCATCGCCGCGCTACCGATATTATTCTCCCCTAACTTAAGCCGTCGGCTGAGCAATCGTGCCGTAACCCTGACCACCACTCTGCACCCTATCACTGTAAACACCTGGCGCGCGACCGGTTACTATGCGGCCCTCCCGTGCCTGCTCACGACGGTCGTAGTACACGTATTCGACGTAGAATGCGTGAATGTGACCCGGAAGGTATCCGAGGATCGTCAGGAAGATGTTGACGAGGAGATCTGTTGTGCAGTACGCATCAGCATCTAATAGATCAAGGACATGAAGGCGGTTATAGATCTGCTGACTTACCCATTCCACAGCCAGCAACGGCGTAGACACCGATGGGCGGGACTGTATAGGTTCAAGTGTTAGTACATCTTCTCCCTTGATGGTGTGTCTGAGCCTGTCATACCAAGGATAGTGATGAGAATGAGAAAGACAGCGGAAACAGCGCCCATTTTCAAAGATTTATCTGATATATCCTGTTGGGTTTAGACTATATCGAGGATGATGCTTGGAGTGCTAGTGACCGAGAAGACGAAGACTGGAGTTCTATTGATGGGTTGAAGTGCGTTCAAGGGTATCAAGACTTGGGTTGTGGGTGCGGAAGGGAATCAATGCCAATTTCAGCCGAGGCGACCAGAAGTTTAAATGCATCGGCCTAACCCAGACACGAGATTGAGGGGGTAGGTGGACGGCCAAAGTTGCCGTACCTTGTCTTGTTTTGGGTAACAGATTGCGTGGTGCCCTGACGCCTCCCTTTAGACAGCCAATGCTCTGGTCGAATTTCCTCGTGGCGTGGACTTCTGACGACCGATTAATGACGTAACCTGCACGTGCCGGACAACAGCTAAATCTCTCCGGCACCTGGGCTGATGTATTCACTTTAATCGACTCTTGGGCTGGTCTCAAGTCTTGTCTTGTTCAGTTGCCATTATTTCGACCTTCTACATTTTGTCAAGGCCGCCCAAACTGTGCTATCATCTTTCTGTTCTCAGTTCGGCTATATACGGGACTTTTTTTTGTCACGACCTGAAAACGAAAAGTTACTGCAGTCGTACACCTCTGGACGTGCAGCTGCAGATACTACATCCGACAATTCGGGTGTTTTAATTCGGTATACTCTTCGCCCAAGCTCACAGTCACACCCGTCAATGACAGATACAAATATCACCCGTTGCCATAGATGTACCTTAAGGTAGGGCACATTGTGGTGACGCTACCTACTCGGAACAGCTCTCCCCCGCTTCTCTGCCCCGAGACATGCAGTCCATCTGTAGAAGAGATTCTCGACATTGACAATGAGGCGAGCAACAAGAACATGGTTTTTTTTTTTTTTTTTTGGTTTATGACTATATCACCATACTGAGCCTTGACTACAGATCGAGTCTCAGCGTCCATTACCTAGTATATGATGACATGTTGTCTTGTACAAGGAAAACGGATCATCGTCCGTCGTAAATGTAATATTGAGGGTTGCCATGTTGAATGGCCCAGACAGTCTACTACGTGTTTGCCAAACACATCAGCTGGAAGACAAATTTGAAGGCAACGGTGATGAGGAAGACATCACTTGGTAGGCGTACACAAGCAAGCGAGAGACCTTTGGGATTCCAGCGTAAAAAAGAGTAATCAACCCCTCCTGCCTTGGGATTTGTTGAACATTTGGGGCGAACGGCGTCCTTGCAGACCTACAACCGAGTGAACCACTCCGTGGCCCCGTGATATTGTTGATGTATGCGGAACACCACCCGGAATTCCTTGCTCGTGGCATAGTGCAGGTTGTTGATCAAAGTTGTGAAGTTGTAATGTGGACAGGGAACAGCGTTGCGGCTATGCTTCACAGCAAGCATTTGAAACGGCGGGACGCGTAGCCGCACACTCAGCCTCGACTCTATGGTAACATACACAACAAACAGCACCATTCATCCATAAGATTTCCTAACTTGTTGGCTATCCTTTCGCTATGCCTGCAGATCTTCCAAGGCCAGGTCTTGATATTGGTGGCGCCCTTTAGCCCAACCAGTGCATTTGCTCATTATGATGGCTCGAGTCAAGTTGTCACTGGTTGCTGCAATATTACATTGACGGGAACGGAGTATTCCGCGGCACCGAAGTCTACTTGATGAAAGCGAGACTGCCCTTGCTGTTTGGCGTCGTATTCGGTCGGAGATAATTAAGACCTGCTAGTGTGTAAGAGCCTCGCTAATGGAACAGTGAGAGTTTGGTATCTGGGCTGTGTTGCAGAATGCTCGGGGAACGAAAGAATCAACGTTAGTACTTGAAGTTACAGAGGCGAGAATGGTGATGGCAGCATAAGGACGATACCATCAACAGCAGCGACAATGAGACGGGCAATGAAATGCGATGACCACTGTGAGGGATGGGATGAGTGACGTAGCGAGCGATGTTGCAAATAATAGTGCTGATCAGGCGATACAGTCCCTGTAGCCAGGTTACATAACTTCAACTGGTATTTGAATGCAAATGCTAGTTAAAGGACCAAGGCCGCCAATGATTAAGTCGCAGATCAAAGCCACGGCCTTGAGCTATCATTTTGTGGATTTAGGCCCAAATATTGCAGACGATCGATCGACTTGCGAGCTGCTTGTACACCCAGATTATGCCCTATTTGTGATCAAAAGCATTGGAAGACGGCTGGTAAAGTCTAGCACAGAATGCATGTAGTGGATAGCTCTGAATGGGCTGCGAGAGCTTATCCATATTAGAAGGCCCGCCCGAGGTGGTGCGAACCAAGACACTTCTTCCGTTCTTCTCGAAGCCTGGGCCGTTGAATTCACGGATTGGTTCAGGGCATGCCCCGTCCGGAGGTATGTGGCTGCACCCCTGAGTTTCTAGCTAGCCTGCATTCCATCAAGCTAGAGGCGGCCTGCTACTATGTAGCACAACAGAGACCAATTATTCAATTGAGACCCTTTCGTTGGTGCACCAGATTGGCAGTGGCGGCACTATAGAATCTAAGCTTCAGGTCAACAGCGAAGGGTCCCGTGCGATTGATTATATTTAATTCGACCCGTGCCGGGTTTGTCTCTATGTTTTATTGCAGTTACTGGCACGGCGGTAGAACCATTGCCGGCACCTGCAAAGACGTTGGGGAGGGATACAAAAGTAGGGTCGGGGTAGGGGTGATACATCATTGTGGACTGATCCCATCGGAGCGAGATGACGCCTCGCCTAAGTCAGCAAGTCAGGGTTGGCTATGTGGAGCTTTCTTAACGTTCCTCATCTGCAACAAAGGTGGCCTCGGGGAGTAGTCGCCTTCTCGAGATGGCGAGTTTTGCCCTTGCTATCTTTTATTGGATATTACCGATGTGCCTCAGAAGAGCAAAATACCAACCCAGAAAAGAAGGCAGCAGCTCGGACACTGACACTTCTGGTCCTGTATACGTTGAAAAGAGCTGGTGATGGAAAGCTAGCTGAGGGTTCCCACGTGGAAGACAAGGAGATGCTGACCAGTGATTGGTGTGGTGTGGCACAGTACGGCAAGTTGGGACTTAACTGACAGGTATTCGGGACCAGGCGTGATAAGACGGAATACGAGCCAAGGGAAGGAAGGCGTAGGCAGTGCGCAAAGCACAGCGAGAGAGTAGTGGAGTGGGAAGGATGCTTCTCTACTGTGTGTCGCACCCACTTGGTCGATTCGTTAGTTCCTCACGAGCCAAGTCCCCAATGGCCACTTGTTGTCGCGGCCTGTTCGGGGAGTGGAGGTCAATGATGTGTATCGGGTAGCTTCAAGTAAGGTGTTCTTACCTGGAGGAACTGCACAAAAATCGCAGCCTGCCTTTCAGTAGATAGGAGCTAGGCCGGCATGCTGGAGTGGCGATCCCACATATGTAGTACTGTGCACTTTAATTCCCGTGGGTGCGGTACCGAACAATACCTGGCAGATGACCTGGTCGATGGATGGGCGTCCTTCGGTTTAGTGCCTTGTAATGCTTGTATGCATTTATTTATGTAAAGTACGGGGTCTATGTCCAGACTTCGTCACAGTGAGTGTACCAAGGGTAGGCCGGAGGCGCATATGCTGATTACCCTTGCGATTGGTGACGGTCGACACACGACTGGGACACGCTGTGCGGTTTGGAGTTGTAGTACCCGATACCTTTGAATTCCCAGGGGGAACGTGGGTGACGGGTTCGTGCTGGAGAGACGAGTTGAACCAGAACTAAAGGAGTGCTGCTGATAGGGAAGACCCAGGCAGCCGGCGACGGCGGCAAGGAGCCGATATGCAAGAGAGCGTGGCTATGTTCAAGGGTTCCCTCCCCAGGATAAGAAGCGTGGTTGGAGAGAGGACTTGTTGGGCTCAGAAGAAGGTGTCCGTACTTGGTGCTCCTGAAAGGATATGCCTTGAAATTTTGAGTCTTGCTGTGCAGATCAAGGTATGGTAATTTAGTGCCATTTGAAGAATGCTGGTCGTTTGTTTCTCATCTGTTGGTGATTAGCAGATACGCCCATTGGTGTGCACTCCGCATTGCACCAATGATTCATGACCGAATCCACAGACAAGTCGTCCCAGTTTGGGGATTGTTTGTGAACACCACCTCAGGCTGTGCGTGCGTGCTTGTGCTATGTACTAGTAGTATGCTGCTGTCCGTCCTGGGTCCCCAATATGAGGCGACCTAGCGGTATGACGGGTGGACTTTTTGGATGCACATTCCGTTCTTTAGCATGAAATTCTACCCCATTTTTCCTGGCTTAAGCGACCACGGCAAGAGCTCTTGGCGTGGTGATGTGGCTTCCACGCTTCCTGCCCTCACTCCGAGTGAATGTGCGCTGGGTTTTATCGTTCAGTTAGTAGACAGGCAGGGCGGGTCGGAGTTTTAACTGATATAGGCACGGGCACAGTCTCCGGCACAGCACTGACGCCACCCCTATTACACTAAAGAGCCAACAGACATGCTGCAGTACCTCGCACTCGGTACTGCAATCAGACAGCAAGCTGATTTGATACGTCAGCTGACAATTGCAGGCGTTTCGTGGTGCTTCAGAGGGAGTTTCTTCTGAACAAGCCATTGAAGTCGCGTTAGAATGTGATGAGACGAGCACAAGGTGTTGCCGAGGATAGAGGAGGATAAGAGGAATCGCCCACCAGATACTATCCAAGCAGTATAGTTATAACACAGTACTGTATGCAAATCTGTAGACAGTAACATAGGACGTATTGGCCATGGTGAGCTATATCTAGGTAGCCAGCCAGCTGAGTTACGTACACAATACCTGGTCACTCGAGCCATCCAGTGCCAATGCCTAGAAACATTGAGGCAGCCAAACTCATTTCGTAAAGCTTCCGATTCCCTGCTTGTCTGCCTTGTAGTGCCCTGGAGTCCTGTTTGTCCCCGGCAGGGTCGTAGATGAGAAGGGAGAAACAAGAAGTTTAAGCCCAACTGGCACCAAGCCCCGGCAATCTTTAGGCTTCGGGCCCCCGTTGAACGATACCGGTGAACGGGCGGGTAATTATTCAGCTTCTCAGTCATTACTATCCACCGGTCACCCTCATGTCAGGTACTTCCATTCACGTTGCCTTACTGTACCAACACACCTCCCGGCAGTCGCATCGAAATTCGATGTGCCTTATCTGAGCTTTATTTTTATATTTATTTTTTTTGGCCATAAGTAATTACCTTTGGTTGGGTGTTCTTGTTTTTCCCCTGCCTGCTGCACTGACCAGACAAACCTGAAAAGGAACTGGGGCGCGGGTACTGCAGTGGTGGTGGTGTTGTACAGCAGTGCGGTTCCAGCGCGTGTACTTTAGGGATCTGCTCCCAAAAAAGGACCAACGTAAGGCAGAAGGAGGTAAGGTACTACTTACTGTACTGTACGGCACGGTACCTTACGGAGTACGTTCCCACGTCCCACGCCAACACCAATTTTCTTCTCCTGTGTCAACTGCCCATTCTCTCTACCTTCCCTTCACCTTTCCCTCTTTTCGGTTCTTCCTTCTTCCCCCCTACCGAACCTCCCACCTCTCCCCCCGAGCTGCGAGGAAAAAAAGGCACGACGACACGAGGACTGGTCAATTTCGTCCTCGTTTCCCTTTTTCTTCCTTGCCTGCTTGTTGCCGCAACTCCCGCTTCAGTTTCTTTGCTGCAGCAGCTTGCTTTGCTCAGCACCTCTCCTGAAGCAAGCTTGCCGGGAACTACTTCCGTCCCCTCCCCGAATATCCGTCGTTTGTTCGAGTCGTAACGCTGCAGCGACCCTCCGTCTGTCGGTAAACAGCTGTTCGAACCATCGACGAGTCTTCTACCAGACATCAATCGACCCATTATTCTTATTGTGCAGCTTTTGCCCTTAGTGCTACTGCCACCACCTGCCCAAAATGTCTGGTCCTCCCGCTGGCAACCAGCTCAACATTGATCGCTATGTCGTGATTCACGTCGCAACTACCTGCGATGAGCACGGCGTCTACGTCACCAAGGACTCCGCCGAGGTTATCGAGCTTGGATGGATCCTGCTTGATGCGAAGTCTCTTGAGGAGGTGAGCTTTCCTGCCCGAGCTAGGGGGGGCCCTACGTCGCTGTATGTTCCAGTCAAACTGACGAGCTTGCCTCCAGATCACCCGCGAGAGCGTTCTTGTCAAACCCATCAACACTCCGATCACACCCTTGTGCAGTAAGTAGTCGCACGAGCCTTGAGACCTTGTCCTTTCCTGTCACGCCATCCGACGCATACCCCAGCACTGGCGACGATAGGTCTGAAATTTTCCTGGCTAACCTCTGGGACTTTTTTCTCTTTAGCGAGCCTGACGACTTTGACTTGGGAACATGTGCGTAATGCTGGAACCTTCCGAGATGCCATTAACCGATTCGACACCTTTGCGAATGAGCATTTGACCTCGCAAAATCTCGATTTCGTCTTCGTCACCCTCGATGCTTGGGACCTTCGCGTCCAACTGCCCCGAGAAGCCCGAGACAAGGCCGTTGTCCTGCCTCCATACCTTCAGCACTCCCGTACTTTCGATTTGAGAACTGAGTACCAGAGATGGCAGCAACACCATCCCGAATCGCTGCCTTTTGGGCCCTCAATGCTGTCCAATATCTGTGCCGCCTTGGAGGTGGAGCCGGTCCAGTCTAGTGCTCCAATCAAGCACAACCTGCCTTTCCACCTTCAGGCGTTGGCTCCTGCCTCCCCTCGCCGTGCCATGGAGGAGGCCGTCACTCTGGCTCGCGTCCTTCGAGGTCTGATTCGCAAGTCGCAGCCCTCCCACGAGCATCCCGATGTTTTGACTCGGCCGATGGACGCGCGCGCCGATGTGCGTGCTTTCCTGTCCGAAAGAAGCAAGGTCCTCCACATGTCTGGCTTGCCTCACGATACGACTCAATCCGAGCTCGAGAGCTGGTTCACCCAGTTTGGTGGTCGCCCTATTGCGTTTTGGACTCTCCGAACCCCCGAGCAGCACAAGCCTACCGGCAGCGGTTTTGCTGTCTTTTCTTCTCACGAAGAGGTGAGTTATCAATCCTGTACTCGCGCATTTTGGACAGACAATGGGCCGCCACAATTTCCTCGCGGCGAAATGCTGTCAATTGGGTTTTCCGGCGCAAGAAGACGTCTCAGAATTAACTATTGAGGGATCACTGCTGACAACGAACCAGGCCGCTGAAAGTCTATGCATGAACGGTCGCGCCCTTAACGAGAAGGCGATCGAGGTGTCCCCTTCTTCCAGCCGTGTGCTTGACCGTGCCGCCGAGATTCTGACGCCGTTCCCTCCAAGCAAGAACCGTCCTCGTCCCGGCGACTGGACCTGCCCTTCGTGTGGCTTCTCCAACTTCCAGCGACGTACCGCCTGCTTCCGTTGCTCATTCCCTGCTGTCAGCGCCGGTCCTACTGGTGACATGGGCTATGGCTATGGATATGGACCACCGGCCATGATGCCTCCTCCCCAGCACCACCACGGACACATGGGTCACGGCGGTGGCCGTATGGGCGGCAGCGGTGTCGTTCCCTTCCGCGCCGGAGACTGGAAGTGCGGTAATGAGGTTTGCGGTTACCACAACTTTGCTAAGAACGTTTGCTGTCTGCGTTGCGGTGCCAGCCGTGCTGGCGCTGCCGTTGTCGCGGACTCTGGTGGTTACCCTTCCCCCATGGACCCTCCCTCCAACTACAGCATGAGCCAGGGCTCTATGAGCGGCACCCCTGGTCCTGGCCCCTTCGCCTCGGCTGGTGGTGGCTTCGCCTCTGGTGGCGGCTACGGTGGCCAGCATTTCGGTGGCCCTCCCAGCACTTATGCCCTTCCCTCGGGTATCGGCGGCGGCGCTGCCCCCTACCCGTCTCTCAACACTCACTTTGGACCGGCCCCTGGCTCTCACTCTGCCGGCCCTTTTGATAGCCGTGCTGCCGAGGCTGCCTTCCAGTCTGCCTCCAACGGCCCTGCATCTGCCGGCCCCTCGAACAACTTTTACTCGCAAAACGAGAACGATCCTTTTGCATTCCTCTCCAGTGGCATCGGAGGACTTTCCGTCAGCGGCGGAGATGCCCGTCAAAACGGAGGAGCCGCCCCGCCGAGCAAGTCTCCTGCTTAAACTACGAAACTGGATTTTGAGAAACAAGATAAAATCCAGGCTGCTGCATCAGCTTCCTTGGATCGTTTTCAGCAATGTGACTTATTTCTGCGGAACGAGCTTCGGAATCAAGAACATAGAGCATTTGACCTTTGGCAATTACCTTCTGGACTTACGCTTGCTTTCAACGGATGGGTGGGCATAGGTTTTTGGAAGATAAATTGGACGGGGGTTGGTTGTCGGTATACCACGGGATGCGGGTAAAAAGTTTGCAAGGCTGGAAAGACAAAAAGAGTGTTACACTACCGGACGGACGGACACCGCTGTTGGAATTGCTTTCTCGCTGACAAGCGTCAGTATAAAAAGGGCTGGCTAGTTACGGATTGTTGATTATGGCCTAACCTTGGTTTGGACGTTGCGGTTGCGGCTCGGTCGGATTTTGGGCGGTCCAAAGGGGAGTGCATAGCGAAGGGAGTGTTAAGGGTATACCTGGCTGGCCTTCATTGTGTGTGAGAAGTTGTCGTGTCGATTTTCAATTATTTTTTGCTTTCCTCTCTCACCCTCTCTCAGTTTTTTCGTGTCTTTTACCGCTATCTTTCCTCACATTATCTCTTGTCTCTTGTTGTTTTCCCCAAACGCACAAAAAATTCCTAGTCCTTGTTCATCTCCCCCTTTCTTGAAAGATTGGCTTGGCATTTCAAACAATCCCCTTCGAACATGGTTTCTATACGGCTGGATGGGCGGCAGCGTTGTGGGAGTCGGGGAGTGGACAGGGTCCAGGGTAGGCAGGCAGGCAGGCAGGGCAGGCTTTTGGTTTGAAATAATCTTTCTCCTCCTTTTGAAATGCTACGTGCCTCTACTGCTTTTTCTTTTTCCTGTTCGTTGTTTTTTTGTTTTATTTTTTTTGTGGCATATATTTTCTATTCCCTCCTTGGTGGACGGTTTTTGGTGGAGAAAAAGCAATTCGCATGTGTGCTTATGTTTGTGTATGTGTGTCGAATGCATCAGCTATACAAACCTCCCCAATGTTTGGCATTCTTACTAAGGAAGGCATGGGCCATGGCCGTTTATTCTATGGTCTGTCCACTCGATTTGTTTCGCTCAGAATTGACACCGTCTCTCTTGCTCGACTTGCGTGTCCTTGAAAGCGTGATGGTTCGATATGGATTCTCATAGTGTGGTCACCATGATTTGTGAAGAATGGTGTGGTATCAAAAAGGTCCTTCGGGACATTCGCATAAACATCGATGTAGAGGCACCATGGAGGAACACTGAGAAGATCACACTTGTGTAGGGCTCATGACATCCTGACTGAAAGTGAAAAAGGCAGCCGATTGGGAATCTGAATTTATCTCCACACATGTCCATAGACGCCAAAGCAAAAAGGGAAAAGTAAAAGTAAGAAACCCCCAAATTCATCACCATTTTGGCACGCGCCCTCCCGTTATTGGTATCAACCAAACAGCAGCTATTACGCGGAAGTAGTTGTGAGACTCCACCTTGCCTATCGGTCGATCTCGTCAAGAGGCAGATCACCGTCATCTTTGCCGACAATGGAGTCGGCAACCTTCCAGATCTGAAGCAGGTTGTCCTCAGCGGCACTGCAAACAAGCCAGGGCTCGTTGGGGTTCCAGCTGAAGTCTGCAAGATGGTTTGTGTGGCCACCGTGCATGAAAAGCCTACACTTATGTTAGTAACAGAAGACCTTGCGAGTTGCGACGGGACTTACAGTTCTGGGGGGCCATCCTCCTGATCATCGGGCATTTGCTCCTCACCGACACGAGACAGGTCCCAGAAGATGACCCGTCTGTCGTAGCTGCCAGAGCCGAGAATGCCGGCCTCCTGGGGATGCCATGAGAGGGAGGTAACTGCATCGTTGTGGCCCTCCAGAGTATGAACCTTCTCCTTGACATTACGCAGATCCCAGATACCCAAAGTCTTGTCTGCCGATGCTGTCGCAACAAGGACTTCTGAAGTGGGGTTGAAGGCCAGGGCGTTGATAGCATCAAGGTGGCCACGCTTGGCAACAACAGCGGCACGGCTCGTATCAGGCTGACGCACGTCGATAATTTGCATGGTCAAGTCATCCGAAACTGTTCCGATGAAGCTCTTGGCAATTGGATGGTACTGAACGTCGTTGACAATTTGGGTGTGGTGAGTATACCTTCTAGCGGGCTTCAATGTGTTGCTACCACTCTGCAACGTCTTTAGATCCCTGTAGAGTTGTCTTAGCCTTATTCAACCATGGCGTTAAGGGTCTAGACGTACCATAGACACACAGTGGTGTCTTCGCTGCCCGATGCAAGACAGCCTTGCTCATGGGGATTCCAGCTCAAGCCGAATCCCTCATGCTTGTGGCCAATGAGCTCGACCTGGGCGTTGACCTTGCCGGTGGGCTGCAAGCTGTGCTTTGTGCGATCGAAAACAAGCACTTTGCCGTCAACACAGAGCGTTGCGATGATGTCGGGGTTCTGAGGCTGATAGCGAGCCTTGTTGATCTCCCCAGGGTGATCAATCTTCTGCACGATGTTGAACTCGACAGCAGAAGACTCTCCGCTGGATGACTTGCCATATCCTCCAATCTCTCCAGACTCCTCGTTGTAGTCGGCCGGGTTCGGAGACGCGGACTTGGGAATCTTGACCTCGGCGATTTGCACATGGTTGGGGAGTCCCTCAGACGTATGTGTGCCAAGAAGGAGTCGATGGATACGATAGTTCTTGTCTTCGGGCTCCTTGACGTCAGGAAACCATTGTGTAGTCAGAGTCGGCCACTCTAGTGCCGTGCTGTACTGCATGTTAGTTGCAATTGGGACGAAGGCTGTGGCCGGTCATACCTGAGAATCATGTCGTAGAGAAAGGGGCTGTTCTTCTTCCACGTCTTGTATTCTAATCGCTTACTTAGTTTTAGATGTGAAAGGGAATGGAGACTTGCACAAACCCTCATTAATCAGACGTTGTTCCTGGTCCTCGTCTTCCTCTTGGACCATGTCCACTGGCGAAGGGGTTAGATTATGATGCATATGGGAACTCATTCACAAAGCTTACCATCGACATCGTCAACAACCTGAGCAGGAGCCATTGTGAGTAGAATTCTGACAATTCAATCAGGGAGTTGATTTCAGTTTCTAGGTGTCACCGCTTTGGTAAGATGGTGCTGCGTTGTGCCGGGGTCCGCAACGTGATAATCGGGAAGTTCTTTGGCGGCGCAAACAATGGCGGAGGAGGTTGACGCGAGGTGGAGGTTCGGAGAAGACGCGCAGCGCGTAGATTGAAACTTTAGTGCAGCAAAGGTTTGGGTGGACAGGAGCAGGCGCGCAAGCTGTGACGCCTGCCACGCTAATCGGAAGAGGGAATGGCTTAAACTGAAGTGATCCCCCACATTTTTGTGCTTCGAACTGAGGCATGGAGTAGCATCAGCCCCATCTTCCCTTGCCACAGCTCTGGTGGGGTCTTTCATATGTGGCGCAGGCCTACAAGAGCCTGAGCACCAAGGTGTCCCGTAGAGTCACACCGGGCCCAGGGCAGAAACAGTGATGACTGAGGCCTGAGCCCCTGTGGCCACTGGTGCTACAGCGTTATCCCGCCTAGCCCCGCCACCACCCCAAAGCCGGCGGAAGTTCCTGCATCATCCAATCCATATCGATTGCGCCCATCTCATCCCAGCGCCAGTCCAACTGTCCAGCTTCACCTGCGCAACCCAACTTTACCATCCTTTCGCCCTCACACAGCTCGACAGCCCGAGTTCCCTGTTCACCTGGCAGAATCGCAAGCACTCTGGCTTCGAATAGCTGAGTGTTGAATATTCTTTCAACTGTTCATTCTCTTTTCCTTTCACAAGTCGCAACTAGCTTGCGCCTGATTCACTTGGACTCCTACACCAGGACCTCCCTCGTGTCTGGAGAGAAAACCCGAACGCTTTTAGCCCTGAGACGGACAGGATCAACAGGATTACCTCCGCGAATCAATCATATCATTCAATACTTCATCAATTTTGCCTTTGTTAACCGCGGTTAGCTTAACCGCGCCCACCATTGCCACATTATGGGGTTCGTCGAGCTTCCAACCCTGCTTTGCAGTCTAGGGCCAACTTTACTAACATCTTCACCTTTAGTGTTCCCAAATTCTTCAGATGGCTCTCGGAGCGTTATCCGGCCATCTCCCAGCTCATTGCCGAGAACCGGATCCCCGAGTTCGACTGTCTCTACGTTCGCCTCTCTCACCACCATATTGTTTTTGAGTACGAATCACTAACAATGTTCGATAGCTGGACATGAACGGAATCATTCATAACTGTACGCATAAAGATTCGGGAGAAGATACCACCTTCCGACTGAGTGAGGAGGAGATGTTCATTCGCATTTTCAACTACATTGAGCACTTGTTTGGGAAGATCAAGCCGAAGCAGCTTTTCTTCATGGCCATCGACGGTGTTGCACCGAGAGCCAAGATGAACCAGCAGCGTGCCAGACGTTTCCGAACGGCTCTTGACGCTGAGAAAGCCCGTGAAAAGGCCATCAATGAGGGTGTCGAGATGCCCAAGGAGCCCCCTTTCGACAGCAACTGTATTACTCCCGGTACCGAGTTCATGGCGAAACTTACCCAGCAACTTAAGTATTTCGTCAACAAGAAGGTGTCTGAGGACGCCGACTGGCAGGGTTGTGAGGTCGTTTTGTCCGGTCACGAGGTTCCTGGTGAGGGTGAACACAAGATCATGGAGTACATCAGAAACGCCAAGGCGCAGCCTGACTATGATCCCAACGTTCGACACTGCTTGTACGGCCTTGATGCCGATCTCATCATGCTCGGTCTGCTCAGCCACGACCCTCATTTTTGTCTCCTTCGCGAGGAGGTCACCTTTGGCCGTGCGAGCAAGAACAAGTCGAAGGAACTGGAGCACCAGAACTTCTACTTGATGCATTTATGCATAGTTCGTGAGTACCTCGAATTGGAGTTCCAGGAACTCCAAGAGCCCGGTCGACTGAGTTTCCCATTCGATTTGGAGCGAGTAATCGACGACTTCATCCTCATGGCCTTCTTCGTTGGAAACGATTTCCTTCCCAATCTCCCGCGCCTTCACATCAACGAAGGTGCGCTCGCAGCCATGTTCCGCATTTATAAGTCTGTCCTCCCACAGGGAGATGGTTACATCAATGAAGGCGGTGTTATCAATCTCGAGCGCCTTTCTAGACTTCTTAACGAGCTTGCAAAGGACGAGAAGGACCAATTTGAACACGATGTCAGCGATGAGAAGTGGTTCCAGTCTAAAAGACTGGCTGAGCCTAACGGCGCTGATAGCAAGAAGTCCAAGGGAAAAGGACTTGTTCTTACTTCTGCCCAGAGGGATTTGTGGAAGCAAAAGATTCGCCCCTATGTTAATAAGCCCTCGCCCGAGCCGCTTGACTTGGGAACAAGTCTCAACGCCGCTGATCGCAAGTTTGTCCAAGACCTTGCTGATACCCTCCATATTGAATGGAGCACGAAGGAAGATGATGACGGCCACCGTCATCTTCTCCTTTCGTTCCCCGCGGGAGCTGCAGAGAACGCTAATGATGAAGAGGAGGAAGGAACCCTTGCACTCTACCGGGTTATGCGAAACTACGACAAAGCTCTTGTCGTTGACATCACGCCAGAAGATGCCCAGCATCACTACAAGGAACTGTATGACCAGAAATACCAAGCTTGGAAGACCAAGTACTACTTGGAGAAATTCCCTGAATGGGCGCCTGAATCCTACGATGCAGAGCTAACTAAGCTCTGTGAAAACTACGTCCAAGGTCTCCAATGGGTCTTGTACTATTACTATCAGGGCATCGCCTCGTGGCCTTGGTTTTACCAGTACCATTACTCACCTTTGACATCCGGTAGGTCAATTGCAGCAAGACAGAAGATTACCGCTAACTCAAGCTTTAGATGTTGTAAAGGGTCTCGGGGCCGATCTCAAGTTCAAGCTGGGCCAACCTTTCAGACCATATGAACAACTCATGGGTGTGCTACCCGATCGAAGCAAGTCTATTGTGCCTGAAGTGTACTGGGATTTGATGACGAATCCTAAGTCTCCAATCTACGACTTTTATCCCAGAGACTTCGAACTTGACATGAATGGAAAGAAAATGGAGTGGGAGGCCGTTGTCAAGATCCCTTTCATCGACGAGAAGCGCTTGCTCGATGCCATGGGACCGAAGAATGAGCTACTTACTAAGGACCAGCAAGCAAGGAACGGGTTTTGCGTGGCATTGAAATTTACATACAACCCAGAGGTCGCCTATACCTACCCATCATCGTTTGTGGGCGTCTTCCCGGATATCTCTCCTTGTTATTGTGTGGAGAACATTTTTGAGCTCCCCAACACTGACGGGCTGAAGTTCCGCAACGGCCTTGTGAAAGGTGCCAAGACCAACATTGAGGCTCTTGCAGGCTTTCCAACATTGCACACGCTGCCATACACAGCGATGCTTGTAGAAGGCTATGGTGTCAACGTCTTCCAAGCAGACAGCAAGAACCCTAGCATGATTATTACACTTACCGACTCGGAAATCAGGACGAAGGTCGAAACAGCGAGAGAGAAGCTTGGAAAGCGATGCTTTGTTGGATATCCTTTCCTTCAAGAGGCGAAGATTGTCAAGGTTTCCGATGAGCTCTTCGATTATGAGCTTGACAGTCAAACTGGCGCAGTTGTTCAGAAGCACCACGGCCCTAGAGATATTGACTTTTTCTCGAAGGAGTCCGCCTACATTGAAAACTGGCATGCCAAGCGCCTTGGCTTCACCATCAGCACTGTTGAGTCCCTCGTTCATGTCCATATGCTCAAGGGCTTGGTCAAGACCGAGGAGGGTGCTCTCGTTAAGGAGTACGCAGAGAACCCTAGCATGAGGAGCGTTTATGCTTCTCAGACCATTGTTGATGAAGTGGTGAACGAAGATGAGCGATTCATCGAAAAGGCAGCCGTTCCTATTGAGGAAGAGTACCCTGTTGGCACTCAAGCTTTCTTCTTGGGCGAATACAACTATGGACGTGCTCTAGAGGTCACAGGCCATGCAAACAACAAGGCCAATATTAGAGTTTCTGTCCTAAAGAACAAGGAGCCCGACTTCGCAAAACCTATAATTCAAGAAATGAAGCGACAAAACCGATACACCCCGTCTTATGCTGTTGCAAAGATGCTCAGCCTTCACCCCTTGATTCTTAGCAAGATCATGTCGTCTTACCAAATCAACACTGTTGGTGGACTAAGAGTTAACTTGGGTCTTAACTTGAAGTTTGACGCCAAAAAGCAGAAGGTCCTTGGCTACTCTCAGAAGTCTGAATCAGGTTGGGAGTTCAGCAATGCCGCGATCGAGCTTTTGGCTAGATATGTTGCCGCATTTCCAGACTTCTTTGCTGCTATCCAGCAGAACCCTCAATCGAGCGATGTCAACGACACTGATCTCTGGAAAGACCCGAAGGTCGCTGCACAGCGAGTGAAGGAGATTGGCGCATGGCTGAAGGCTGCCCAGACTAGCAAGTTTGAGAGAGTTCCCCTGGAAGCTGAGCAGCTGGACTCCGTGGTGGTTATGAGACTTGCTGAGGCAGGCGCGCACGTGTTCACTCAGTCTCACGATGTGGATGTGAAGAACATGAAGGGCGTCCCACGCTCCGCTATCATGAAGCCCAGCGACGCCGAGCTTTTCCTCAGCAATCAAAAATTTGCTCTTGGCGACCGCGTCAGCTTCTTGTCCTCTTCTGGCAAGGTTCCCCTCGGAAGCCGAGGAACAGTTGTTGGTCTCAGCCGCACCGCAACCAACGTGCTGCTGGACGTAGTCTGGGACCTGACCTTTATGAGTGGTACGACTTTAGGAGACAGGTGCCCACCCTTCCGCGGCATGACCGTCTACTCCTCTTCGGTGCTTAACACTACATATAAACAAGTCGTGTCCGGTTCCAAGGCTGGAATGCAGCGACGACCGGCGCCGGCGGTGACGTCGCTCACGACGAGCGCAACAGTGGGTGTTCCGCAATTCAAGGATGCTACGGCCCCCGGCCCGCTGAGGGGTACTTGGCGTGGCGCTGTCAATGGCAGTCAGGGTCACTCTGGCCGCGGCCGTGGCCGCGGAAGTGCTCCGAACTTGCTTCATAGCAACTTGGTCTATCGTGAGCGGAATGGCACCGGAGAGGGGCATGAAGTAAACGGACATGGTCAGCGCACTGGAGGGAACCAAAACACCAGAGGTCGTGGTCGAGGCCGTGGTGGACCCGTACAGCATCCTGGACATTCAGGACTGCACGAGGTGCCGGCTCAAGCTCAGCAGCCAATGTATGCGAACGTTCCGCCCCCTTCCAATCTCGATTCTAGAGGCAGAGGACGCGGGCGTGGACGAGGTGGACGCGGTAGGGGCGCTCCTCGTGGCCGTGGCGGGAATGGGTCCGCGGCTGGAGCATCTACTGGTGCTCCGGAGTCGTAGACGCTTCTTTTTTGTATTCTTTTGCGGTCCAGCGGATACCCCTTGATGAAGCGGGATGGTTTCTGATAGATGGCATTGGTCCCTAAAAGAAGGCACAGGAATCAATTACGACACGGATCAAGTATATGGCGGAAACGGCAATGGCTATTAGATGTTAACTATACTCTAAAAGCACGGATCAGATTTTGTTTACGAGTTGGAGCATTATCCATGTACGATAGCTTTGGACAATGTTAATACATCGGGAGGTCATTGCAGAAATGTAGTAGTAACCATGTCACTACAAGTGTCTGGCATACGGTGTAACTTTGAATCCTGTTATTTATTTGTTTACAACACGTGAAAGAAAGGTTCCTCCTCAGGGCAGATCATGGCTTCTTCTCCTTGACCTTCAGGGCGGGAAGCTTGAAAGCTTTGCTAACACCGCCCTTTAGCGCTTTCCAGTATCCAAGGTCACGGTTTTGGTTCCATGTCAAGATGCCAACCCAGGGCTGAACGTTGTAGTGCAACTTCAGGACAACCTTGTCGGATTCGGCGATCTTACCCGAGGGGTGGGTGATCTGGTACTTGGGCTTCTGGTTCTTGATCTTAAGCTTACCACTGTGCAACTGTCAGCTCTTGCAACTTTCCCTCAAACTTGAAAAACCACGTCGCGATATCTGCTTACCGGTTGGGGTCGATACTCTTGCCCTCTGCGCTCTTCTTAAGTTTGCGCAGAGCGGCAGGGCCAATGTTGGAGAGATGGTCGGCGCTTGGAGAAGTAATGATCTGGTCCCAGATAACGGCTTGGTTCGTGGCGTTTACACCGGGAACGGTATTCTTCTTCGAGTTATCCGGCCATTCGGCGGTCACGTAGACGAAGACTTGCTTGGTGTTCCAGGTGAAGAGGTCGGAGAGGTCGGCGTCGAGTGAGAACTTGATGATGGCATACTCCTCCTTCTTGGTGGAGTAGTAATGAGGGCGTCCTTTAATGACCTGGACGTTGGTGGTCTTGATCTCGCCGACGGAGGGAGCGCGTGGGGTGACGAGGTCTGTGGCCGCGATGAGGGCAGCCACGACAAAGGCTACCGTGGTAAAAAAGCCAAAAACATTTTGGCCACGGGTCAAAGTGTTGTACATTTTGAAAGAACCTGAAGCGCCTGAAGAGGCGTAGGTTTGTTAAGATGAAAAGAAAAGAAGCTCGTCAGCTGAGTTGCATGAAGAATGCGAATGTAGTGAGGACGAAATAGCTTATGTCCGTTCGTGATGGGAGGCCACGTTTAGGGAACAAAGCTTCAGCCTTGCACAGGTAGGAGATGTGGCTTTAGCGCTGTGCTTTGCGCGATTGGCCATCAAGCTTCGGCATTAGAGCTTTGGCTGCTTGTGTTTAGGGGACTTGGAGCAAGTACTTGGGTACCTCACCTAGGGGCCCTACCAGCTACAATGTAAGGATAGGAGCCGAGCCGGAGGTGGGGTCTGTGGGGGCCAGTTCTGCAGTGGATCCCTGCTGATGGGAGAACTGAATGCCACAAGGATGGCATGCAAGAACGTTGGTGTTAAACACTTACATTTTTACTGCTTCCTCAATGATTTTGACAATACAAGACTTCATCGACAACAACTGCTAGAGCTTGGAGCCCAGTCACTTATTCTTCTTCTTGCTTCTGAGTACTGTCAAGATGATTACCAGTAAGGGCGCTATTGAACTTTGGTCATATGTCTGGTCGCACTCTCCCTTGCCCAGAAAGCTGGCCTGCTTTGCTTCTGCTGGCTACACATGGCCTTTTTTCTTTCTCTTCCTTCAATCACTCAGATGTGAGCTGTGAACAACCGCAAGCCTCGTATGAAGACCTGATGGTACTCCCGTCCAAAGAAATGCTTCTGCCTTTTTTCTATTCGTATCGTTATTATCATTTAACTACAGGCATTCCCCCATCAGTTTTCCTGCCACTTGACCACCCAGCTTGTGGCTCATCTCTTCAAAGCATGATCAAGTCGTCTCACACAGCATCCGCCATAGCGATTGTATACCAGCAACACTCCTTGTGACGAACCAAAATGGCTGTCGCAAGAGAATACATTTACACGCGATGGGAAGTTACGAAAGAACAGGTATGCCGCTAGGTCTATTGATCTTGGTGGGTTGTTCATTCTGTTCAACCTGGCAATGTTGATCTCACCCACCTGCCATTTCCATCATACCTGTCGTCTGCCCCCTTCTCTTCTCATCGGCTTAGCTAGACTTTCATAATTTGTTTTTTTATCTTATTTTTATTATGGCACTTTTATAATCCCTGCTATCTTTGCGTGGATTGTGTCGGGGATCAATCGGCTGGGAGTGAGGGACGATTTCAAATGATATCGCCATTGCCTCACAGTGGGTGGCGCGCCCCGACACGCTGGTTTAATGGAGTGGATCCCCAAAGCTGTCACGCGCACAGGCCATTGGCAAGGCTACCAATCCGCTGTTGCCAGAGCGCGCCAGTGCCCCTCTCACCAGCGAATCCAACCACAGGGTACTCCGTATAGCGTGCTGCCCATCAATGTGGTCCCCAAATTTTTGACGAGCACTTGCAGGGCAAGCAGCCTTTTTGCCTGCGTGAACCCCACCACTAACCGACTCTCATGAATGAAGCAGGAGCACGGGACGACACCGCCTGTTAACGAAACGCCTTCTTCTCTCCAAGTCTCGCCGCAGTCCTGCGATGAAACGGCCCAAAAGTACGCCGCCTCCCCGTCATCCTCGTCGTACTCGTCCACTCCTAGTTCGATCCCGCTATCGCCGTCTCTTGCTCCTGAAGACACGAGATTAGCATTCCCCAAAGCTCGGGAGCTAGTTCGCGAAAAGACTGCGCATGAGGCAGGGAAAGAATTTGAAACCGAGGAGAGTGGCAAGCGGGCCAGCGTGGACAGTGTCCCTGTTTCCTCTGGGAAACAGGCATTCCCAAGAACAAAGGGGATAACGTACGTGCTTCCGCAAGACCTGCCACAGGCGAATGCGACTAACCCAGGTCATAGGGCCGAGGAACTTCGAAACCGATATTACGATCCTGGCAGCCATTCATTTCCTTCATACGGGTACTTTGCGACTCAGCGCGATGCTACAAAACATGTCACTGACGGTTGATCTGGCAGGAATCCGAAGGACGGAGTCCCCATTCGAGACCCAATGGTAAGGTCCTCGGGGAAAGGAGATAAAGAAGGCTAAACTAATGCTGGAATAGGTCGGGTCCAGGTTGAAAACACTTCTGGGCGGCATTAACCCCAGTGTCAATACCATCAACCCCAAAGAATCTGATGGCCAGAAAAAGAGATGTTCCCGTCCTATAACGACGCCTGCCGAACCCACGAGATCTGCAAAACGCCAGAAGATCGAAGACAGTGCACCATGTATCGCGCAATCAACACCAAAGCGCCTCCCTTCTCAGTCTCCTTCGCCACGAAAGCCTTCGGTGAGAGCTTCTTCGGTGGTAGACTTAACAGAGTCTCAGAAATCTGGAGATGTAGAGATCGCCAGCAACCGTTCAAACTATGAGTCAGGGTTCACGGCCGTTGAAGAATACCGAAATGTAGATAAATCCAACAGCGCCGGTATTAGGATCAAGCGACCACGCCGTCGAAGGGTAGTTATGAGTCAGCAGTCTACGTCGCCGGAGAACGACTCGTCTGGTGAAGACGATCTTGGAAAAGACGAGCCACCAAACAAAAAACAGGCTAAGGGGCAACCCAAGAGTGGCCCCAAGTCTGCAGCTAAACGAACGATTCTTGCGAAACACCCAAGGAGAACCCCTGAAGGAATATCAGACAGCGAAATTGAGAAACTTGATGAACTCGCACTCGAGTCCGTGGACGCGAAGAGACGTCAGCGCGCTGAAGCCGAAGATATCTCGGGCGATGAGGACACGCTGACCCCGATCACCCCAGGTAGTCGTCGAGCGCGCGCAGATATCTCGCCAGTGTACTTCTCCAGCAAGAAACGCAAGGTCGACAAACCGATATTCAGGTTGAAGCGGGCGGTTTCGGGAAAACACAGGTTAACCATTACTGACTTGCCAGTTGAAGATCAACCAATACTGCAAGTGGACGATGATGCCAAACATCTCGTTGCAGTTGATGGCAAGGGTGAAAAACGTCTTGACTATCATTGGCTTGATGTGAAATTAAATTTTTGCACCAAAGTCCAACACACTGCAGGGACGGTTCCGTTAGCAGCGATCTCGAGACCTGCAGGGGGGACTGCTTCTCCCCTCTTGGTCTTGGAATTTGCTGAGGCTAACGATGCTCTTCGTTTTGCAAATTGGGTCGAAGAGAAGTCAGCGAGCTGGGGAAACCGTTTAAAAATCATATGTGAGCCAGAAGACAGGTATGTTGACCACGGTACATGTTCTCAAGTGACGGGCACTAACAAAGCACCAGTGATCAACTGCAGAAAATCTTCAAGAACCAATGGAATATCGCGACTAATTATAAGCCGATGCCGTCACTAGAGCCGGGCAGCGGGAAGTATTCATCAGTCGAAGACTCTAGCAAAACTGATAGCGTGGAGCAGTCTGTGGCACAGAGTGGTTCCCGACCGACTCCACAACAAAATACCCCATATCGGCCATCTCATTCATTGAGAAGCAGCATGAATACTGAGGCTCCAAAATCAGCACCAAGTTCATCCACTAGAACATCGTCTTATTTTGTGTTGAGCGATGAGAAAGACGCCCGTCTTGAAACCAGACAGACCAGGGCACTTCCTCCAAGGCAGTCAAAGGACGCGGCAACTCGGCACACGTTGGACCCCAGGTCTAGCATTCTATCACCGCGGTCACCGAGTCCAGTGCCCTGGATGGAACAAAATCCCGACTGGGCAAATATATGGGACGACAGGCCCTTGATTTTTCCGGCCGTTGGTAAAAACAGAGCGTCTGTCTACAGGGACGATATGGCCAGACTTGAAGAGGGGCAATTCATGAATGATAACCTTATCGGCTTCTACTCGCGCTACCTTCAAATCAAATTGGAACAAGAAAACAATCAGATGGCCGATAGGATCTACTTTATGAATACCTACTTCTACCCAAGGTTGACCGAGAAAGCGGGTCGAAGTATCAACTACGACGGCGTCAAAACATGGACGGCGAAGGTTGACCTCTTCTCTTACGACTACATCATTGTTCCTGTCAATGAGCAGGCGCACTGGTATCTTGCAATTATCTGCCATCCGTCCAAGCTCATCAAATCCGAGAAAGCTGACGCAGAGAGAATTGATGAGGCATCCTCTCAGCAGCCACAAAAAGAGGGTCTAGTTTCTGCAGTTGGGGAACAAGTGCAACAAATGAGTTTAGACGACACGAATTCAGCAGATGACCCGAGATCCAAAGAGAACGAACCTAACCTTTCCGTCAAGTCACACACGCCTCGGAAAACTGCGGGGGCACTGTCTCGTAAGAAGGACCCCTCCGAGGCAAGAGTCATTACACTTGATTCTCTCGGTGTCGGACATTCAGCGACCTGCGGCAACCTGAAAGAGTACCTTGTACGTGAGGCAAAGGACAAGAAGAAGATGGATATCGAGCCTCCGGCACAGTTCGGCATGACTGCGAAAGGCATCCCGGAACAACTTGATCACGCAAGCTGTGGCGCATTTCTGCTTGGCTATCTACGAGAATTTCTGAAGAACCCAGACCACGTAGTCAGTCTGTTGGTACGGAAGGAAAAGGTGGACTGGCCTATCACATCGCTTGAGATGCGTGGTGAGCTACGCAACATCATCATTGAGCAGCGGAAAGAACAAAACCAACGGTTATCCTTGGAGAAGAAGGCTAAGCGAAAATCCAATAATCAGTCGCGCATCGTAAGCAAATCACCAGAGAAGGAACCGAGCGGCGAGCCGGCGACCCCGAGCACACCTATGCCACTTAGTGATGCGCCCAAGAATCCGTCTTCCACTGTCAAAGGCTCACCTGGGGCTGCTTCACATCATCGTGCCAGCCCACCTGCGGAAGAGGCAATGAATAAAGAAGTGGCTTCCACTGACAGAGCCGAACCAATCGAGCCATCCGATATTCCTCTCGTTCCAACGACCACCAAGAGCAACGAGTTACCGCAGCCTACCAGATCAGCCTCTACCCCAAGGGTCAAAACACCGCCTCCTTCACAGCCGCAAGACCACGCAACATCTCCGTTGAGAACAAGCCCGCGTAACAGGAAACGCAAGACCAGTGATAGTGCCATCAAGACACCACAACCTAAAGGCGTGATTCTTTCGTCTCCACCTTTAGCCAGGTTGACTAGCGAAAGGAGGCAGACTTCCAACGGTCTTGAAACAGGCCCCACTACAAGCGGGGGACTCCGGAGCCGGGTAGCCTCATCATCTAAGCCAACATCTATCCCTTCGGAGAGATCTATCGCCATTGAAACTGATAGAAGCTTGTCGCCTTCCCAGCAGATCTTGAGTGAACTGCGAGATTCGCCTTCCAAATCAAATCAAGCACAAAGATCAGCGTCGAATGAGGCCAAGAGCCACATTCAAAGTCATCAAAGAAAAGAGAAAATTGGCGGAGAGCCCCTTAACAAGCCAGCTCCCCTCACTTTGACGGAAGGCAACACAGAGACAAGCCCCCATTTTCCAACAGAACCGTCAACGCGGACCAAATCCTCACCTACTTCGGCGGCGAAGCCACGGCAACTGAGCGTTGAGGAGACTTATGGGCTCAGATCAAAATTTGAGGATAATGGAGGCCCTCACGAAGCATCCGGGGTCAAAACCCACAAACATCGACAGCCTGTAACTGTGGATCTCACCGACTAAGCTAATGTGCTTAACGATACCCCAGTTGTTGACCGTGGCCAACAGGTAACCGAAGAGAAATTTGTTGAAGAACGCGTTATGAATATTGGGAGGCAGTTGGGTGTCTGGTAGCCGGTCAACCCAATCTGATTTGTCCCATTCTGTTGACTGATTGATTGGCGAGGCGTTGTTCAGTTGGCTTAGTATTGTACCATCCATAGCATAGCCTGGCATTCCATACCCATAGACTTATAGCATGGCGTCCTTGGCGGTTAATGAAGAAATAAAAGAAAGATCTTGAAAAGTGGCTGCAATTTTTGGGGCCATGACGGAGAGTAGAGGCTCATCTCGTAGATCATACATTGTGGTACAAGATCCTCTATGTGTGCTTCCCAGCAATGTCCCTCTCTCCTAGTGAGGTAACACTTCTATACTTTTACTCGCTTTCCAAATCAGATGCATCATTATGGTTGCCGTTCACCTCTGGCTTTTTCAACACTCTTGGCACCTCAAACACGTATCCACCGTTTTTACCCTTGCCTTTCCGCATCTGCCACCTGCCAAACCTGTGCTCCTTACCCACTGCCGCAACAACGCAAATCCCATCCTGCCCGCGTTCACCGCGCTCAAAGATGGCAATGTCGTTAATCACACCCTTCAGACCGCCAGCGAAATCCGCTGACTTACCGTTAGGCGCAGCTTTTGAGGCTTGATCAGCCTCTGATGTAAGAACACCAGCCTCTTCAATCTTTCTCTTGTCCTCGCTTAGCCGCCACACTCTTATGCAGCCGTCCCAACTTCCACTAAGAATAACGTCTGAGTAAGGAATAGTCTTGAGTGCCGTGATCCACCTTGGTTGGGGCGGAGGCACGATGCTCGAGTCTGGGTTCTGATCCGCCGAGACTTCATCAGGGCGGAGGGGTTCTTCCAGGCCGTGGGCCATGGGAAGGATGTGGACTGGCTTCTTCTTTGTCACGCTCCAGAGGGCGAGTGAGCCGTTGTCGCTACCAGTGACGAAGAGTTCGTCATCAATCATGGCGACGCGGTCCATGCTGCCCTCGTGAGGGAGCGAACGCGGGTCGACGTCAGGACGGGACTTCTTGTCTACGGCACCACCGCGGAAAACAAGCTGTGTTTCCTCTGCAACTTTCCACAGACGTGCTGTACGATCACGTGCACCCACACTGACGCAACGCTCCTGGGCGAGGGCGTCGATGTCGACAATCTCATCTTGGTGGCCGAACAATGTCTCGATGTAGGCGAGCTCATCTAAACTCCAGACTTTAACAGTACGGTCCTTTGAGCATGAGTAGAGCTGGTTCGTGCCACGGCGGAAAGCAAGGCCGGTGACAGCATCGCGGTGGTGCGTAAAGACACGGATAGGTTTAAGGGTCTCGGCATCATAGATGATGAGCCTGCGGTCTTCGCCGCCGGTGACAACGTACTTGCCGTCGGGCGAGGCAGCAACGCAGAGGATCTTCTCAACGTGGCGCTGGAACGATTTGTTGTTGGCGGCATTCGTGTTGCCCCTCAACCAGGTCTGCAACTCAGGCCGCTTGCGCGGCGGCGCAGGCGGCTTCTTGGGCTTCTTGCGCGTGGTCTGGGGGAACTGGTTCTGTGGCAGATCTTGTATCCTCCACTTGTGAACGTACATGTCCTTGGTCGTAGTGTAGGCGTAGGGGAAGTTAACGGCGACGGAGGTAAAGGTCTCGGTGTTATTGCGGAAGAAAGATGAGGTCGCACGATCGAAGGCAAGTTCAGAGGCAAGCTGACGGTAGACTTTGCCTTTAGACTCGGCCACATCCTCTTGTAAGCGCTCGTTGATCAAATCGCGATCAATCTCGGCGGCATCGAAGCCTGCCTCGTCCACTTGCTGCTTCACATTCTCGAGGTACTGCTCTGCAAGTCTCAACCGGCGTTCTGCAGCAGTCTCGCCGGGGACGTCATCCTCGTCTTCCGAGCCATTGCCCTCTTCTGACTCGGCGCTGACTATGCTCTCATCATCAGAATCGCTACCCGAGATCGATTCGTCGTCGTCGTCACGCTCAATTCGCTTCTTAGAGGCAGGTGTTGCTGATTTTGCGCCAGTCGTGCTACTGTTTTTCCCTTTGCCAGCGGCTGCTCTTGGAGGGGCCCGGTTCGCGGTCTTGGGGGCTGCAATTCGCTTCTTAGGGGCCTCGGGAGCGGCCGTCCTTTTCCTCTTTTTGTTCGATCCGGGGATTGTGAAAAAGGAGGACATTTTGGGCACACGGCAGGTGACCTTCTGGGGGTATCTGGGCGAAATGTCCTGTCCCGCCTGGCTCTCTCGGTGAACTTTTTTTTTAGGTGGGCATCCTCACAGAAAAAAAAAGTTCTGGATGGGTACGTATCTCGGAGAATCAGATGTCAGTGTGGGGTTGACGGGCCAATCATATCAGTATTGTCAAGATAGTTTTTCCGGTCGGCAGCGGTCTGATGGGGCAGAATTCGCTAGGCGGGCCTTCCGTTCAGGCTGTAGCTTGACTGCGCGTTCCGGGGGTAGCTCGACGTACGTAGGAGGTAGAAGGCTGACGAGACGACGACTCCATAACTACCTAACGAACAAACAACCCACCTACTATCCAACTTCCCCAACCATCCGGCAGACACAACAACATTATTCAACATGTGAGATGCTCCTAAATCCGATATCTTTTGGTTTAGAAAGCGGTGACTAATCTGAATTGCGTTCGGCAGGGAGGTGTTACTTGGTATCACGGGCAAGGACTTCACCATCATTGCAGCTTCCAAAGCTGCCATGCGGGGCGCGACAGTCCTTAAGGCCGCTGACGATAAGACGAGAAGCCTCAACAAGCACACACTGATTGCGTACTCTGGCGAGGCGGGCGATACTGGTCAGTAACCGACCTCTATCTTTGCCCCACAGAGCTTCCCCTCCTACCTTCCTGTGGTCCTTGGCGCCATAATGTAGGATGCTAACTTGAGCTCTGACGGAATTTAGTGCAATTCGCCGACTACATCCAAGCAAACTCCCAGCTCTACTCGATGCGTAACGAGACGGACCTCTCCCCTTCTGGCCTTGCCAACTTCGTCCGCGGCGAGCTCGCTTCAAGCTTGCGCTCGCGCAAGCCGTACAACGTCAACCTGCTCCTGGGCGGCGTCGACCCTATCACACAGAAGCCAGCATTGTACTGGCTGGACTACCTCGCGTCTCTGGCGCCCTTGCCATATGCCGCTCACGGCTACGCACAGTACGTCGGTCCAGAGCTCCTCCCTCTGGTGCAGTCATCGGAGGGGCGGGGGAGCTATAAGCAGAAGCTAACTGGTGGATGATAGATACTACTGCCTGTCGATTCTCGACAAACATCACCACCCCGATATTACTCTCGGCCAAGGCATCAAAATTCTGAACATGTGCACGGATGAGCTCAAGAGACGGTTACCAATTGACTTCAAGGGCATGACGGTCAAGGCTGTCACCAAGGACGGCATCGTGGACATAGAATTCGACGACGACAAGGTGGTAAAGAGTGCTTGAGGAAGCGCGGATGGCGAATAAATGGAAACGGACCTCTTTTGATGAAAGTGCAGGGAGCACCAAGGAGTTTGCCAGCAACAACTGTACTACTAGATCGGGCTGGTAATTGAAAAAGACATTGATACTACCACCAGAAGTGGTCTGGGGAGCTTTACAGAGCCGTCACAAGTAATGTCCAATCGGGTTTATTAGTGAGGCAGCCGGATTGGCAGGAACATACAAGGTCAGGGCCATCAGCACAAGAGCAGATACATTGTTCCAAAATAAAGATTGTGTCACGCCACTCGTTTCTGATTATGAATGCCTTATCCCAACTTCATGTTAACTCAACATGGCAGCGATGCGATTCTCGTTATCTCATCGTTTGAGAGGACTGAGTCGGGGCTTAGGGGCAAGCGGTGAGGTCCCGATTTCGCCGCACAACAGGGATTACGGGCGTTTGAAACGTGAGTTGCCGTACCGAGCCGTCCAATACAGTTATCCTCCATCATCGAACCGTTCGTTGGCCTGTGTATTTCAGGCACAATCCAACAATGTGTTTGGCTTCATCCCATCTTCTCGGGCGTCGCAAAGAATTGAGAGAAAGAGCGGCAGCCGACATGTGGGCCAAATTATAAGGTGCAATAAAGTACCAGACTGGAGATTGACTCGCCTCCCCCTGCAATCCCTTGTGTGAGGGCGACTGATGTTTCTTCTAGCGCGAAGCTGACTAGTACGAAAGTATACGCATGTTTCTTTATTGGCTGCAACGGCGACTCGGCAGCTCCGATGAATCAGACAATGAATTGCAGTGGTCGGGAATCCCAAGGTGCAACGTTGTTATGCTTTACAACCCTAGCTGAAGAGGATTACTTGCCTTAGGTTGTGCAGGGAAATATTTCAACGGGTCGGTTGCAAGAGTGGAGGATGCTAGAGGACCCCGCGGTGCGAGTGCCTAAAAATGACGTAGGTAAGATTGTTCAGTCTTTACTATGCTTTGGCGAGCGACGCAGAGTTTTATGTGACGAGGGGGATATCGCTCTGGCTCATTCCACTGGAATTGTGTTTCTCGGCAGTAAGCCAGCCCAGTTGTCTACATTATTTGGTATGGTACCCCGAGCAGGTTTCAGCGTTCCAGTTGTTACAGGGCGAACATCCGAAGGCTTTTGGCTGTAGTGGGGGGGTGCGCCCTCTCACAACCAAATATCTGTTATCGGACAAGGAATTATTGGTAAGTGGGAAGAAAGCCAAGCATTCGCTAGTCGCTGCTGATGGATTATATCAGGAAAGAGAAGTAGAGGAAGAAAAGAAAAACTACGACATTCCTGCCTTGACCCCGCTAGAATGATAATTCGTACCAAATTCTCCAAATGAGGCAGAAGCGCCTGTAGGATTGATGTCCACTTACTCCTCCTGCAGACCATGGGAGAGGCACAACACAACAGATTTTCACTTCTTAGATGCCAGTACGGAGTAGGTGTGATGAGCTTCGGGGTTGACAACATGTAGTATCCTCGGGCCCTTTCATTGTACTCAGTAGACTATACTAGAAAGGTATCTCCTTCCTCAAATTCGCCACTTCAGCCACTACCCCCCCCCCCCCCTCCCCCCATTGTCGACTTCATTGCGGGGGCTCCCTGCAACCCCGAACTTCATCTTTTGTTCCTCGCTCCCGCCCAGCCTAGCCCCTGCCACCCAACTTTCCCTTGATCTAACAAGGTCACTACCAACCTCTTATCTCATTCATCTTGCTGCCAGTCCCCCTAAAACATTTTGAGAATTACGCCTGTCTTGTGCAAAAACTTTTCCATTCAGGTGCATCATTGATATTGATAAATCCCGTTATAATATCTTTTCTTGGGCTGAACGCACGAGCCGGCTAAACCTGGTATCGTCGAAATACGGATACCTCACTCTAGATTCATGCGCGAGCCGTATCGACGTGACGTTTAGGTCGATAAGACATCACTAAGGTACAGTGCCTTTCTTCCCAGGTACGTATGCTAGGTACGTACCTATGCCTCGGTGTCTCCTTCAACCTTCCAGCATTCCGTGAAAACACCGTTCTTAGATTGGTTCCGCTCCCATAAGCCCAAAGAAAGCGGGAAGGGGAGGAAGAAAGAAAGGGAAAAAGATTTTTATGGCCGTTGGTTGGGGGTGGCAGCTTGGCCCGTCACCTCACATGTCATCATTCCCTTCCCACATCACAGAAAACAGGCACATGCTGCTAGAAGGTGGCCAATCCGGTCTCTTGCTTACCCACTCATTGGCGGCGGGCTTTTAGCGGCTGAGAGCCAGGAGCCTGGAGCCTGAGCGGCGTTCAACACTGGGCGCAGTCGAATGTGGGCAAAAGGTCGCCAGTCCAGGACTGTCAGGCAGGTCCCCCTTGTGGCCTCTCCTCACCGCAGAAGGGAGGAAGGCGCCCCCCAAATTTTTTTTTCTTGGGAGGGTGCAGTGCCAGAGTCACAACACTGCCAACGGAGATAGGGTGCAGGGGTGTCTGGCCTTTTCTGGTGGATTCCGACACAATCTCAAACCAATTTTTTTTTCCCCTACTTCTTGCCTCCGATCTCCAATCCCTTTTCCCTCCCACAACCTCTCCCACAAAACTCTTCCCACATCACAAAAAGGGATCCCATTCTCATCCTCCCCCCCAACACAACTCTCTCCAAAATTTGTTCTCTTGTCTTTCCTTTGAGCATCTTGGGAAATACAAGGCCTAGGAACTAATCAGTGCCCCAGAGCACGAAACGCGCCTGCCTAATAGACGACAGAGACGAACGTTAGGAAGTCACGCTGACTTTCAATTTTCCTTCTCTTTCATCCTTCTTTCGGTTTGCTTGTTTGTTTTCATCACGATAAAACAATCGCGGACCGGTTTCCCTTCATTTTTGATATACTCTCCAATACTTGACAGTCTTTCCGAGAGTAATCAACGACCTATCGAGTTGACTCGCCATTCGAGATACCCTCTTGTCGATACATCCACAACCACAGTTTTTCGACAGACGATCTGATTAAACCATCCATCATGGCTGATCAACTCAACATGTCTGGCCTGAACATTCAGGACCAGCAGAACCAACCGCGCTCCTACATCCCTCCCCACATGCGTAAGGTGAACGGTGGCGGCGGTGGTGGTGGTGGTCCTCCCCCCATGAACGGCGGTTTGAACAACAGCGCCTGGGCTGGGTACGTAAACACTCTTTCGAAGAGGCCTTGTCTTCACTCTTGGCTCTCTCTCCCCTCCTGAATCTAGTCATTAACCAAGGTCATAGCAGAAACCAACCCGTCGACGCCCGTCAGCAAGGTGGCGACTGGCCCGCGATGGGCGCTCCTGGCGCTCCTGGCGGCCCTGGTGGTCCCGGTGGCCCTGGTGGCCCCCCTCCTCAACAGCAGCCCTACCAACCTCGTGGTGGCCGTAACTGGGGTGGTGAGGGTGGTCGTGGTGGCTACAGCGGCGGCTACGGCAACAATGCTGGCGGTGGCGGCCAGCAGGCTCGTGGATCCGGCGATGGTCAGTGGCGCGAGGGCAAGCACATTCCCGGCCCTGCCAACCCTCGTGTTGAGCGTGAGCTTTTCGGAACTGCCGACGACCCGTCCAAGCAGCACACCGGTATCAACTTCGAGAAGTACGATGACATTCCTGTCGAGGCCTCTGGACACGATGTTCCTGAGCCCGTCTTGACCTTCTCCAACCCCCCTCTCGACAACCACCTTATCGGCAACATTGAGATGGCCCGCTACAAGATTCCTACTCCCGTTCAGAAGTACTCAATTCCCATCGTCATGGGCGGCCGCGATCTCATGGCTTGCGCTCAGACTGGTTCCGGAAAGACTGGTGGTTTCCTCTTCCCCATTCTCTCCCAGGCCTTTATCCACGGCCCCTCTGCCATCCCCCCGAACGCCGGTGGTGGTAACTTCGGCCGCCAGCGCAAGGCCTACCCCACCTCTTTGATTCTGGCTCCCACTCGCGAGCTTGTCTCTCAGATTTACGACGAGTCGCGCAAGTTCGCTTACAGATCTTGGGTTCGCCCCTGCGTCGTCTACGGTGGTGCCGACATTGGCTCTCAGCTTCGCCAGATTGAGCGCGGCTGTGACTTGCTTGTTGCTACTCCCGGACGTTTGGTTGACCTTATCGAGCGTGGTCGCATCTCGCTGCAGAACATTAAGTATCTTGTGCTGGATGAGGCCGATCGCATGCTTGACATGGGTTTCGAGCCCCAGATCCGTCGCATTGTCGAGGGTGAAGATATGCCCAACGTCCAGAACCGTCAGACTCTCATGTTCTCGGCTACGTTCCCCCGCGACATCCAGATGCTCGCTCGCGACTTCTTGAAGGACTACGTCTTCCTGTCTGTTGGTCGTGTCGGTTCCACCTCTGAGAACATTACCCAGAAGGTTGAATACGTCGAGGATGTTGACAAGCGCTCTGTGCTCTTGGATATCCTGCACACTCACGGTGCCGGTCTTACGTTGATCTTTGTCGAGACCAAGCGCATGGCTGACTCCCTGTCTGATTTCTTGATCAACCAGAACTTCCCCGCCACTTCCATTCACGGTGATCGTACCCAGCGTGAGCGTGAGCGCGCTCTGGAGTTCTTCCGCAACGGACGCTGCCCTATCCTTGTTGCCACTGCCGTTGCTGCTCGTGGTCTTGATATCCCTAACGTTACTCACGTTGTCAACTATGACTTGCCCACTGACATCGACGACTACGTTCACCGCATCGGTCGTACTGGTCGTGCCGGAAACACCGGTCACTCCACTGCCTTCTTCAACCGCGGCAACCGTGGTGTCGTTCGCGACCTCATCGAGCTTCTCAAGGAGGCCAACCAGGAGGTTCCCAGCTTCCTTGAGACTATTGCTCGCGAGTCTTCCTACGGCGGCGGCGGCCGTGGTGGCCGTGGCGGTCGTCCTCGCGGTGGTGGCTCGGGCGCCAACCGTGATTTCCGCAAATACGGCGGTGGTGGCTTTGGTGGCCCCCCTAGCAACAGCTTCGGCGGCGGCGGTGGTGGCAGCGGCTACGGCGGCGGCGGTGGCTTCAGCGGTCCTCCTGGCGGTGGCTACAGTGGCGGAGGTGGTGGCTACGGCGGCAGCGGTGGCGGCGGTGGTGGTGGTGGTTACGGCGGTGGTGGCTACGGCAACCCCAGTGGCCCTGGCGGTAACTCGTCTTGGTGGTAAACGATTTCCCACTACGATACTGGATGGCTGTGAAAGCGTCAATCTCGCAGCTGTTCGACACGCAGCGTTTACGCCTCGCTGCGGACTTTCGATTTCTTTTTTTTTCCTTTTGTTTTGCGCGCATGGGTCGACATTGTACGCATTCATCGTTTCGTGCTTCTTTGCATTTGGACTTCGACACGGCGGCATGGCCCCGAGAGCCGACGGTATTGCCTCTCATGTTTTCAACGAGAAGCATCATCGGGTGTTCGGGCAGGCATCGGCATCGATAGAGAGCATTTCTTTTTTTGCTGGACCGAAACTCCATGATACCCTTAGACCGACATTGGGAAAAGCTTTCAGAATCGGCAGAGCTGCATGAATAACACCAAGGTGTGGTGTACTGCAGCGTGGCCGGATCTAAGGATACAAGACACGGATCCTGGATCTGCCTACGCATTACGACTATCATGTTTCTGCTTTCTACCAGCGTTTTCCCGAAGGGCATTTTCTCGCTTTTCGATGATAGAAGGGTCATGCATTTCGCCGTGCATACATAGACAAAAGTGGATTTCTCGGTCGTCTGGTTCAACGTCACTACAGGCTTGCCCCATGGGCAAACAGGGCAGGACGGTGACATAGAGGACAAGGCGGCAGCATAGACTGGACTGGTAATGGAAGGATCGGATGGACGGTCGACAGAACGAATAATTTCAAGACGTTTTGAGAGCGGGAACCTAAGGCCCTCCCAGGTACAGATTAGGGATTCACAGGGAGGGGAAACAAAAGTTCTTGCTCTTAATCGGTTAATGGCCACACATGGACGTGGTCTTCAGCTCCGGCAATGGGAAAAATGGATTGCTGGGGGCTGGAGGCATCAGAGACTTCGGTCTTGGGTTCGGGGCGAAGCGGCCGTGCAAGGCCTCCCCAGGTAGACAGCCAGTCTGGACTGAGAAGTCCCAATAAAAACAGATTCTGATATTAACGTTGTTGTGTGCCGAAGTGATCATAGCATATTATAGGCAGCGATGATAATGAAATAGCGACAACAGCATCTTTGATGCAGTGAATCCCTGTAGAAATTAACCAGTTGAAAACAACATGCATGCGATGGCGACACACTAATTCCGGTGATAAGTAGAAACGTGGTCGTTCCAGGCTCGACATATCCAACTATCCTCGAGACACTGTTTGCAACCGCTATGGAAACACAGAAGAGAGAAAGGAGGATGTTTCCAGAACCATACAGGATATCACGTCGGAGACCACTTGCGAAAATATGTCTACGTGATACCTAAGGGCTTCGATCGCTTCGTATCTTACAGACGAACTCTATGGTACTTAAAAGTAACTTTTTTTTCCTAATTAGTGTTTACAGTGCAATGTTGTAAATGTCTCGCCAGTGCTAAATATTCTGAGGTAAAGTCCCCAAGGTGACGAGAATTGAGTGGAGTTGATTCCGGAGAAAGGGCCAGTCTTACCAGGCTGTGGCCCATGGGCAAGGTACGTACAGGACCATCAGGGGGGCCGAACCAGGAATTTTAGTGGTTGGGGACAGCCTGACGCGCTCCCCCAAAATCGTGAGCTCCGTGCTCTGTGTGCTCCCCCGTTGAGTTGGTGGAATCTCAGGATCAGCTGGCCTGGGCGGTGGGCAAAGTCAACCATCTCAGCCTGTCACGGTCAAACTTCATTTCGCCCATCCCACATTCACCCAATTCACCCACTTTCGACCCAATTTCCCTTCATCAAATCCCAACCACCTTGAATGCCGCACGTGTCGATAGTTGCGACCACGACGACCACTTCCGCATTCGTGCTCCCGACTAACGGTGCTGAGCCAATGATCGCGACATTTCCGGCTCTTTTCTGAATCAACTTGCCCTTTCGATCGACCAGCCTCGTCGCACCTCCCTCCCATGGCGCCCGCTTCACCCAGTTCCACTGCGGCCGGCGCCATGTCGGATGCAGAAGGTCCTACCTCTCCTGCTCGCGCCGACGAGGGTAAGTCTTTCGTCTCGCAAGCCATGACTGAGGATGAAGATACCCGCATGATGGATGCGACTCCAGAACCCTCTGAGAAGGCATCAGGTCGTGGCAAAAAGGCCTCACAGTCGAAGGATCAATCATCGCAGGCCATCACTGGCAAGATCAGACATTTGAAAAAGGAGGATGGCGAGCCGCTCTGGCGCAAGGACATCCAATATGACTTCCTCAGGGCCATTTTCGACGACGAAAACGCCGTCTTTACCAACTCTTACGAACCTGAAAAGGGGCCACAGAACTTTGCTGATCTGTACATCGACACCATGTCGCGAAGCAGCAAGACCAGCAAGGTTCTCCGCGACAAGCTGCTTAGTGATCGGGCTGCCGCCAAGGGAATGGCCATGGTCTGTCTCTTGGTCAACATCGGAAGGATGAACACCACGCTCAATTGTCAGCTCCTCCTTGCCGCCTAAAGGGTTTGGGACGAACACTAACTATTTCATAGTCTTTCCCGAGATGCGAGCCCAATTGCGAACGTACCACGCTATCCCTTCCCTCCAGGCCAACCAAGACGCGCATGCCTACAAACAGCTTCAAGATGCCCCCAGACTGAAGTCGATTTTGAAGGGTGGTGCTGAAGATCGCGAGGAACCTACGAGTCTTAACAAGATCAAGTCCCTCGATGTCCCTCGTACGAACCCTGTCAACTTGCTCTTCATAATCTGCCAATCGGCGGCTAAGATTGCTGAACTGCACTTTCCCCCCGGCCGCGAGTTCCACGATCTGGTCATGAAGACCAACCTGACTAGCAAATCCCGTGCCCGTGCTTTCCTCTGGATCATGTGGTTCTACCTCGAATCCGACTTTACTGAAGAGGGTTGCGAGGAGAACCCATTTGGCCCAGGCGTCGATTATGGTGTTGACGTGGCCAACCAGGGGGTTCCTGATTTGGATGAGATGACCCCCGAGGAAGAGGCACAGGAGAACGTTGATACACAGTCGGAGATCGAGTTCGGAGAGGAGAAGCAGAAGATGCGTGCTAAAATTCTCGAGGCGGATCAGGCTTATCTCGCCGACAGCCAGACAAAGCGCGGCTCGAGAACATCACGTATCATGGCCGAGGAGGGACCGGCCATCTTACCTCGCATCCGCCCGTCGAAGCATGAGTCGGATCTGGACAGCACCCGCTCGACACCCCCACCCAGAGCGTTGGGCCGCGGCCTAGGGGGCTCTGTCAGACGTGGAGGTGCGCCTCTCAAGTACCAGATATTCGAGGGCTCCTCACCCGCTGGTCCAGGTCACCATCAAGCTGAGGGCATCGTTGCACGAAAGCCTCGACCCCCAACAGCACACCAGATTGCGGTCGAAAGAAACAGAAACCAAAGAGTTGAGTACATTCTTGACAGAGGCATCCGCAAACAGCATCACAAGGCCAGAAAGCTTAGGCGCCAAGATGGCGCCATCTATCGCGCATACAAACGGATCCAGCAGATGCAGGATCCCTTCGAGGACAGCGAGGGTGAGGATGGCCCGCAGCGACAGCTAATGTCTGGCGGCGATAAGACCGTTGGCGCTTTTCGGGAGAAGGGATTCGGCGGTCTTGTGCTGCTAAGTACGGAGACCGATGACTTTGGAGAAGAAGCAAGCTCCTACGCTGCGGCCTTCCGACGCACCTCGCGGCGCCTGGCCCGGTGGGGCACATACGAAGGTCCTCCACTTGGGGTCATCCCTCCCAGGAAGAAGCAGAAGGCAAACGGTGTCGAAGGGGGTGAAGCCGGCGATATGACACTGGACCTCGATGCCACCAGAGTGACTGGCTCCCCTTCTAGGGAAAATGGCGATCTCAACGGCGACGTAACCCTGGGTGATATCACGATAGGAGATGTTACAATGGACGATGCGGACGACGCCGATAAGACGATTGTTCCGGGGAGCCCGGCTGAGGATGAAGAACTTGACGATATGGACCGGTCTCTGTTGGGTCTTTCCGCTGATCAGGAAGTTGAGGACTCCGCCTCCGATTCCGACTAGACCATTACCGATTTTCTTTACTGTCCACCAAAACTTGGGGGAGCGGGATCGTTCAGACATGACGGTTGACGAAACGTCTCCCCTTTCCCTTCTTCTTGCCATGCGCCATGGTCTGGCGATTATAGATAGAACAGGTGACATCCTTTTCTTTTTTTTTACCCCTTTGCGTTTAGACTTGCGGGCGTCGGAGTTGTATACTAGTAGCACTACAAAAAGTCGGGTGTAGGGGACATACGGCAAATGGGGGTAGGTGGCTTCTTACTGACGCCAGGGAGGGTTATTATGCGGAGCGTCATTTATTTTTTGTTTGTATTCTGTAGTAAGTTTTTTTTATTAGTATTCTAGTTGGCCGCGCTCAGATCACGGCTCGCAAATTTGATGGACATTACAATTACAATGTTGCCTCATGTAATCAAGACATGTATAGGAGGCGGATACAAGTCCGACATGCGAGGTGTTTGAGATTCTCTGGTGATGAAACGTGCTTCTTGCTTCAATTAAACCAGCAACGGGGCTGAAAATATTTACTCGTGTTCAAGGACCAAGTCTGATAATGGCATTACGTGGTTTACGCGGAACGTTGTTTATGCGTTTGCCGTCGTTGACGACGAGTGCCTGCTTCTTCGCTGGTTTGCATGGCTTTCCAATAACGGCGTTTCGTACGACATGTTTGATCCCAACAAAGGGAACACTATAGCAGGAGTACGCAACCCAAAAGCGTAAGTAGAGTCAGCTTGTAGAGTCATGACGAAGGTGGCAACAGCGCCGGTGCTTGCTTGGCCCTCAGAGCCTGGTTTCTGTTACATGGCAGATAGTGAGTGACTCGACACGGTGTGGAATGGGTGATTGGCGATATCTTGGAAGACGATATCTTGGAAGACTTTGTGTGATATATGGAAGAGTAACAGGCATCTGGGAGAGCTGACTGAGCCGTCTACCTTCATGAGAAGTCTGGGCATTCAGGCTGCCTGGGGTTGCTTCTTGGGTCACAGCCCTCTCCAGTCGAGCATAACAGAAGCTTGCCGAGAGCTGGGGATATGACTTGAAGATTCTTGTATGATGTCCAAATATGACTCCCTGTTCTAGTTCGGCTTCAGCATAGTACTCCCGTTATATATCGACATTTCGTATCCCAAGGGACGGGCCATAAGTGAGGCCCTTACGATGATGTGAATGTTAGCAAAGGCCTACACAAGGCAGAGTCGATCGTCTTCCCGACGTGTTTGCTTGAGATAGTAGCCCTTGTTATGGGGCTTTTAATTGCCTTGCTTCGCAGGTATATTGGGTGCCTGAACATCTACACAGCCGTCCCTATGACGGTATTGGTATGCTCACGCTGATGGCACGACACGTTCATTGGATCATGTATAGCAGAAGAGAACATGAATGGCAATCTAACAATGCACCAGGCAGATAAGATGAAAACTATCAAGGCGATGACTTGACGGATGGTGAGTGTAAGGCTTTACCAGCCAAGCCACACAGTCTTTCGTATTGAAAGAGTTTCTTCGGGGAGCTTGATACTCACTGCATAGACAATATACACGTTTAATTTCATTGTCTGTCTCTTCCAGATGCGATAGAAGTAGCACGGGATTACTCAAAGAATACTAAGACTCCGTATTTAATTTACGTAAAAATCTTCCTCAACACTCTGACTCCTCGGAACCAGAAGAGGTTCCGGGGAATGTCACAGTTGGCATGGCTTATAGTTCATTAGTTCTGCGCAGACGAGATGCTTTGCCCCGAGTCTTGAATACCTCCAAGAGAACAAGACTACATTGGAAACAGCCTCAGAGGCAGTCAGGGTTGGCTTGGATCAAGCGATAATTCTATACAGAAGGCCTCAGAGAGAGGTTGCTGTCGGCACTGGATATAGGTGGCACACGAGACTTGGCAACCCAATGTTGCAATCGAGCCTGCACAACTAAGCAAGAATAGAAAGCAACAAGGCTCGGCCGAGGAAGGGTGTGTAGGGCGGGCAACTCGGCCAGGCTAGAAGTTACTGCGGTATTACGTAGACGTGGCTAGCCTATCGACTACGTGGTCATGATCTGCCTAAGCTAGGTGACTGCAACCTAGGGCCTGCTGATGCAGATTTGGTATAACCACAATGCACAATGCCATCTGAGCTCTCGCGCGCGCGCGCGCGGGTCCTGCGAACGGACGTGGGGATACCTCATCATAGACATTGACCGCGCGGCAGATGGCCAAAAGTGCCATGTTGGATATGTAAGCAGTTGGGGTCTGTGAGTCTTTGTGAGGACTAGATTATGTTGGGGGGAAAGGATGAGTCGATGACAACACTATTTGCCGGACCACGCGCTCCAGGACATCCATCGCCCTTGATCAACCCAACCCGCATGGCCATGTGCAAAAGTGCCACAGCCACGCTGCAAAAGGACCGCATTTTACCGTGCAGATTTTGATAAGTAACTACATGGTTATGAGTGGCCAGTTTTGGCTGAAGGAACCTCCTCCCCTTTGCATGGTATTTCGTGCACAATTCGGGTTTTTTTGGGTCTTGGTAGACACCGATTTGGCTGGCGGGGCCGGCTCCGAGAGGTGGAACCGGTTGGTGGTGTCGGGTCATGGAACTTGCGCCAGAAAGGGCAACCGCTCGCTTGCACGCCGATGGGCTTTTCGAGATTTCTCGATCCCCCGTCCACCCATTCCTTTGTGCTCTTTTGTTTCTGTTTTTCTTTTTCTTTCTGTGTTCTTTAATCATTCAACCGAGTGCCAGAACCTGATGTTTTCGGCGGTCTGTTAATGCCGAGTTGTGTCTTAAACACTTTGCGGCCCCGTGGTATTCGGAGGATACTATGTAGGAAACGGATTGGCAAAGACTGACAGCGGACACCACTCATAAATTACGCGTATTCTTGGGGCAATGATTTGACCTCTGGCCAATGCGCCCAGGTCTTGGGTCACTTCTGGGATGTGTGAGAGGGCTGGTATGGAGTGTTCTGGGGCTTAAGTCCTTGCCGACTAAGTCCGCTGTACCTTCGTATCCTCGGCACCGTTTCGGCTACCGGCCACTCAATTGGCGTCTTGTGCCAAGATGACGGGGAGAACTGGGGTGTCTGCAAGGTGATGTGGAGTTGCCTTTTTTTTTTTTTTCTTCTCTTCTATGGAGCTAGCAGTGCAAAGTGTACGTAGTCTGGCTTTTACTAGGACGAGGGGTTCATGGTCCGATAGTTGCCAAGAGTAGCTTATTCATAGATGTTTCTGGGAAGAGAGGACGTAGGTACTTGAACCATTAACTGGAGGCTTCAGATGATTATCCATATTGACCGGATGTACGTGTGCATATTCGTAATCAGATCAAACTTGTCACCAGGTTGACAGGTCTTGAACCGTTGGACTTGCCGCCATCCTGTTTTTTTTTTTTTTTTTTTCTTTTCTTCGTCTCCCGGTTCTATTATTCTATATAGTACGGAGCACCCCTTCCTGTTTGATGAATCATGGATCCGTCCACTACAGCGGAAGAGTGTGCGCCAACGATCTTTCCACGAGGGTGCATGGCTCCAGGGATGGGCGCTGAACGCAAGCGGCCGGCAAGGGCTTTGCCGGCCCTGGCGTCGGTCACTTAGGCCAGCATTGACCACAAGAAACACCTGGCTCCATGAAGGGTTCGTCCTCGTGCCCAGGATGCCCGGCTTCAGCGGGGCTCATTGCAACTGATGCTCATCTTCTCGTCGGAGTGTACACGACGACGAATATCACGTATATAGCAAACGGCGAATTTCAGGGAATATGATGCTCGTTATATGGGGCGACTGAATGCCCTTGAGTCGTGCTTGTTGGCTGTATCTGGGCACAGTGCCCTCCCCCATGCATGCTTATAAGCATGTACACGGATACTGTCATTGATGCCGAAAAGGCTCTTGGTGGAACAGTGATCAGTAAGTTATAAGTGCAAAGACCAATCGCATTTGAAAAGGGGCTAGAAGAATAGATGTCGAAACGAGAAATGGTTTCGAGGTGTAGCTTTTGGAAACCACCATTTTTTGCCGGGTTTGTTGGGTAAGTTTGCGGCAACGGTTGCTGTTGATATTTTCAAAGCCGATACTGTGTACAGCAAGGATATGGGGGAACGGGACACCGATAGAAATATGCTACCGTCGTAATGGAATGCTTGTTTGGGACAAGGTAAACGACGTTTGGCCAGTGGGCCCCAAATTGCGAGTTAGGAGGAGGGAAATCGGCGAAGGAGCACGACGATCTGGACGGGCCTCATTCTTTCTTTTTCGGCACAGGGAACGGCCTATGGGCAATACACTTAATACGTGGGTACATGGTGTTCACGGCAGGAACTTGGTTATGCTTAACACGAAAAAAGCAGGAAGCATAGTCTCAGTCTCCTCATCTGCGGTCCCGAACCGCTGGCCTTAGGCCGGTCCAGCCTGAAGCGAGCGTCGGGTCGGCTAACAAGTAGCCGCTGAGGCCGACGGTTGGTAATGATACATGGACTGCTGAACACTACACGGCCATCTCGCTACGAGTCTAGGTACGTAGATAGGGGAAGGAGGAGAAAAAAAAAAAAACCAACCACAGGAAGCGGTACCACAGCTGGCACCTTCTTGCCTCGTGCTAGCCATATCGTGGCATCCCTGTCTGGTTTGTCCCATACCATCCCGTTTCGTCTGTGTCCCCATCGTTTTTTCTTCTCAACCGGAACCAATCCAGACCAATGCAATCCACCTACCCATGCATCGAGGGCGGTCGCAGCTTGATGGGTAGCTCAGGTCGCCCATTCGCCCTCACTACTCAAGGGGAAAGGCTGTTGTCGGTGAAAGAAATCACTGTATATTCTTTCCCCCTCCACTATCCGGTGCCGTAAAACCCCCCCGGAGGGTAAGGCAAATAAACAAATCTCCATGTTCAGGCCGGCCTATCTGCTTGTCACGTCTCCTGCAGGCGGTCCAATTGTGTCCACACGCACCTCCATCGGTCATTCATCATTACACGTACTGTTCCTTTTCTCTAGTACCCTGACGTAGTCGTCCATGCCTCTCGGGCTTCGTACCCTCTCTTTTTATTCTTTCGTTTATGTTGTTCTTCCCTCCACTTCTTCTTGCACTATCGTAGCTCCAACTCCTCTACCCCAGCCCCTTCGGAGTTCGAGTCCATCTCGGCAGCATTCGACAGCTTTCCTTCATTGTTGTCAAGTGGAACCAGTGACACGCCTCTCGGATGGTTTCGTGCCAGCTCCTTCTTTTCCCCTAGTGACGGACATAACACTTCTGTTCCCCGGCTTCACACTAAAACATAGTGTACCTTGCTTGCCGTACCTGCTACACACCACCTTTAGCGGCGCCGCATTCTTACCCACAACGGACTTCCCTCACATAAATCAAACAGCTCCCGCCGTCTAACGCTGTTTGCCAAAGGGGAAAAGACACAGATCTTGCCAAGACTTCCCGGGACCGTCCGCCAGAGAATGGCAGACAAGGACGAGAAAACTAACATCACGGCGCCTGACCCACAAGCCGCTGCCGTTGAGCCTAAAGATCGCGAAGATGATGCCTTCGTTATCGACATTGACGAGGCCGATAAAAACGGCAGCCCCGATGCCGATGAGAAGAGGGGCCGGCCCGGCTTGAAATCAACAAGAAGCCGTGCAACTGACACAAGTATTGCTACCACGACCGCGACCCGTCACCAACCAGAGAGCAAACCATGGTACAAGACGCCAAACCCTCTGAAATGGGGTGGCATTCCTCCTGTGCCTGAAGAGAAAACTGTATCACGAGAACATAAGGCCGGTTTTTTCAGCCAACTCACCTTCCAATGGATGGCCCCTCTCATGAGTGTAAGTGCACCTATCAGAAACGCCTGTTAGCTTCAGACATTGAACACTGCTCTGTTGTGTAACCTTCTCATCTCAACTCACTAACATATCTCAAGACTGGATACAAGCGACAGCTTGAACCAAATGACATCTGGACAGTCAACCCAGACAGAGCTGCGGATGTCATGACTGAGAAACTGCAAGCTGCCTTCCGCAAGCGCGTTGACAAGGGGGGCAAATACCCTCTACTCTGGGCGCTGCACGAGACCTACTTCTTCGAGTTCTGGCTTGGAGGCTTCCTTCAACTTATGTCTACTATTTTCCAGGTCATGTCTCCCTTCACGCTGCGATTCCTAATTCAGTTCGCCAACGACGCCTGGGACGCCTCTCAACGGGGCGCACCACCACCCCCCATCGGCAAAGGCATTGGCTTGGTAATTGGTGTCACGGTTATGCAGATTCTTCAGAGTTTGGGCACCAACCATTTCATATATCGCGGTATGATGATCGGTGGCCAGTCAAGAGCCGTCCTCATCTCCGTCATCTTCGAAAAAGCCATGTCGCTGTCTGGTCGGGCCAAGGCCGGCGGTCTCAAGGAGGGGGCGAGTGATCCGAAAAAAGAAGACAAAGGAAAGAAGAATGAGAAAAAGAAGGGCAAGAAGGGAGATGCCAAGGGGCCGGGAATCTCAGGAGACGGCACAGGTTGGGGTAACGGGCGCATCGTCAACCTCATGAGCGTCGACACATACCGTATCGACCAAGCCTGCGCGCTATTCCATCTGACCTGGACAGGTCCCCTCTCTTGTGTCATCACTCTTGTTGTTCTCATCATCAACTTGAGCTACAGTGCCCTTGCCGGATTTGCTCTTCTCGTTGCCGGCATCCCACTGCTAACAAGGGCAATCAGGAGCCTATTTAAACGGCGAAAGGCCATCAACAAGGTAACTGATCAGCGAGTGAGCCTGACTCAAGAAATTCTGCAGTCGGTCCGTTTCGTAAAGTACTTTGGATGGGAGAGTGCGTTCCTTGAGCGGCTCAAGGAGATCCGAAGCCGCGAAATCCACGCCATCCAGATCCTCTTGGCTATCAGAAATGCCATCAACGCTGTCAGTTTGTCATTGCCTATTTTTGCCTCCATGATATCCTTCATCACCTATGCAAAGACCGACAACGCCCTCAACCCGGCTGAGGTCTTTTCGTCTCTCGCCTTATTCAATGGCCTCCGAGTTCCGCTCAACCTGCTTCCCCTGGTCCTCGGTCAGGTCGTCGATGCCTGGTCGTCGTTGAAGCGCATCCAGGAGTTTCTGCTAGCTGAGGAACAGGAGGAAGACGTAATTTACAAGCCAGAGGGTGAAAATGCCATGGAAGTACACAACGGTGGCTTTACCTGGGAGCGTACGCCGACGCAGGAATCTGATAAGACCGTGGCTGGTGCCGGAAAACCGGGCAAGAAGGGACCTGCCCAACCTGCAAGCCCTAAGGATGCTTCAAAGACAGAGGAACCGCTGACTTCATCTGGTGAGAGCACGGGAGACGGCGCAAGCACGCTTGTAGAAGAGGAGCGCGAGCCTTTCAAACTGCAAGATATCAACTTTGAGATCAAGAGAGATGAGCTGGTTGCAGTCATTGGCTCGGTTGGAAGCGGAAAGACTTCGCTGCTCGCCGCGCTTGCAGGCGATATGAGGAAGACATCCGGCGAGGTTGTGCTTGGAGCTTCCAGGGCATTTTGTCCTCAATACGCTTGGATCCAGAATGCAACGGTTCGAGACAATATTCTCTTTGGTAAGGACATGGATCGGGCATGGTATCAGGAGGTCATTGATGCGTAAGTAACGCTGCCGTAACAAGGTGTTGAATATTTACTGACGTGGATTAGCTGTGCCCTTCGGCCCGATCTTGCGATGCTCCCTAATGGTGACCTGACGGAGATCGGTGAACGAGGTATCACTATTTCCGGTGGCCAGAAGCAGCGTTTGAACATTGCCAGAGCCATCTACTTCGACTCCGATATTGTGCTTATGGACGATCCTCTGAGCGCTGTCGACGCCCATGTTGGGCGTCACATCTTTGACAACGCCATTCTTGGCCTCCTTAAAGGCAAATGCAGAATCCTCGCGACTCATCAACTTTGGGTTCTTAACCGTTGCGACAGGGTGATTTGGATGGAAGGTGGCAAGATCCAGGCCATCGACACCTTCGATAACCTGATGCGAGACCACCGTGGCTTCCAGCAGCTGTTGGAGACGACGGCAGTGGAAGAGAAACAAGACGAGCCTGCGCCAACGAACTTGAACGAGGCTGCCGGGGGCGACAAGAAAAAGAAAAAGAAGGGTGCTGCTCTTATGCAACAAGAAGAGCGAGCCGTGTCTAGTGTCCCTTGGAAAGTGTACGGTGATTACATCCGCGCTTCCGGAAGCATGCTCAACGCGCCTTTCTTGATCTTCCTGCTCCTTCTCTCGCAGGGCGCCAACATCATGACTAGTCTTTGGCTGTCATACTGGACGAGCAAACGATACCCTCTTTCCGACGGCCAATACATTGGTATATATGCCGGTCTCGGTGCAGTCCAGGCGCTCCTCATGTTTATCTTCTCGTTGCTCTTGTCGATTTTGGGCACCAACTCCAGTAAAGTCATGCTTCGGCAGGCGGTGACCAGGGTTCTGCGTGCGCCAATGTCGTTCTTCGACACAACCCCTCTCGGACGGATCACCAACCGTTTCTCGAGAGATGTCGATGTAATGGACAACAACTTGACGGATGCCATGAGGATGTATTTTTTCACCTTGGCCATGATCTTGTCCGTATTTGCTCTCATTATCGCCTTCTTCCACTACTTTGCCATTGCACTCGGACCGTTGTTCGTCTTCTTCATTCTTGCTGCTTCGTATTACCGTGCTTCGGCGCGTGAAGTTAAGCGATTCGAGTCAGTTCTACGGTCAAATGTTTTTGCCAAGTTCGGTGAGGGTTTAAGTGGTGTTGCTAGCATCAGAGCGTATGGTTTGAAGGCGCACTTCATCGCGGACATCCGCAAGGCTATTGATGAGATGAACGCGGCCTATTATCTTACATTCTCGAACCAACGTTGGCTATCGACTCGTCTCGATCTTATCGGAAACCTTCTGGTGTTCACTGTCGGCATCCTCGTCGTTACGTCCCGCTTCAGCGTATCGCCGAGCATTGGAGGTTTGGTGCTCAGCTATATCCTGGGTATCGTGCAAATGATTCAGTTCACAGTGCGACAGCTCGCTGAAGTTGAGAACGGCATGAACGCCGTGGAGCGAATCCAGTATTACGGCACCCAACTGGAGGAGGAGGCGCCGCTACACACTATTGAGGTGCGGCCTTCGTGGCCGGAGAAGGGAGAGATCGTCTTTGAGAACGTTGAGATGCGCTACCGTGCCAACCTGCCTCTTGTTCTTTCGGGCTTGTCAATCCATGTCAAGGGCGGCGAGCGTATCGGCATCGTCGGTCGTACCGGCGCGGGCAAGTCGTCCATCATGTCGACCCTCTTCCGACTCGTCGAGTTGTCGGGCGGCCACATCACCATTGACGGCGTCGATATCTCCACCATCGGTCTCCATGACCTTCGCTCTCGTCTTGCCATCATTCCCCAAGACCCCACACTCTTCCGTGGCACTGTCCGCTCCAATCTTGACCCCTTCAGCGAGCACAACGACCTGGAACTTTGGTCCGCATTGCGACAAGCCGATCTGGTGCCCGCAGACGCGAACCTGGAGGACCCACGATCTAAAGACCCTTCCAGAATCCACCTTGACTCCGTCGTCGAGGAAGACGGTCTTAACTTCTCCCTAGGCCAGCGTCAGCTCATGGCCCTCGCGCGCGCGCTCGTCCGAGGCAGCCGCATCATTGTCTGCGACGAGGCCACTTCCTCCGTCGACATGGAGACTGACGACAAGATCCAAAACACAATCGCCACGAGCTTCAGGGGAAGGACGCTGCTCTGCATTGCCCACCGACTGCGCACTATTATCGGCTACGACCGCATCTGCGTCATGGACGCCGGCCGTATAGCTGAGCTCGATACGCCGCTTGCGCTGTGGCAGCGCGAGGGTGGCATTTTCAGAGGCATGTGCGACCGCAGTGGCATCAGGCTCGAAGACATCCGCGGTGCGAGCGAGGAGATGGGATTGAAGGACCAGGCGGGCGAGTCAAGCCGTCAGGGTGAGATGTAGGATGGCTCAGCCTCTGAGGATGAATCCGCCAGAACTTTGTGGTAAAGTGCGATAGGCCGGAAAAGGGGGGCTAAGAGGGAAGAAGAATAAGGTGGTCAACATTGGATAATGGCGTTTTCGGTCAACAGCAGCGTTTTTTTTCCCTCCCATACCCACAGACACTTCATGCTCTCAAGAGCAAATCGTTGATCCTGCTTTGGGTTGTTCGTTTTGTCTTGCGTCAAGTAGTTGTAGCATGCAGGTTAAGGAAAACAGTAATAATAAAAAAAAGGATATACCGATTTCCGCACAAGACTCAAATGCCGCTACCTCTGTACACTGTCGCCGCTGCCGCCGCCGTTCCGGATCCCATGTCGGTATACATTGTCTCGGGTAGACACTGGAGCCCCCTGCCCTGCTCGCGACACTAGATAGACCCCATGAACTACGACGGCAACACGCGGGTTGTTGTATACGGACAAGTGCGTCGGTTACATTTTGAAAAAGACGGTCATACGAACTGCAGCAACGGTATTACAAGATCCGGCGGGAAGCGAACCTTCAGAAAGGGGACGGACGGATATGCGGTGTAAAAAAGTCTGCGACGACCGAGAACCAAAAGAGATACGAGCACACGGGAGAGCCCATAGGCGAGAGTGGCGGGATGGGATTGTAGTGAGATGAGACAGGCAGTATACAAACATGGAGGAAGGACGTGAAGTGCGGCGGCCGTGGGACGTCCGGCTGGTTCTGGGGGAAAGAAAAAAAAAAAAAAGCCGGGGTCCGAATGGTGGATGAAGGTCTCGGCCCGGTCGGTGCTGGGGGGGGGGGAGGAAAGAGATCGGGGGGGGAGGTTAGAGTTTCCTGAGAAGAGGGAGTGGGGGAGGGAACGCTGCAAACAAAGTTTAATAGATTGGTCGCTATGGAACCGGGATGGAACGATCGGGAGAGACGAAAAAAAGAGTCAGACGACGTAAACTCGCAGCACGGTTGTCATCCTATATTAATAGATGCGGCGGTTGCCACGGACGATGGAGGGGGAGGAGGAAGGTTTGGATGAAATATATGCAAGGTTGGTGATGGCGTGCTCCTTTTAGCTTCCAACGACATTCGTCTTTTCTCATCGTCGAGCATGTCGCTCCACCACCACCAATTACTTGTACAACATTAATAGAAAAGCATGTGATCACTGGCGTCGAGTGGGATAGAGTTTGTCATGGAAGGATGAAAGAAAACGTTGGAAATGCTAAAATGTTTTGCTCATTGAACGGGAATGTATATACTAGCTAGGCGCAAGAAATGAAGAGAACCAAAGTGCCGATGGTAGATGTACCACTACCACGACTCCTCCCAGTCTATTGCCGGTACGCCTGTTGAGTATACAGGACAAACAGGAAATGATTAAAACACCGCCCGCGCGCGGTACCCGATTAGGGCAACCGGCTTGCTTTTTTGACTGTTTTCCACCAGACTGTACAGAACGAGGCCTAAGAGAGGCCGCGTTCGTAGAAAATTAAAACAAAAGTAATCCGTTCTTAAACCAAGAGAATGCGTGTGCCCGTACCCTTGACGCCGTGGTTGTGCCTCCGTAAAACCCCAAGCCGTAAATTTCGCCATTTTCAAATGACGCGAGACAGATGCCTCATGCTCCAACATAAAGAAATCACCGGATCCCAGATATTACATCCGGCCGCCGGGAGAATTGTTGGCGTTCCGAGATCCTGGTCTCATATGAGTAGGCGGGAAGGCGCTGGGAGTTTCGTCAAGCAGGTTCTCGAGGTATGCGCTGGGTGCTCTTTGACCGTTGCCCGGTGGCTGTGACAGACTGACCGAGCTAGTGCTGAAGTCACGTCTCGCGCCGAATGAAGGCGATTCGGGGGGTGTGGATTCTCTCATTGTGTTGCGAGAAGGCATGCCGCCATACTGGCCGCGAGAATCAGGACGCAGGTTCGTCAAACTTATTGAGTGGCCGTGGCCGTGAGCGTGACTGGGAGAAGATGCGCCGGCAGCGTAGAATCCAGAAGGCAGGAAGCGAGAGTCACGGACGCTGTCACGGTTGTTGTTGCCACCGCCAGCAGCAGTAGGCGAGAAGAAGAGGTTGGACTGGCTGGGTGTGGCGGAGGGAATTGGGCCGCGCTGCGTCCTACGAACACCGCGCCCATTCGGGACCAAGGAGGGAGTAGATTCGCGATCGGTGTACTTGTAAAATTGGGCGGGAGGAGCGGGAAAGCTGGCCTTGTCGTTGGCAACGTGCTGGGCGTTGGCGGCACGGGCGACGGAGCGGTGCAGCAGGCAGGCGACGATGCCGCGCCAAATGAGGATACCAAGACCGAAAGCACCGAGAATGGCACCAACGGCGATAAAGACGGTTCCCTGAGGAGCACTCGATCGGTGCATAAAAGGGGCGTTGTTGGTGGGAGGGACAGCTGGGGGTGGGTAGGTGGTTACGAGAGGTGCGTTGGTGAGAGATGGGAAACCCGTGAGAATGTCGCCCTCCGTTTCTTGAGAGCCGCCCGTGATTCTTGGGGCAGAAAAACTCTCGGCCGTCGTCTCGACTTTGCCAGTGTTGGTTATGGAAACCTGGTTCTGGGTGGTACGAGTGGGCGGAGCGGCTTCGGTAGTGCGCGGGTTCGTTGTGGCAGCAGCCTGCGATGTCTGTTGGGCCGATGTAGCAGCGTTTCCTCCCGTGTTGCTGTTGTTGTTGTCCTGAGCGAGACCGGTTACCGAGAAGAGCGAGAGAGCTGCAAATGAGGATAGGAGAAGCGTGCGCTTCAGCGAGGTGCGCGACGGTGCCATGGTTGTCGGGAGGTGACGCCCACGCTATGTCCGAGGGTCGGCGTTTGTTATTAGATGCAAGAAAGATGCGAAAATCAAGACGATGATGCTGATGGTAAACGACAGCTGTCGACTGAAAAAGCAGCTCGTGGGTTTATCGGTCGATGAGTGAAGGAATGATGGTTGTGTGGCTGTGTTGGGTTCTCAGCGGTTGCAAATAGAAGCCGTCGTCGTCGTGATTGGATCGGTTGGCGCTATTTGGGTGTGTTCAAATCGATCGACAAGATGGTGCACAATATGTACTGGGGGGTTTTGCAAACAAGTCGAATGAGTGTATCGTGGGAATTGCAAAAGCAAGGCGAACACTATGAGATGGTAAGGAAGGGAAGGGTTCCGTCGTGGGCTAGAACATTGTTGTCGGCGACGGAAGGTTTGGGCTTTGTGGGCGGGTGCGGGAGATGGACTGTAGGGAGAGGGATGAGGGAGTAGGAAAGGGAGGGATGAGGGTGCGTGATGGGGAGGGAAAGGGTAAGTATCAGCGGGTCAAGTAGCAGGGAAGTGGCCTGGGGAAAAAAGGAGGAGGGTTCTTCCCTGTCGTTGGCGCGCAGATGAACCAAAGAAGGGCTACAGGCACAGAAGCAGGCTCGTGTTAGCGGACTGGGCCGGTCGTCCAGAGTGGCGTGGCGCAGTTGCTGGCTCTCTGAAGGCTCTGACGTGCTCCTGTGCCCTGCGTGCGCTGCTCTTTACCCTTTCGTGTCTGTTCTTGCTCGATTTTAAAGGTACCTTAGCTTAGTAGAGACACCTGCATGCACAGTGCAGGCAGGTACTTTCATTATGCAAGGTATCAATGGTTGCTTGCTGCATGGTTGCGGTTTCTGGGGGAGAAATGGACAGTGCAAACAGTGTAGACCCTCCAAAGTTGAAACTGTCCCAGGTCCCGATAAATGCTCGTATTGCCAATCAAGCGTTGGGTCTACTACTAATCAACGGCCCTCAGCACGCGTTACAGTGGCTGCATTCCATGCTGCTCCATCACCCAACACGAGCCCTCATCCGGGGTAGGCGTACCTGGCAGAAAAAGCCCACCCAACGGCGAAAGATCTTCGTTGCGAAAACCGGGTCTTGGGTGACCAGACACGGAAACCACTTGCAGGAATGCGTATGATGGACACCCTCCCCACAGGTCCCCTATATTCGTGAGCGGCGTATTCCACACTGAAAGATGGCCCACGCTTAACATTCTCGGGTTATAGCGTAATGCTGATTCTACACGTATGCATCGAATGCATACATCGTGGTATCCGTACCCTGAACGCGCAGCAGAAACTCTAGCGCAAGGCACCCGCAACATTTAGTCTGACGCCCATCGACAATAAGCCATATCTTGCTTTTTGCAGTAAATATCATAACGCTAAAAACGCCCAAGAGGCCCCTGTCATTCGTCGCCCAGGCCCTGGGTGTCTCACTGTCCTCTCCTCATTTCGAGGTACCTTTGGCCCAGCTGATGGTAGAATAAGCCGGTGGTGCTTTAGCTTCGTCAACTTGCTTGGCCTGCAGCGTATGGGAATTCGACCAGACTATCAACAAAACACAAGACAGGTCTGGGACAGTATTAGTGAAATGAGAGGATAGGGGGACTTGGACTTGAACTTGGAAGAATACTGATGACGGTTCATGTCGGTTCTTCTCCGGCCAGTGTCCGGTTTAGTGGTTTGTCACCGCCAGGGGGGACCAGGGGTAATTATTGGAAAAATCGCGCCAGCATGCCCCGTTCACCTTGAAGCGCACAGATCTTAGCTCACACTCACCTTGATGCTGTTTTCGTACACCGGTGCAATCAGATTGCACACCGAAAACTTTTTTTTCCCAGCTCTTCCTACACCCCGCCACACCATAGACCGGCAACTTGAGACCGACAGCCTTGCTCAGCCTCGCCTGCAAATCTATACCTTCCACATACCGCTACACATTCGACTACCGCGCCCACCACTGAACGAGCGCGATATACAATGGGTGTTCAGAAGAAGACGAGAAAGTTCGCCGAGGTACGTTCCCTCCATTATCTTCGACGCTGGTTCCCCCTACAAAAAATGCTTTCAGAGAAGAAAAAAATCCTTATCGATAAGGACTTTTTTTTGGCTGCTCTACAAGATCATGAAGCTGACGATGGTCGCACACTGCACTAGGTCAAGCGAGTGATCGGCAAGAACGATGCCCGACGCAAGGAGAACTTGAAGAAGGCCGAAGAGGCCGTCGCAAAGGCCAAGCGTGAGCGCGGAGGACCCGATGGAGAGACACTCGTTCGCGAGATTCCTCAGGTGCCATCGCATATGTTCTTCCAGCATAACGAGGCTCTCGTGCCGCCCTATAGCGTCCTCGTCGATACCTCCTTCTTCTCCAGAACGGTTCAGATGAAGTTGCCGCTCCTCGAGACCATGATGGACTGTCTTTACGGTAAGCTGTTGCGCAGCTGCGTCGGAGGATAACGTGCTAACTATTTCCTCAGCGACCTGCCATCCTATTGTTACAGACTGCGTAATGGTATGTTATCATACTCTATCGACCCGAGCCTTCTTACAATTGCTGACGGACTGCAGGCGGAATTGGAGAAGCTTGGACCCAAGTTCCGGATCCCTCTGCGCATCGCTCGTGATGAGAGGTGGCAGAGGCTTAAGTGTGATCACAAGGGCGTACGACCACACCATTACCCTTTTTTTGTTGTGGCACTTAGCTAACCTTTGGTTCAAATACAGGTCTATGCAGACGACTGCCTGGTGGACAAGGTCCGTAAGGCAAACATCTACATCGTCGCTACCCAGGATAAGGGACTGCAATCAAGACTCCGCCGAATCCCCGGTGTTCCTGCAAGTTATCCTCTTTCTCCGATACCATATCGTACATGAGTACTAATACAAATCACAGATTTTGAAGGTCGGACGTGGAAAGTACTTCATCGAGAGGTTGCCCGGTGCTCCCGAGTAAAGACGTGGTTTTTGGTGGTTAAATCGGATATCAGACGGGAAAGGCACGGAAAGGCAATACACAAAAAGCAAATATGGGTTAATTACGGCGTTTTTCTCACGTCACTCACAGGTGGACAAGCTGGTCGTGATGTTCTTCGACCTGGCTCCGTGCCATATATCTTCTCACATGTTGAGTATGCGCATAGACGAAAAGGTATCACGATAGTGACGATGATAGTTTTAATCGTTCGTGGTCTGCCGTCTTATCTAGGGTGCGCATGCTTTTGTTTTGGGGCAAAAGAACAAGCAAACAAAAAGTGTATGAATGTCACGGACCTGTAGTATGGTCACAGATAGAATTCCAAAACGTTCGGCGATAACAACTGGCTATCTCCGCTGCTGACGACGACGGATGGCGCCGTCAGCTTCCGTTGCCTAATCGGAATGCTCCTACAGAGAGGAGGAATGGGAAGGACCCCCGGAACTCTCTACCTTTAGTTTTTTTTCCCCTGTTCCCACCTCTTTTGGACCGCCACTGAATCCACGCACGATACAGAGCCCGCTCCCCTCCCCCGATTTACGTGATTACCGGCCTTTACTACATCCATATTCGTCGGACCCGGCTCCGGAACCTTGATACGGCGGACGCATTTAAACCAACCCCGCTCCCCCTTGGCCCCACACACCACCATCACCACACCCGTTCCGGGATCGAGGATTAAGATTCCCAGAATGGACCCGGAGATGAATCATTCCGGCCCGGGCGCGTGGGATGATAACGGTAATGACACCGGCGGCCCGGGCTCCGGAAACGGAAGCGGAAGCGGAAGCGGAAGCGGAACGGCCACCACCGCGGCCGCAAAGCGCACCCGTGTATTGTTATCCTGCGCCCCCTGCCGCGCATCCAAGCTAAAGTGCGACCGCTCCGAGCCGTGCGGCCAATGCCTCAAGAAGGCCCGCCCGGATGGCTGTGTTTACGCCCCCAAGCCCGAGAAGCAGAAGCCGGTGAAGGGCATGGCGGCGCGGCTCAAGAGGCTTGAAGGGATGGTGCGGACGATGATGGACGAGGGCGTGGCGGTTCCTCCGGACAGCGCTGCGGCGGTGCCGAAGGAGGAGGGCGTCGCGCAACCGGGCGGGCATTTTTTCCAGGGGGGAGGGTCTTCGACTTATGTCGGAGCCACCCATTTCATGGCTATTTTGGACGATGTGAGTTGTTTTCATGTGCTTTTCGTGAGGGATGGATGATGTGACGAATGGTCCGTGGAAAAAAGGACATGAGGCTTATCGTTAACACACGCGCGCGCGCGCACACACGCAGATTGAGGATATGAAGAGTTACTTTGATGAGCCCGACGTCGATGCGGAGCGGGAGGGTGAAAGTCCCGGCCTGTCTGACGATCTCGAAGCCCCTGATATGTTGCTGTTCTCGAGGAACATTCCTCGAAACCGCGAGGGTCTGCTGAGGCTGCTCCCTGAACGCAAGATTGCGGATCGCCTCGTCATGCGGTACTTTTCTTCTCAGAGCCCGTCACAGCGTAAGACCATTCTTCCAGGCTTTTTTTCCACGGGGATCTTTTCTGACTTGACTCTTAGACATCATCCACAGACCGACGTTCGTCAAGCAAGTAAGCCCATCGCAGACAAAGGCCCGCCCCCTTGGAACCCCCTGAACGCTCACTTACACTCCCCATAGTACGCCCGATTCTGGACAAATCCCTCCGAAGCATCGTTTCACTGGCTCGCACTTCTGTTCATGATCATGTCGCTAGCCGTATTCTATTCGACGTTTTTCGCACCTCAGGAGCTATCGAACGACTCCCCCCTGCCGCCGATGGACCGCTTCAAGATGTTTCGCACCGCAGCTGCATGGTGCCTCGTCTGGGGGAAATTCACCCATCCGTCCATCGCAACCATTCCGCCCTTCATCCTCTACGTCGAGGCAGAGTTCATCATCAGCCGCGCCGCCCAGATGAACTGCTACATCCTGTCGTCCGTCTGCCTCCGCCTGCTCCTCAAGATGGGCCTGCACCGCGACCCGAGCAAGCTCGCCAACATATCGGCGTACGAGGGAGAAATGAGACGGCGCATGTGGAACATGGCCGTCCAGCTGGACCTCATCGTGTCCTTCCACATGGGCCTGCCGAGCATGCTCAACGGCATCGACTGCGACTGCGAGCTCCCCGGGAACCTGATAGACGAGGACTTTGGCGAGGACTCGGTGGAATTGCCAAACCCAAGGCCGATGACGGATTATACCGAGATGACGTACCCGATCACCAAGTCCCGTCTGATGCGTGTGTTTGGGCAGATCGCGCGAGAGGCGCACCTGCTCACGCCCGCGCCCTACAGTGAGGTGATGCGTCTCGACGGGCTACTCAAAGAGGCCTGGCGCAAGCTCCCGCAGTTCCTCGAGGTCCAGCCGCTGGAGCAGTGCGTCACGACGCCGCCGATGCAAATCTTCCAGCGGTTCGGGCTGGCCTCGCTGTACAACAAGAGCCGCTGCGTTCTCCACCGACGGTTTCTCCTCGAACCTGTCCCCAAGAAGGAGCACGACTACTCGCGATGGCAGTGTATCGAGGGCGCGGTGACCATCCTGGAGTATCAGAACACGATGTGTCATGCGTGCCAGCCGGGTAACATGTTGTCTCAACACGGCTGGTTCGTGTCATCCCTAGCGGTGCACGATTTTCTCATGGCCGCCATCATCGTGTACCTTGCCATCGGACATGCGCCCTTCTGGGACGAGGGAGAGCACGAGTGGATGGACAACTTTACGCCGCGGCTGACGAAGGGCCGTTTGCTGCATCTGCTGCAGAAGTCTTATACCATATGGGTCGGCCTCGTTGGGGAGGAGTCTGAGGTCAAGAAGACGGTTGGCATGTTGCAGACAATGCTGACCAAGCTTGGGTCTCCGGGTAACTCGCCGTCGAAGGTGGGCGAGACGGGGGCGCCAGCTTCGGTGCAACGAAGTGAAGCGACGACGTCGAGTTACGATTCACAGTTTCTCACGGGTCTCTCAATCAGTGGTGAGACAGTGTTTGGTCATGGCAAAAACATTTCTAGTGTTGCTAACAATGAGACAGACGTGGCATCGACCGTCCCCTCGAGCGTCACGAACCACATCCAGTCCCTGGGCTTCGGCGAACCAGGCGTGGGAGCCGGGGATTCTGGTCTCGACCGTGAGTGGATTGCAGTCGGCGAGGAGATGGACTGGGTAAGTTTGTTCCCGTCACAGATTGTAAGTAGGCTATCAGATACTGACTTTGTAGCGCTACTTTGACAACATCGTGAGCCAAAGAAACAACGACCCCACCGGCGGCTACGATGCAGGCCAGCCGGCGTGGTTCGACCAAGGACCGGCGCTCGAAGACTTTGACTTCTCGGCGGCCGGGACTTGGGACCCGAACCTGGGACAGCAAGGTTGATGGGGAAAGGGGGTAGGAGGCCATCCATGCCGTTTTCTACGATGGGCTGCAAGGATTACATATTTCACCAACCGCGCAACAGGTGCCGTCTGTCAGGGCGGCTCGGCAGCTGATGGAGCTGAGACCCAGGTCTACGCGCGTCTTGTATGTACGTATGCATGGAGGATGCATGGGCACACAGAAACTCCTCGAGCAACAGGAGCTGGCCTGGGAGCGGCGACATGGGGCTGCGGCTCCGCGAGCTCCTTCCGGACACAAGCTCCTCCTCGGGCCTAGCAAGAGCAACAACTGGCGAGGCGGGGGGAACTACATGCTGGGACCTTTTGGACCTAACAGGCGATATCGGTGCCCACAATGACAATATGGGCCCGTGGGGGAAAAAGAGAGAGAGAAAGCTCTACATAGTGCGTGCGGGCTAGACCACCAGGCTAATAGGCAGGGATGTCAAAATAAATTGGCTCAGGTGACTCGAAAGTTGACGCGAGGTTGGCTGTGTGGTAAAGCAAAAGACATCGTGACCCCGGATTTTCTTCTGGTTTGGGCCCTTTTCCAAAGCTGGCTGGACCACGCTGCGATGGCGTGCGAGAACGGCGGCGGCCGGCCACCGGGGAACTGGACCCTGCGAGAGTCTAAAGAGGGGTCTTTCCAATTGAGCGAGACAGGATCGAAACTGTGACGTAAAAGCTAGTGGGCCGTCCTTTGGGGGGATGAGGCCGGCGGCGAAGGGGGCGTGTTGGGTCAAAGGAAGCCATGAACTATGAGCACGAGGGGCGGTTGGAAGGCTTGCGTTTCGTCCTTCACACCCGACGCTCTACACTGCATCTCGTTCGGCGTCGTCTCCATAGGTCGTGGAGGGTACTCCGTAAGACGTGCCGACACCAAAAGCTGGGCTGCAACGGTGCCCTACAAGGCATGGGCCATCTTCCCCGCAAAATCCGCAAATTGACGGCAGCGGAGCGGGGGCTGTTTGCATTAGACCAGCAGCTGGAGCAGCAGCAAGCTGGAGCAAACTGGATGGAGCTGTGTGGTGCGTCCTCCTGCCAGGCCGAGCTCGACGTTGAGAGAGATTCTTGGTTCGTGATGGTGGGTTACGCAAGGATCAATCCCTCTTGTCAACGAAACAAGGACAGAAGCTCGGCGAGACAAAGCTTGCAGCACAATGTTTCTTTGGGTGACTGACCGATTCTTCCGCGGAGATGTCCACTTTGACGGGAGAGGGGGGGAAACGGTGGCTTATGGGCAGACGGAACGCCAGTTGGCTCGGTGGATGACGGCATGGACGGCGGGTTGGACGTTTAGTTGGCTCCATTTGTACGTAATGGAAAGAATGCGGTGCTAGCCAGGTCGGCATTGCGCGATGGTTTGGATTACCATTGGCGCGTCGTTGCTTGAAACTCTTATTTCTGTCTTTGTTTGTCAATCTGATTACGGTTCTAGACGCTTTCCCATTAGCTGGTTTCAAAGGTCGCTTATCTTTCGTCCATCAGTCGTCATTTCGCCATGCCTCGCCTCTCGGGGTCTGGCCACGCGCCGCGCAAAGGGAATGGAAGCGAGGTGGTTAATTATTGTCCCACGACGGCGGGCCGGATCGCTGAGAATGACCGTATACGAAAGAATTAGTCGCAGCAGCTGCACGTCTAGACTTTCGGCAGCACTGCAGCAGGTTCTGCCTCAAACTTAACGTTCAGCGTTAATAATTTCCCACCAGGTTACGTCTGTATGTTGTGACTCGGTCTGGGCTTCTCTAGGTTTGCCAACTACTCAATTCCCGTCTGATACTCATGAGATGCAATTCATGGAAGCCTATCGGCATTCGCAGGTTTTGAGTAGAAAATAGGTCTACTGAGGTGCATGTCTCGTTATTTAGACGCAGGTATTGTTTCTTCCTGTCCACATTCGTCATAGTGCATGTAGTGTCCATCCAACAACATGCCGGTTGGCAACGACGATATTCGAGCGTCCAATGGCACAATCAGTGTTGCGGCAGCTGGAGTGAATGGACCAGACATATTGCGAGGCTTCATGTGGGTGGGAGCTTGACCCTTCTGTAGCCGTTATGTGCATGAAGGGCTCCTGACACAAAGTAGGCGGCGGCGAGGTGTCGTGCTAGGTTGGACCTGGGAGCAACAGGTCCTGTAGCCAGTGCGAGGGGGCGGCAACTAGTCGCTTACCAAGAGGCTAATCTCAGACATGCAGAGAGTGAGGCTAGATAGAGCCTGGGGTTTGTTCTCCTGCTTGGTGCCGGGAGAGGACTACGCTGGGTTCCAACTGAATTTCCCCATCGTGGACCAGGATTGCGATATCTAGATGCTTCCTCTGTCTGAGAGCCGGAAGTGGGGCCGGTCGTCTGGGAACAATGATGAGGTCTATGCTTTCCATGGAGGAACAGAAGGAACTCAAGATGTATGCGCGATGTGGTACCTGTGGTGAGGTAAACAAAGTTTAGATGAGCGTCTGTTGTGTAGGTACGATCTATTGCTTAGTACGTACGGATCCGTACTTCGTAACAGTATCCGTTACGTCTTTGGTAGCAGCTGGGACGTGGGCAGCGCAGATTTCTGTACATCACGTTTACCGTGTGGTGGAACCCTTTTTTTTTTTTTTTCCTTTTGTTAGAAAAAAGTTTGCACGCATATCGGAGGATTGTGGCATCGGGATGGGCTCCGATCACCGACAACACACGCCATTGACATACTGGGTCAGTGTGGGGAACTTGATTTGCGCCGGGGGTTGGTTGGCGCGATGGTGCTTAAATAAATAAAAAGGACCCAGTGGTGAGTGGCCGTGCCCTCTCTCTCGGGTCAAGGGTTGGTTTAGAGGCTATCAACACTTATGCCTTATCTGAGATAAACCACAATTAAGAGTGAGATGAGATTAGGAATGGTATCCGAAAACCCCGTAGACGGGCGGATGTCTCGGTCTGATGTGATGTTGCGATGATGCGATGGCAGGTCGAGACCGTCAGGGTTCGTGTGTGGCCAGTAGCCGCCGCCATCGGTGAAGAACCAAAACGGCCAAGTTAGTTATTACGGCGTATGCAGGAGGGCACAAGATGTCGTAGTAAATATGCGATGTCCACAAGTTCGGGAAGGTAAAGTACCCATTGTCAGGGATTGAGGCAAAGTAGTAGACGGCGGACTGCAGTAGTTGGTATTGGTTGCTACTACCAAATGAAATAAAAAATAAAAATAAGAGTAGCACGCGGACGGGATGAAGCACAAACAAGCAAGCAGGCAGGCCTAGGTATGGAAAGGTAAGGTACGGGGGGTGGGGAAAAAAAAATCAACAAAAGATAAGGAAAATTTTTCTGAGGCAGTTGCAATGCACAAAGACTGGGGACAAATGGCGAGAGCAGGCAGAAGAGCGTTTCCCAGTAGGTAAGAGCAACTGGGTAAGAGAAAGACTCGGCCAACCGCAGTCAAGCTCTTACATAATAACGTCAACCTTGGGACTGTTAAGGAGAGAAAACTACAGCGGATGGGGTCCCTAGGGAGTTCCCAGTACAGGTGCCCCTCCAGTCAGTAACAAGACAAAGTACAGGTATCCGGCCTAGTGGAGGAGAGGGGTATGTTGGTGCATAGCCCGATTCATTGAGCAAGTTCTCGATCCAATCTGACGACACGCCGTGTCTTTTCTAATTTTTTTTTTTTTAAACCCGTATCTTCTAAGAACCCGTCATAGTCGGCGAGGCGGCGAGGTACACGTGCGCCAACCGTGACACAGTACCGGTCCAAGTATCCCTCTAAATGCACCACTCATGGAGCCAGCCTCCCCCTCCTCTTACTCGAATCTCCCACCTAATCACTTAGCTCCCACTCCTACTCTCCCACTTTGACTCCCACTCTCACCAGCTAACTAACTAGTATTGCTCCCACTCATCACCACGACCATCTCGGGAAGGTGAAGCAAGTAACTTTAACATTTGTTTATTTTATTTTATTTGTTTCCCCCCCCCTCTCTCTCTCTCCTGGTCCAGAGGACTGGTTCCCTCATCGCTTACGCTCTCGTCCCATACCATGCCGTTCTCCGTCATCCTTGGCCCCAGCCAGCATGGTGCGCCAGAGTTTACTGTGTAGAACGGGCATACTTCCGGGTTGCGGCCCCACGGATGGGTTGATGGGCTGGTGTTTCCGCTCGATGGAGCCCCGTTGCTGCGCTTGCATCAAGGACGGCGGGAAAAACGCAACGTGATCGAGTTCTACCCTCGTGGGCGTGGGCGTGGCCGCCGGCGACGGTTTTAATTATTAACAGAAAAGGCCCAGGCACCCGATGTACCTCAGTAGACTCCTAGGACCTTGGAAACGTCAAGGTCGTGCCGCGCTGTGCCCCGGGCCCTCACCACCAGATCCAGATTCAATAATTAAAATCCAAATCCATGTAGCTACTCCGTACACGAGTTGGGTTTACCTTTGACTCTGCCTGTCCTGTTGCACCATCTGCCCTGTAGTACTAGTCATCCTAACTGTGGCCTTGCAGTTTTGACATCCCAACCACTACTAGCAAATCCCATCTCTACTTTCCCACCTCGCGAGCAACCCCTCTTAATCTCCTCGTCTCTCGTTGTTCATCCTTTTTTTTACCCGGATTTAACTCTACTTGCTCCCCCTCTTATCCTCCGACTCTCCTCGTCATTTTACCTGTTGTTCCAACTTATACGCCCGTCTGTCGTCGATCCAGTCAGCTCGGCACAAAGCGACCAAGAGGCAGAGATCAGCACGCACAACCCTTGTCCGTTTCTAGTTGGTCAAATCAAACACACTGACTGACTAGGACTGGTATCAAAAGCTTTGATGCCTCTCCTCAACTGAAATCATTTGACCTTCGTCTTTTTCTGCTTTACCTAGAACGAACTGGGTCGATACCCTCTCGTCTGGCCTGTTCCTATTCCAAACCACCCGATTTCTTGCTAGTCTAGACGTTCTACTCCGACCGTCTCAGCTCACAAGGTTCGGCTTCACATAAGGCGACCCCATATCTCTTAGCACGCTGCAGAAATCCCT